TCAAATTATAATTCAAATTAAATACTAAGGTCTAAATCATGCAAGACAAATCATTATAGGAATGTCAGGGAGATTAATATTATATTTTAATTATTTTACATTCACCATACTGTACCGGAAAATATTCTCAATGAAAAATGCTTAAAAGATCCACTTTGTCCCTGGTACTTTTCATCAACGAACATTTTTAAATGTATGTTATTTTTGTCATCAATTATATACTCATATACCAATTTTTATCACAATATAAGGAAATCTTATAAATTTAATAGATAGATTCATTACAATGACAAATCAAATTGTAAACAATAGTTGCTAAGGTTACATTTCAATTCATACAAATGTCTTCACCCTTTTTCACCCCTTTGGGGTGAAATTTCCAAAAAGCCGTTCTTAGTATACCTCAACGCAATAAAACGAATGAACTCTCCAAATTTCAAGTCTCTACGACCAGCGGGTTAGGTTGTGTGATATCTGTTTGTTAGTATGTCCGGACATCTTTTATATGTGTATAGATTACGGTTATAAATGTAAGTTCTCGTTTTGATTATTGCAGCTTCGTGGTCAAACAAAACAGTAATTTTAGTTATATTCTAATTTTATTGAAATACGAAGCTTTACTACTGCGTTGATGAACTCTTCAAGCGAAATCATCTACGACGTTGTTCGTAGACAATTTCGTAGCACTGATACAACTCAAGCTACGCTTATGGTACACTATCATTATATTTTTTATCAATGAAATCCCATAATCAATTATAATTACTATGAACACAGTGGCACAGTACAATTTTTGTTCAGTACAGCTTATCTAATAATATTATAAGTCATGCCCAATTAATGATCTATATCAGAACCGTCCGTCCGTCTGCATCAGTAATGTCAAGAAGCTGCTTGCGGCGATCGGCGAAAACAAACAAGTGTGCAAGATCGATGTTTATTTGGGACACTTGTGTATCCGCCTAGTCTATTGTTACAACTTGGATGTCTTATTGACAGACCTACGTGAAAGTTAAGCAGCGCAAATATTAAATTGACCGCGTTGTTTGCGACCGGCAGCGGTTCTCGTTAGAGATGTGACTTTTATGAGTTACGATTCGGATACAAATATACAGTATAACTATATAATTTATACACAAAAACATTTTAACGGTAACATGAAAAAATAGGACAAGTGCACGTCGGACTCGTCTGAGAATTCCGTACAAATAGTTCCGGAAAAGAAATATACACGCATCGAGCTCTTCTATTATGATACCACACTTGAAATATAATAATAACTATTCTATTAAAATATCGGTCCTCTTTTTAAAGATTTAATTAAAAATGTATATTTTTCAGATTTTTCTTTGAAATATGTAAAACCAATTTATGTGCCAAATTTCAGTGTTCTAAATCAAAAGAAAATATCGTATCATTTTTACTTTTAAAATATGTGTTTATGTGATAGAAACACCTCTATTTTTTACATTCTTTTTTTCAAGTTTTATTTTTTCATAACTGCAAGAGACTATAGAACAGAGCAAAAGATTTTCATTTCAACTCGGTATCTCCACGCCATCCAAAACTTAGGATCTGGACAAGTAGATGGACATACAGACTCGGTAAAACCACACCTTTTTCCGTTGCTTGAAAAAAATTTGAAGACGCAACGATTCCATAAAATAATTGAGAATCGGATTCTTGCCCCTCACTAGGACCCTGGAATATATGAGGAATTATATTTTAATATGATTAAATATGATACTGTCCCTTGTTTTACGTCTACTTTGTGCCATTATTTCTTATTGCTAAAAACTAAAACCCCTCTTTTTTGTAATTTACATATCAAAAGAGTAACTCGCAGATCTGCAGCATAATAATTTAAGAGAAAGCGACTCTAGAATCGTAAATATAGTCAGTGCAACTCGTAAAGCGTTCATTTTCTTTATCATAATTACGTGTATTTTGAAAGTTTTTGCTACGAATTGAAATACTACAATGAACAAAGACGTCCATATTAGTATTATCGTTGAAATACTTCATGTCCGTTCGCTTTATACTTGTTTAAACAGAGCTTTGATATTAATGGCCGTGCGTGGCCGTGATTTGAATAGTTCTATGTTAGACAATACTGAGGTACTAGGAAGAGTGGACATGGTGATTTAAATTGTTAAATACCTATGTCATTTAAAAAAAAATATGCACGTGTAATTTTTTAACATAATTAAATTAAACGTTAATTCTCAATGCGGAAGTATTTGAAATGACCTCCCTAGATGGCGACTCTAGCAAAAGTTGATTTTTCCAGGAAACGAATGGACCAAAGATAGTCAGTTCCGTTCCTTTTAACTAACATATTTAAAAAACGAAATTTGCTAATTTCGCAACTTAGATCAATACAAATACGAAAAAGTACAAATAGATTATGAGTTATTGAGTTATGAAAATGAATTTACTTTTATACATGAAAGAAAACCGGAAGGGTTGTCATGGAGAAATCAAGAACGTACCGTAGCGACATCTAGTTTGAATTCGGAAACTATCTTTTTTTTCAAATACTTCGTCATTGTTAATAATCGTTGTAATAGTAAAAAAAGGAATACTTGTTCGTCTTTACTAAGGATTTGAGTTACAACCTTAAACTGGGTTTTCCATAAAAAGATTGACAGAAGCCCTGTCATTCCAGCTCCTCTAGAACTTATGTTGCCTCTTATATATTTCTAGTATCCAGTAAAGTCTCCGACTGCCGTTTTTACACTGCAGCAGTATGTAGACATTATTGGTTTCCTCAAAAGAAATCTCTGCTCTCTGCACAGACATCTGTCAAATATAATCGTTATAATATTATACCTAGTACGTATCTCTAAGTACATAGAATTTATTTTCCAAATTCAAATCTATCTTACATAATAACTGTTTGGCTGTCTCGTCAATCTAATAATCATGTTGCCGGCTTAAGATTGTTTTTAAATTGTAGGTAGGTTCAATATATGGTCATACTAACTACCAAGTTGTTGTCTGTAGATAGTTTTGTACTATGGCGTTAGCTAGATAGTAATGTATTATTTGAATAATAATGTAAGTATACTAATTGTTGAAATAAGACTTATAACGTTTGAACAATACTGTTTTATTTATAAAATGTTATGCTTCTTTTAGTAGCTTGGTGGTGTAGAGTATAAGCACCGCGGCCCGCGATTGTTGTTGTTAAGCAATTTTCGCAAGGATCGGTCACGAGATGGGTGACCAAAAATTACTATCTCGAACTACTCCGTGCTTCGAAAGGTACGTTAAGCTGTTGGTCCCGGCTGCATTTGCAGTCGTTAATACCCTCCAATCCGCATTGGGCCAGCATGGAGGGTCATGGCCTATCCTCCTTAACCATCCATCAGGAAGGCCTGAGCCCCTGCAGTGGGGACGTAAAAGGGCTGATGATGATGATGATGATGATGATTAATTTACTTAATGTATTTTAAAATATTCTGCATTTTTTTCCATATTAACTTTAACTATGTCATATGTGCCATAATTTTTCGTTCAAGCAATTTTCTTCAAAAATCTTACTTCATGTATTAATTCATAAAATGTGTGAAACAAAATGCAAGCATGATATATAAAAGTTTATAAAGAATCCAAATCCTCAAAAATGTAACAAAAATTTATATAAAAGTTACGAGCGCAATCCCGTTTAAAAGATATTCTAACTAAATGTTATTAGGATGCCAAGTGGCCCGTAATGGCTCTGTAATAAATTGTCGGTTCGAGCATATGTTGGTATTTTCTTTATCTGACACATTTCTGGGTGTCCTCTGTCGGTAATGCTAGAAAATTGTAAATGTTTCCTGGCGCCCGCGTTTAGTGTAACTCTTCATCACTTAAGAAATTTGTAAGGTTTCACGCGTAATTTGTCTGTTTATTCCATGGAAAAACTTAAAAAAATATATATTACATTATATTATACACTTAAGCTCATAACTAATAGTTAAGATGCTATAATATTTCATCGTAAGATATCTTAAAATAACATATTTAACATTCTTAGTTTTCACACACGGTTAAGATACTTAATATAAATGCTTTAATATTTCGTATCTTATAATAACTTACGAAATATATATATATTTTATGGGTTAGGGGGCAGACGAACAGACAGATCACCTGGTGGTAAGTGATTACCGTCGCCCATGGACACCTGCAACACCAGAGGAGCTACAAGCCGGCCTTTGAAGGACGAATATGCTCTACGTTTGAAAATTTGGCATCTTAAGATACTAAATATATTATGAAAATATTATATTATCTTAGCGTGCGTTGGGCCATTAGAATGTATGGCTAGCGATATTTTATCTTAAGATATCATAGTATAGCATTTTATTTGTTTGTTACGACCTTTAAATTCCAATTGAGTCTATTCCCAACTAGCAAAAAGATCGTATAAACAATCACTCTTATGACTTAAGATCGAAAAACAATCTTATGATAGATCCCATTATTCCAAATAGTTGTATAAAAGTAGCTCTCTTGATTTTTTAGCATTTTAGCTCTATAAAAATGTCGACTAAACGTGGACTCGACGAGTTCATATCGCATTTACTCGATATTTGTATAAAGGTATATCATGATCGCCTTCATTCAACCATTAGCCTAATGATAACTCTTTAAAAGCTACTGAATTGCTAATTTGTCAACAAACTAGCTTTTATAGAACTATCTTTCCACATTTGATTATTACATCATTATTGTAGAGTAAAAGCTGTTTATTAGACAAAATAGCATTTCATTTACTATATCAGGACTTAAGGTCATATGATTGTTTGTTACTCAGCTTTTATTCTGCTTAACTATTGATGTTGAGTAAAAGCTTTCAAATTATCTCTCATAGCTTTAAAGGTTCTCTAAATACTGTTTGAAAGCCTTTATTCAGCATATTAGTGGTATAAAAATCAAACAAAATCTTTAATAGCACTGTTTTTTTGGATCTCCATACAAAACAATAATATCTGTTTATTCTTGGAAAAATGGATTATGAAAGGTGGAAAAAATTAAGAGAAGTGGAGGTTTTAGACGAAAAGTAAGCAAGATATATGCACAATTGAAACAATCAACATTTACATTGACTGCAACCACGGGTGAAGTACAATCAAATAATATTAGTATGGGTTCCGTAGAAATAATAATGTCACGATTGATAATGAAATTGCTGAAACGTCAACTAGTGAAGTATTTCCTCGTTCTAAAAACATCTCCGCTGGTGATAATAGGCGCTGGTGATATAAGGCGATAAAACAATGACAGTTCGGAGTTCGAAGACGATGATCATATAAATGATGAGTTTTGAGCAAATATTAAAGAATGGGCACTCTCTTTTTGGTAATCACTCTCAATTCAATATACCGCATGATGCCTTACGAAAATTTTCAACAATATGTAATAAAAGAATTCCATATTTGCTGCCAAGAGATCCTCGTATTATTTTGAAAACGAATATATCAAAGATTAAAATATTTGCTGTTGGCTCTGGATTATACTGGCTTAACAGATAAAAAAAACCTTTACAAAAAATTTTTGAAATAATTGATTTCAATTTTGATGTTTTAAGTATATTTATAAACATCGACGGCCTGCTAATATTGTGTAAAATACAAGAAATACCGACACTGTCGCCACTAGTTATCGGAATCTATGCAGGTCAAGAAAAACCATCGGACTTAGAAAAATATTTTGAACACTTTGTGAGTGAGATGAAAGATCTTGAAAATGATCTGAGAATTAAACAAAAAGTGGACGTGAAAAGGTTGTCAAAATAAAAAATTTGGATCTAGTCGATATTTTTCGCTTTTAGTTTTAGGCCACCGTAAGATACCGTGATTTTCAGCTGCGCAGTAATAATTTAATTCTTTTATCAGACAATACAAAGTGAATTATGTAATTATGAAACAGTGTTATTGTTAATAATTGTACGACAAGCATAACATTTCTGCCTCATTGAAAAATGTGTTTCCTTCCAAAGCCATATCGATTTTTAAGTTGTTTAAGATCATCCTTTGTTATAAATTTATCTACATCCAAATAGACTACCATTCTATTATCACTTACAAAAAAAGATAATTAACAAAAAGGGACTCTCCTACAAAAAAAAGACTTCGTAATTATCGAATCGTAATTATAAGGTTGTACTTATGAACTTACAAAATATCTACTTAATATTTAGTATCAATATTACACCTTTTGTTTAAAAAAGTCACTGATATATTTCAGTTATTTATCACTAACAATCACTTCACACTACTCTTGTTATAATAAAAATGATTAATATTTTGCACCAAGGAACCCTAATCTAACTGCAAATGGCGTTTCTAAAAGTCATCAAATAGAAACCTCATTTCTATTTCTTGACTAAAAGTTGAGTAAACGCTGTGAGAAGGTAAATTAGAAGCTAGTAATGGCGTATCAATTCTCCTATTAAATTTATATTATTTGTTATTTATTAATTACTAAGAAATCTTGTGGAAATAATTTAATTCCCCATATGAAAGTAGGACCTATAAACTAACTTTTACATATTACAAATACTTCATGTCATGTGGCTGTAAAATGTAATATGGCAAATACTTTACTTTGAAATATAATTATTTCTTTTTTTGTAGTCGCACTGCGTCAACGTTATTTAAGACAGTGAAAACGGCTTTATGAGTGCTGCTTGGTTGCTTTTACTCGATCAAAGAGTCGAGTGATTGCAACAAACCACTTTATTACGATAAATAGGTCGACTAAAAGAGTTCAAACCGACTTAGTAAAAGCTAATGTGTGATATAATGGCGTAATGACTTCTAATATAGGACTTTTAATATTCAAATTGCTTTTACTCTATATTCTTTCGAGTTTTTGGCTATTCAGCTGATTATCTTACGATATTTACAGCATTCATAGCCGAGAGAAGTGCGCCCAAATCGCTTCGAGTAAACGTGCACAGATCCTTTATACGACATATTAAAGATCCTTCACTCCACCAACAGCTGAAATAGAAACGTGCTGCTGGCTTTTTTACGATAACATTTGCTAGTTGGGTTATGAAGTAAAATTTCCCAACTTCCCTTTAAAATATAACTAGACAAAATCCTACTGTTCTCACTAGCACTAGAGGTGCCGTAAAATCAATTTGCACAATAAACCCACCGTATTGGTAAATACCGCCACAAATTCCTATAACATTTATTAACGTGTCCCATAGGTACTGTATTTTCCTAGGTGCAAGACACGTCCGCTAATATATTGAACTACCTCGTACCAAGTTATCTATGTTTACGTTCGTGGTACGTGCCGCGGGTTGAAATTTCAAGATATATTGCTTATGACAAAGCACATTTCCAACAGGAAAAAGAGGTTATAATCTACTAGTGTTCGTAGCCCATTAGAGGCCCTTTTGGTGAGATAAAAATATCTTTTATGATAATCATGATAAAGAACTGAGTGCCGAATCAGATAAAAAAGCTGTCAAACCGGTTTAGTGAAGACATAAAGAAATCAGTTATTGAATATAGAGACATCAAATCTTTTAGATTTATAAGAACCGCCTAAGACCCGTTCTTTGTAAAAGCTCGAGTGCTAAAAAACTTTCTCAGTAATTATACTGAGAAAGTTTTTTAGGCATTAGCCTAGCACTAACCAATTGTCGAATTAGATGTTTTTCTTTAATATGACTATTGCATTTTGAACACAAAATTACATCTCAAAACAGCGTTGCGGTCTACTGATAAGTTGATTTAAAGAAAAGTAGAGAATGCCTTATGTAATATTGATGAAAACAGATGGAATCAAATAAGTTATATAAAACTAGCTCTTTTCCCTCGACTTCGCCCGCGTAAAATATACTATAGTAATTATACTCGTAGCTTATGTCACTTGTGATGTAGCTTCTTGTATGTGAAAGGGTTTTTTAAATCTGTCCGGTGGTTTCGGAACTTATTCGATACAAACCAACAAACAATCAAATCTTTCCTCTTATAATAATCATATAGATAAAAACGCATTTATCAGATACCTACCTACGTGAGTGGAACAAACAAAAAAGTACACAATGAACGTCGGTACGTAGGTATGTAGCAAAAATTGTATTGTAAATTTACTAAGATTTATAAAACAAAGAACGTTTCCTTTGTCCAGAACCAATTCTTCTCGTTTCTTAATACATTTTAGATGTTAGCAGTAGACACGTTTGATGTACTTAATTAAGAATTAGGGATTCTAGAAGCGAGATCTTAAAAAAAATAATTGTAACCTCTAAATTAGATATTTTTTCCTGTAAATCATCAATTTGGTATTAATACATGTACTTAAGGGATGCGAAGGTTGACAACCATATAAAGTAAGCTATTTTGATATAGGTATTATTACACTGACATTGCTCAAAGAGCGGCCGCCTAACTCTATCGGTCCATGGCTATGGCCATGAGAGTTATACCAAAAGGTTTTAATAATTTTCTCAATAAAAAAATACATATTTTCATTTTCTACATATAAAATGAAACATACATGTTTATTTCTCTTTTCAAAATAGCTTTGTATGTCTTAAGTCGAAGTTGATAACTTAAATAATTGAGTAATCTAAGAAAAGCAAAAGCTATTGAAGTCAGGTGGAGGTCTTCTCTAGGTTTATTACTTCAATAGCATTTTCTTGAATAAGCCGCTTTTGAGATAAGTATGATTTAACACTTTTTTAAAGTTTGAAGTTGTTTTTTTTTAAGTTTTTATATCATGTTTTTTAGTGATAGTATTTATGTTATATACAACAAAAACATTCAATACTAGCTTTCCGCCAGCGGCTACGCCCTTGTGGTCCCTAGGGAACTGTTTATTTGGATATCGGTTTATATCATGGATATAATTGAAAAATTCAAACAAAGGGTAATAACCAGAGCTCGGAATTAGGTAGAGTTATTTATGTACTTGCATCGAAATGTTGATATTAATGTGGACCTTCCCGGGATTTCTAATGGACAATCCCGTGTGGCCAACAATCTTACAACTAAATAATAAAAATAATAATAATAACGTCGTGCGTGCAGTAGTTTAAATTGTGTAAAAGTAAATAATTTTTTATTTAAAAAATCACGGGATTTTTTCTGCTCTTTAAAATTAATCTCGGGATTTGAGGCATATCCACTTTATTCTTTCGCTGTATGAAATCAGTGCAAGTACATGAACAACTCTACCTAATTCCGACCACTGGTAATAACGATAGACATTAGGTACGATTAAAAATAAATCTATCATTCAAGAAACATTTGTAATTGAACAGTAAACAATCTTTACCCTTAAGCTTTAAAATTAAAAAAGAAAGAAAAAGTCGCTGATTTCTCTACAGCTTTGTTTAAAAAAACAGCCTGGTACTCGTCGTCTAGTTCAGCGCTGTCACAGCATAGAGCGTCAATGAAATAAAATATTTAGTACCTTTTCAAGCAAATATTTTTTTCGGATGTACCTCTACTCTTACAACACTGAACTTTTCATCGTATTATGACATATTGTGGTCACCTAATGTGCTGTTGTATGCCTTTGTTGTTAAAGATACACAACACTAGTGTTTTAGAATCCGAGAAATCTGTGTCATGTTATTTAATATCTATTTATATTATAATATAATCAAAATATGCTCATATCTAGATACTTTAGCAGCGGAATATTCGCGTGCGAGCCTTATTGAGCCCTCAAGAGCCGAGCTAAACCATGGGAGAGGAATGCACGCAACACGCCGCCGCACGCAAACACGCGATCACTTTGATCGCTTGATCGCCGCGTCTGAAACACGACTTGATCATCTGGAAACAAAACATCGGAACACTTTGATGTATTTTTACAAGTAAGTACTCGGTGAGTTAGTTTAACTTACCTACTCGATCGTATACAATGTATACTTAACTTATTTATTTATAAAAGATATGTATTCATTTATACTAATAATAATTGTTAATTGTCTTGTTTATTTTATACTGGGTTGTGTTGTGATTTCGATTCGATTATTATTAATCGATGTACCTACTTAAGAAAGGGATTAACCATTACTACTGGTGCACAGGCCTTCCCTATGAATGATAATGAAGCTTAAGAGTATGTTTGGTTGAACTCTATAGTCTCTGGAACTCTGCAAATATTATCGGGTAAGGCTTAAGGCTATATAACAGAACGCTATGACTTATAGGAGTCATGAAGCAATGCAAATGTTGCAAAAACGGGAGTATATTTTACCTTTTTAAAGCTTTCTTTAGGTACGTGCGTAAACGGTGAAAGCTACGCAAAAATCATGAATTACAAAATTGATCCCCTGTAAAAGTTCTAAAAAAAGTGCACGGCAGCATATGTCTATCTTATATCTTATCCTGAAAAAAACACATCAAGGGATGAAAATGGGAGTGGAAGGTCATGAAGGGCATTAAATCGTTTCCATAATAACCATTGTTTACAATTCAATTTTTCATTGCAATTATATTCCATGTCATTCTTTTCCTTATCCATTATTAAATAATTTAAGCTGTTTACACAGGACTAAATAATGTTTTGAATAGTTCAAATCGGTACAATCGTTGTTGCTAATATTAAATGCGTATGTTACGCTGGTTAAGTATACGAAATGTTACATTTAGCTTATTTTTTGTTGTATTTAGTCTTTGTTTTTTTCCGGATTTTATCAATCAAAGTAGCTTTCTTTTTCAATTTTACGGTATATCTAGTAAGATAATTTAATGAGTAATTATTATTAAATCGTGTTTTCGAAAAATGTACTAAACTATCGATAATTATGAGTGGTTACAAATAAAAAAATAAATGAAATGAGCTACTAATGGTAGGAAATAGTCTTATCTAAAATAACAACTATAATTCAAACTATCACAGTTAAATAATAAATTAAAACTATATTCGTTCGACACCAACAAATTGAAGAGATGGCAGAACCTCTGAATATAATGAATTCGGAAAGCAAGAACAACCTGACCGTCAAGTTGCTAAGAGGATCAGATGTAGAATCTTGCACGATCAAAGCATCAGGCTTTAAAATCCGATGCTTTCACTCTACGCCTTGATAAAGGCTTTCATTTTAAGAACCCATTAAATGAAAGCCTGTATCTGAAAGTCCAAAATAAATACAGTTATGCTGGTCGGAAAGTAGATGTTGAGCTTTAAGAGCTCCCACTTTCCAGCCGTTTTTTTTAATTTAATTGAAAGTTATAAAAAACTAAACGTGTTTATTGTTATTTGGAGCTTATACGAAGAGGATTGACCACGGAAATCGATTCAAAGTGATTTCATCGAATATACAGAAAATAGTCATATCATCATCGTGAAAAAATAAAGAGCAGTACTGAAATATATAAGAAAAGTGATAGATTTATGAGATTACATTTAATTTTATGATACCAGCCCTGTGATTCTGCACAAATCCAAACCCGAATTCGAATTCACTCAGGTGTTCAAGCCGTGGAGTAACTACAGGGTGGCAAGTCGGCAAAATGCCACGGGCCCCCAGCTGGAAGGGGCCCCCTGTCAAAGATGACTACCTACTCCTGAAATTGATTACTAAGCAATTAATAAAAAATACAGGATTTTTTTTTTCCAGAGCGAAAGTTTTTTTTGGTGATTCAGTATCAGTAATAGAACACTTTTCATAATTAGTTTAAATATTTTTTTTTAAATATTTTTATCCCTATTGAAACGGTAGATTATGGACACATTTTTTAAAATAAAACTTCAATGAAAACGTCTTCTCTTGCGTATACCACCGTGGATACCCGCCGCGCCCGGCAGCCCCTCGCCACAGCCATTACTCACACACATTACTCTTAGAAATCACCTTAGATCATGGCAAAAAATCTAGTTCGAATCTAACAAAATGAGCGGTCAGTGACCCGTGTAGATAGATACCTACGAATACATACCTACGGCGTCGAGCGAGCGCTCAACTGACGCACGGCGCGCGGTGTCCATAAATTTAGTTTTAAAATCTCGATCTTTGATAAACGATAACTTTATTTGTTTGTATTAAAACATATCAAAATAAAAAATGCGTGTTTAAACAAACACGTATTTTATTTTTTTATTTTTTTCAAACGGTATAGTAACGCCACTGTGTTCGAGTTCACTTCAAAATGCGGCATCAGCTCAATTTTAGAATTGATAGTAACGTTTAGTGGCATAAGTGAAGTGAGTTTCGAAATGGCATAGGAATAAAATATCTGAGACACGTATAATCAATTAATTTGTTTTGTATTTTTATACAAAAAATGGAATAAATAGCATTTCATCACTAAATGACCTGAATTCGGACACATGAGTGAATTAAAATAAATTCAAATTCAAATTCATTTATTCGGCGCATGCACATAGAACACCTAAAATATAATAATTAATCACATTACTACATATTACAATAAACTATACATTAAACGTAGGTACAATTACAAACAATAGGATATTTAACATTATTCAATATTAAAATATTAAAGTAATAAAATAAATAATATTGTGTCCCACGACTGCTGTGTCCCAATACGGGTCTGGATTTTTATAGAATCGCAGGGCTGGTCATTTAAGTGAACTGATTTTAATTAATATTAACAAATGATTCTTTAATTCTCCATTATCTGTGAAAACAGTGATACACAAAAAATATTTTATTTTTGATAAGTAACTCATTTTTGTATGGTTACTTTTAGAGGAACTTGTAAAAATAAATAAAGAATAAATAAACTATTTATATTCTACTATTAATGGTTTGTTGGTCTTTTAAATGCTAAATGAACTGATTAATTATTCCTTCATAATGCTTTGTCTGGACAATGCATTCAGGAATGACTGATTTACGGATCAACACACAGCCAAAACGTTGATTGTAGAATCCTGCATTTTGTAGGATGTGTTCTTTATAGAACGTTATCAGCCGGTAAGAAAGAATTTCCCGAAATTCTATCCCTAAGAGGGTGAAAAACTGATCGAGAACGGTGATTTCACGTTAGAATTTTAATTATAAAAAAGTCGGTCACTAATAACTTTATAAGTTCCAAGACAATTCTTTATCCGTCTGCGATTCCAGAGCTAAAGGAGATGCCAGAACTTTGGAATGCACGTTAAGTCGTTAGTCCCAGTTGTCACACAGACTCGTCAGTTAGTGTTCGACTCGCTAAGTGACTGGTTGTGTTATCAGTACATATTACAAGGGTTACGAAACGGAGAAAAAAAGCATTCTCCGTTCAATGTTTGTCCGAAAAATGCATTAATTCTATTTAACGAAAAGAAAGAGAAAAGAATTTGGTGTAAAGTATGGTATAAAAACAGAAATAAGTTTAGCCATATAAAAATTTACTTATAGAATTACAAACTGATGAACCAGATGACTTGTACAATTACAAGCGCGAGGATATTTATAAAATATTCCCATTTCTTTTTATTTTCATTAATACTCATTTTGTTTCACGTCGTCGACGTCCGTAACGCTTGCTGTCCGGCTCGGGTCTGAGCAGTCGGCCCGCTGTGAGCATTCACCTACAGACTTGTCTGTGCCCGCGCAGACAAAATGAAATCTCACGGACGGGCGACGGGCAGTCTGGCAGACTGCCTGTGATGGAACTACACTAGGCAGACCTATAGTTAACGAGGTATGGCAGCCATGTCTGCAGACATGCCCGCGGGCATGCCTGTCTAGTGAATTCCCCGCTTTAGAGCTTTTTATTAAGACCCAAATTTAAGGTGGAAATAATCTAATTGGGCTTTTTTTGGGGCTCAAGAAAATTTAGGGCTAATTTTAGTGCCAAAAAATTAAGTTTCAAATTTGATTTATTTTGTGAGAGAGTACCGCCATCTAGTGTCATTTATTTTGATAGTTCTCCTTCTTCATTGTTGCAGTGCAAATAATCTGTGGCACAAAGATTCACGTTCACGCATGCCATCTCACGGCGATATTCCACATCAGACTCGCAATTTCTCAGGCTTTGAATCAGCCTTTCAAGATTTTTTTTATTTGGATACCTTTTTCAAGACTACCACCGGCCAACCTGTTCCTCCACGTTGAGTGAAGACGAGGACACCGAACGGCCCTATGTGGAGACAACCACGATAATAAATCGCCAGCTCAAGTTTGCCGTGGGCGAGGGGATGTGTAGCAGCTGGTGGTGCTGTTGATACACGACCTCTGGAGACGGGGCCGATCCCCGCCTTCACAACCTTAGGCTTGGCCGGGCATGGAGCCTCTGCTCGGGTGGACCTATTATGCTGCTACTCTCGTGGGATTAAGAAGATGAATGCAAAACAAAAATCTAAAATTTCTGTTATGAGGGGGCCTGGCTCAGGCAGAAGCAAGCGGAAGGTAACTAGTGACGAAAGAGAAGGACAGAGGGTAGGGTCGGGAAGAAGTGAATCGGAGAGAATGGATGAGGGGACGGAGAGTCCGGACTCGGTGGGGATAGACGGTAAGGAGGGTCCACAGTGAGATGAGTTGGATCCTTATTTTGATCTTGACGGAGATGCCATAATGCGGAATTATTTAAAAAAAACGTAAGCACAAAAAAGCACATCCACTAGATGGCGACTCTAGCAAAAGTTAATTTTTGCAGGAAATTAAAGGACCAAAGACAGTTTCGTTAAGGACAGCGATAATCTGAGGGAGGAAAATTACTGGCTAAGTGCAGCTTGTCGTTTGGTGTGGGGATGAGTTGTTCTGATCGTATGGAGGCTTCCAAACCTGTAACCATCATGCGTAACGTTTAACCCAACTCCAAAAATGTTACAATAGTACAATATAAACATCTATGTTTTAAAAAATCTAATCAAATGCCTAGTCGGGATCTACACGATTTATTAAAAATTATTAATAATGTACATTTTTCATTACTTACATTAAAGCTCTACATTGCCTCCAAAAAGAAATTAAAACTAAGTTCTGTGCTTATTAAGGTAATTAAATTAAAACTGAGGTCTATTTTATTCATCTTAATAAACAGAAAACTTTTTTTTAACAATACCTTTAAATCTGTGGGTAATACATGCAGGACAGGGCTTTTTTGGGGCTTTTGATTACGCCTTCAGGTTTATTTACGGTTATTTGACTTTGATTTATGTTTTTTTTTTTGTTGGAAGTTGGTAACACTGTTGTCACTTGTCAGTTGTCTGTCATTCATTATCAAAAATCAAAACATTCAAACAATTCGACAAAACGTATTATTCAAAGAAAGTTTACTGGATTCTGGAACATTTCTTAAATAATAATTGTTTTGTTTAGGTAAATTAATGACAAAATGGCTCCATATAAGTATCTGATTTTTTTTTCATTTTGCAATAAATATACCTATTAAGTATGACTTTATATAACATGCTTTTAAATAACTTCAGTTCATTAATAACACAGGCTAGTTGTCAACAGGTAATTAAGAATTTGTCAATAATTTTGAATACTTTATCAATGATACTGAAATTGCCTTTACTTCTATACAAGTCCTAGTTTCTGCATCTTTTGTTCAACTTGATGAAATCTGATCTCCATGACATAATTTTGTGTCGAATTTTATATTAACATAACAGAATTTTATTCATCAAATAATGTAACAGTTTATTTATCTTCTCAATTATGAGTATTTATTTTTAATTAGGCCATAAAAGTGTTATGCTCAAAACAAATGTATTGACATACCAAATTTGAATTGTTAATAGAAAGAGTCACATTGATACAAGACATAATATTTTACACCTTTATCTAAATGTTTAGCCACATTACCCTTTTTGTATTGTAATTTAATATATAAAGGATATTGTTTCTATAATACACAGAAAATTTCTCATTTTTGCCTACAACTTACGGAAATAAATTGTTTTGGACAAATGCTTCACTTAATTCACAGGTTATCGGTGTGAAAAAAGCAGATCCTAAAGAATTGTACAATATATTCTTACAATATGCTACTGTTGAAAAGAATGGTGAAAAATTTATAACGAATGAGAACTTTATACGAAAGTTTTTAGCATTGTTTGATGAAGGTACCAATTTTTTAGTTTTTATGTATATTTATTTATGTAACTGATAAAGTTAATTACCTATAATTTATCCATATGTGTAATTTATAGGGACTTTATTTGTATATATAATACATAATGAGTTTCTTTCCAGATGACTATAACAATGAATCGGTGGCACTTTTTGCCACTATCATGGACACAAACAAAGATGGACTCATATCATTTTCTGAATTCCAAGCATTTGAAAATCTTCTCTGCTCACCTGATGCACTTTATAGGACAGCCTTTCAACTTTTCCGAAGACATGAAAATGACTATGTGACATATGGTGTGTATGTATTCAGTGTTATGAGATTTACTAACAAGATCTCTTATTAGTATATATTTTTTTATGGTTATAAACCCACTTTTTTCCCTTTATCATATTTATCAAACAAATACTTTAAAATTAGACTGTCTCAAGTACTCCCGATGAATTGAAAAAATAGGTTTTCCAAAACTACATAGTAGTTGCCAGAATATTTATCATTAGGACAGTGGGGGCTTACTCTTTTTTTCAGAGGACTTTGTTGGAATAATCGAAAGGAGTATCTACCAGCAAACACTGCCATTTGACTTGGATAGTACTTTTATCCACCTGTATTTTGGTCAAAACAAAAGTGAAGTATTAAAGTACCATGAGTTTTGCCAGTTCCTCCATGATTACAATAATGAATATAGCTTGGAAGCTTTCAGGAGATACAACAAGGATGGCTTCATTGAAGTAGGCGACTTTAAAAACATTATGTTAACTGTAAAACAACATCTGCTTACTGATGCATTGAGATCAAAAGTGTTGAATGTAAGTTTTTTTTGTATGTTTCATTCCATTATACTATTTTCTCTTGTTATTTGAAGAGATCAAACTGTGATGCAATGTGGCTTTGTGGAAATCTGCAAACCCACATAATATAATTGGTCTGCATTGCCAATTCCTGTGATTTAATATCACACATGTTAACAACCAGTGTCACCTGAACTGTGGTAGGGAGACCCCTTTGCTGTGCGAAATCTCATCATAACTTCATTATGAATTTGTACCTCATAGATTTATTTAAATAAGCTCTAACACTCACATCAGTTGTATATTTTTACTAAGAGATCTCTGTGCTATTTACTTTCATTTTGTCTATAAACTAGAAACAAAGCCATAAAGATATAACTGAACAATCTGAGAACTCTATACATACTTAGTTATGTTTGTCAATCTTTTTATAAAAATAAATATTGTGATTTCAGTCAAAAAGATTTCTCCAAGATAAACATAAGATAAGCTTCTCCTACTACATGGCATTTATTTCATTACTTTACCATATGGAGCTTTTCAAGAGAGTGTATCTTTATGCGACAAAAGGTGATAAAAAGCGACCGGTCACTAAAGATCAATTCCTCCACTCAGCACAGATGATGAGTCAAATAACTCCATTAGAAATTAATATTTTGTACTCACTATGCGATATCATCTATCAAATAGATGGGTGAGTGTTTACGCTTATAACACACTCTTATTATATTATTAACTATAAAGGGCTTAAACACCATTTGGGCAGTGACATATGCCCGTTTTCACTAAACCTAGGAGTCGCCCAAATCTGTCGCCTAAATATTTAGGAATCGCCTAAGGTAAAAATGTATTTCACTATTGACTAGGGACCACCTAACGAACTTAAGCAATATCTAAAGTTATGATATTCGTAATGAGTCGCCTTGCGCTTGGCGTTTGCGTGTATAACAGGTTATAAATATGTCAAGGGATAAAAGAGAAAAATATTTATTTGGTATTAAACTAAACTGCTTAGGCGATTCGTAATATTAGACGTTTCTTAGTTAAGCTATGCCCTGTTCTAGCTTAGTCAAAACGGGCATTAGACGCGCAAGACTTAATTGAAAAAGTTGAGACATCTTCGGGATACAATGTTTACGATTTCCAAAGCTGAGCGGTTTTCCCCATAGGTAATGAAAGTTATAAATAATGCCTAGGCAAATTATTTTCCTTACTTTTTATCACATTGCTTTGTCATATTGGGGATTTTTCACTTTTTATCCCACTTAACATTTCCCTGGGGTCCACGCGGGCGAAGCCGCTGGCGAAAGCTAGTGTTAAATAATGGCAAAACTAAAGCTGTGATGTGTTAAAGTTCAATTCCTCGTAACTCTTAACAGTTAAAGGCCCAAACTAGGACCTAATCAAAATTGGCCAACAACCGGGTTATTCCTAGTAGCATTTTCTTAGGTATTTCTATTTATGGTTAATTTATTTTTAGGAAACTTTTATATAAACATCTCAAGGAAATTACGCCAGAGCAATATTATCGTCGTGTCAAGCAGAGCATAACTGAAATCAAAGCAGTCTCGGTAAGCACTCATAAATAGTATATATTTTATAATAAAAAATACATAGTATATAGTAAGTAATTCTTACTGTTATATTTATATTATTAATATGTGTAAGTTACATCAGTAAGGTTTGTATATTTTTTTTTTCAGAGTCCAGATGAGCGTGGCATATTTATTCAAATCCTTGAAAGTGCTTACAGATTCTTTATTGGCGGTATTGCTGGTGGTAAGTATTAATAATGATTTTGATCACGCACACGTAAAAAAAATGCTACAATTTACAAATAATGTTTATATACACACGTACGTCTAACGTGCCTTTGAATTTCACCTTTTATGATATATACTAGCTGTTTTGTACTGCTTCTTCTCTGAAGATGGGTACTTCTGAAGATTACCCTTACAAATAAACAAAGTTAGATACTTTACCTTTTGTTTTGTGAGTACCTATGTACTTTGTACAACATAGTTAATTGTTTTCCCATTTTTTTAATAAAAAGTGAATGTTTTTTTACATTCATTCCAATATATTTTTGATTCTTATGAGTTTTTAAGGCTAGGTGTTTTACTTTCTGTTTTTTTTTTATTTTATTTGTAAGGCTTGGGAGCAGCCGCTGTTTACCCTATAGATTTAGTAAAGACGAGAATGCAAAACCAACGGATTCAGCAAAAAGGTGATGCGATATATGCGAACTCCATTGACTGTTTCAAGAAAGTCCTACAATATGAGGGAGCGCGCGGCCTCTATAGGGGCGTAGTCCCCCAAGTATGCGGGGTCGTACCAGAGAAGGCTCTTAAACTATGTGTACGTCAAACTAATCACTGATCAGAATTAGGTAGACGATATTTGGCTTAACTTCACTTTCTACATCTCATAACCACTGGTTATCATAAAATATCTTATTTCACACGATTTATTTTGAACTTAGTTTAAAAAAAAATAAGGTTCAGTTTAATACAGCCTGATTCATGATCATGACACGATTTAGAGGATTCACATCCTAATATAATTAGTTAAATATATTTTTTTAAATATCCAAATGAGTAAAAAAAGAAATATCGGAAAACACCAATTATTATATATTTGTGTATTCAATCGGACTAATTTACGAGGTAAATGATGCCTACCATAACATGTTTTTGTTTCGGTCTTTGTTTCAGGTGAACGACTTTATTCGTGACAAAATGACAGACAAAAACGGGAAACTTTCTTTGTTCGGTGAAATATTAGCTGGTGCATCAGTAAGTGTCGACACTTTTTTTTATTATATTACTGACTGACTGTTGACTATGCCAATTTCGTGCCGCTCTTGCGCGCTTGTACACCCACTTTTTAGTAAGGAAGAACTTGTAGTCAATCAAATGGTGTCATGTATATATCAAACCAAGCAACTAGCCTCTAGCCCTTTAATTGCCCAATTGGTCGGCTTATTATACCACTTGGCTGCGACATATATATGTTGAATCACGGGTGGTGGTATATATTAAGAAAAATGGCTGTGGTGCCGAAGCTGGTTATTTATTAAAAAAATATAAATTATTAATATTGACTCATTGCAAGGAATAGTACTAGACCGCTCGCAGCCCTACCAATCCGTAACTGGCGAGACGGCAGCAGTGTCTCTTATTGCTACACGCGCAAAAGTACAATTGTAGTCCTTACATACATTAATATGAAATTTCCAGGCGGGAACCAGTCAAATTCTGATATCCAATCCTTTAGAGATCGTGAAGATCCGTTTGCAAGTAGCCGGCGAATCTGGTGCGAAGAGCAAAATCACTACTATGAGTGTCGTCAGGGATCTCGGGTTCTTTGGGCTGTATAAGGGTTCTACAGCTTGCGCACTTCGCGACGCCCCCTTCAGTGCTATATACTTCCCTGCCTATACATATTTGAAGGTAGCAACATTTTCTTATTAAAAGGAATCATTTTAAGGAATGTTAATATTATGGTAGAACACCAAAACTAACCAACTTTAAAATCCAAAAGGAGGAGGTTAGGGGCCGTCTATTAATCATGTGATTTTTTTTCAGGTTTTTTTAACCCTCTCTCCCTCTTGCTGATACATGGAGAGGTTTAAGCCTCCCCACTCTCCCAAATCACGTGTATTTTTTAGTACCTACAAAAAAAATCTTAATTAGTATGATGGCCAGCTTAACTTTCCGTGGTAGGTAATCGCGCGTTTGAGCGAACGACATAAATACACGTTTATTACTACAACCCCCTCTCCCCTTGTGATATTCGAGATTTTCTACGAACCCCCTCCCCCCTGTCGAGCCTCACGTGATTAATGAACGGCACCTTATATTTTCGATGGCGATGTAGATTCACAGATTTTTCTGCCAATTGTCGATCGATTTTTAAAATTCTTTATTTTTTTACTCGACAACTTTATAGACCGAGATGGTCCCACTAAATATTTTATCGAAGGTCTGATCTAATTCGAGAGACGCTTTTCACCAAACTTTAGTCACATACATTGGTATGGCACTTTCCAGCCAAAAAATAAAATATTGCGTATTTAGAACTCATTAAAAATGCGAAAAATGAATTTTCTATTTACAAGGATTATGTATATTTTTCTAAAGTAATCGATTTATTTTCGAATTGTGAACCAATTTCTATCAAACTAGCTGTTGCCCTGCGACTTCGCCTGCTTTAATTATAGCCTATGTCCAACGCGTATTTTGTAGGTCTGCCCATAGAATGATACAGCACTTTCATCATATCGGCCCAATAGTATTCGGAGCCTATCGTACACGTGCGTTTACGCTAGATTCACCAGACGAATTTCCATCAAATCTTCGCGTACGCATAGCACCATCGATGTCACGATTATCCAATGAGTAACCAATCTTATCACATACCACTTGCAACAGCGTAATGAAGGTTTCTCCAGCAGTAACCGGAAGTTTACTTATTCTATTTTACTCAGGATCCAAAGTCCCTGTCGGAATAACCTATTCAAGTTTAACTGTAAAACCTGCGTTCATGTCATGAGTGAAATATGAATGAAAAATTATGAATTTGAATAGAATTTGTACTCAGTATAATCCCTCAAAGGGAACTATAATTTCCAACACAGATATTTGTGCTCGATGCTAATTCAATTCGCACTCGATAATTGTTCCTGACAAGGATACCGTGTACAGGGATACACCTTAGAGACATCAGAATTATAACTACATAAACCTTCTACCGTATTAGTTGTTGACGAAAAATTGTTCAAGTTGAAGAAAAATATTACTTTTTCTTTAAGAAAATATCGTTTACTACGAACTCTCGGTTTAGGTTTAAAGTACCGTATTGAATTATCGTAGGCGAAATTCGCTGACGACAGCGGCTACAACCACCCTGTAACGCTACTGGTGGCGGGCGCCGCCGCCGGCCTGCCCTCAGCGGCCCTCGTCACTCCCATGGACGTCATCAAGACCAGGCTCCAAGTTAGTCTGACCATTATTCGAACCTAATTTTCAGTAGTTCTATATCATCGTCCTTTGCTAATTAATATAATTATGTACAGTAGTTGGCACGTCGGTGTGAAGAAGTCGCCATCTTCGAAGTCCCAAGTTCGATGCCCGATCGTGTGAATGTAGAAAATGAGTCTTTCTACATTGTCTCAAAAGTGGCTATTGTGATATCTTTGTTGTTCCAATTATTCCTTAATAAGAAGACTTTAAGTATGAGTACCTGTCTTGAAATCTGAGCAATGTATGTGATGTTGTATCATCACATCATCACCAGCTCATTAATGTCCCCATTGCTGGGAATCAGGGCTTCTCTATGGATGGAATCGAATCAAATTGAATAGCGAGAATGGGCCAAAACCACCATGCGGATAAGAAGGTATTAACGACTGCAGATGCAGCCAGTACCAACGGCTTAACGTGCCAACCGAAGCACGGAAAAGCTCGAAATAATAAATTTTTGGTGACCCATCCTATGACCGGCCATAGCGAAAATTGCGTAACAACCGTATCGCAGACCGAGCGCGCTAGGCACTACGCCATCTCGATGTTGTATAGAACCTATTTAATTGTTATTTGACTCTTGCTGCTGCTAATCTGCCCTGTGAATACTATCACTAAGAATTCTTCGTGTCGGGCCACAACCTTCGACGACGTGAATCCACTGCGGAATAGTAGGAGCTAATATATCTGTATTATATCCAAACAGGTTGTACCGAAAAAAGGCCAAACCGTATACAATGGTATAATAGATGCCAGCAAGAAAATATATACTGAGGAAGGTTTCAAAGCTTTCTGGAAAGGCACATTGGGTTAGCGAGTAACGATTCTCTGTAATACTTAGACAACTTACTAGATTGTAATAGATATAGTATTTCAGCCCATAGTCTTCGTAGCCCATAGATATACCGTAGAAGAGGACTAATATCGCTTGCGCAAATACCCGATACATCCTGAAACCCGATAAATCCTGGACAATCAGAATAGTCGAATCTAAACGATATCCATCTTGCTCTTGGAATGGCAATCATGGATTGTGGGTCTAATTGGTCGGATCCAGTTGCAAGTTTCAGGTGGACATTGGATCCAATCAAAATGCACTCAACGGTCCATACTTACGTTACGCGGTATCCTTGCTGTCTCAGAATTCCTTTAAATTAGGATATTCCCTAATGTTTTCTGATACCGTGTAGGCATCCAGTTCCTTGGCGTCATAATAAATAATATTATTTTTATTAACAAATTGTTCTTGTTTATTTACAGCTCGAATATGTCGTTCTTCACCACAATTTGGCGTAACACTCGCCGCATACGAAGTACTGCAGCGTCTGTTCTACATAGATTTTGGCGGAAGGTACCTGTCCTTACTATTGTTTCTCTTAGTCCAATGATACTTATCTTATGATATATATAGTGTTTCTTGTAAATCAGTTAGTCTCACCCTGTGCCAATAGGTAACAGGAATCAGGAGTACTCTTACTTTACTGGTTCCTTTTTTTCCCTTTCTTGTTATAATTAAGATCCTTCTATAGGGATAATTGATAAACTTTAATTATGCAGCACCTTTACAATATTCGTTATCGCTCCATTACACTGGTCGATTATGTCCACTTGCGAATTCTGGACGATTTCATTGGTTTGTCATTGTTTTATTGATCGTTACAAAATTGTGCAAGAGCTTTCGAAACCTTGATTTTTCAGTATATTGAAGTACTGTGGGTATTCATAAATAACCGGTTATCAGTGCAGAGATCAAGGGCTAGATCACCTGAAACAGACTTCTAGCGATTTCTGAATGTGTTTGTTATATTAAATGGTAGTTTGGTTGTTTTTGTATGAAACAACTTCTAATAATTTAGTAATCATTTCAACCATTATGAATCTGTTTCTGAGCTAATTTTCACATAAACTTCTAAGATCTGCCGAGTACAATCTGAGCAGTTTAGTCTTTTTTTTTATATTAAGTTTAAATCCGACACAAATTTTAAACTGTTTTGTACATTACATTGATCCGCCGCCACCGGGTGTTCCAGTAGATACCTAACCTTCGTACTGGGTGCTGAGTATACTTCAACATACTGAAATATTAAGCTTTCGAAAGTTCTTGCACATTTTTGTCACGATCTCTTAAGCTAGGCGCCTAGTATTCGTTATCGTTTATTAGTCGACCGAGCGGCTCAGAGTTGCGCGTGCTGTCGCCCGTGCAGGAAACCAAGAAGAAGGCGCACCACATCGGCGGGTACCAGGTGGCCATCCCCGTGCTCACCGGACTCGAGACCAAGTTCGGCATCTCTTTGCCGAGATTCTCACATCCGAAACCACAATAAACCCGAGAAGGAACGCAAATTATATTGAACAGGGGCCGTCCACAAATTACGTCACACAAAATTCATGAGTTTTTAACACTCCCCCCCCCCCCTGTCACATGTTTGTCTTTACAAATTCTACTAAATATTGTTCTAATGTCACATTTCGTAAATCCCCTCCCCTCCCCTCCTAACGTGTGACGTAATTTATAAATGGCTCCGCAGGTTCTATAGAAATTGAAATAATTCTTTATAAAATGCTCTCTATTATAGAGGATATGCATGGGACTGAAAATTGAAGGTTATTTAATAATAAGATTGTACTGTCTGCTTTTCAAGAAATGTCTCGTTAGTGGAGTTATGACGCCTTAATATGGCGTCATAATTTTTTGTAATGCATTAATAATGCAGTTTTTATACTTCTGAAATAATTGGCACATTATGACCAGTGGTCGGAATTAGGTAGAGTTATTCATGTACTTACACTGATTTCATACAGCGAAAGAATAAAGTGGATATGCCTCAAATCCCGAGATTAATTTTAAAGAGCAGAAAAAGTCCCGTGATTTTTTAAATAAAAAGTTATTTACTTTTACACAATTTGAACTACTGCACGCACGACGTTTCTAAACTTACATCAATGACATCGGATGTCCAAAGTCAGAAATTATTGTCCATTAGAAATCCGGGGAAGATCCACATTAATATCAACATTTCGATGCAAGTACATAAATAATTCTACCTAATTCCGACCTCTGATTATGACATTATAGATTTATCTATGGTATAATATATGTGAGTCTACTAATCACAGAAAAGTGGATTGGATTGAACATTTGCGCATAAACCTAATTATTATTGTAAAAAGTATAATTGACAACCCAATCTGAATAGTAGGTAACATTCAAATTCATTCTTTGCGAAATATATCTAGCATTTGACTTCAGTGTTTATTGAATGTGCCTATAGTACTATATATCCTCTATTTTAGCGAGGAATCCTTTATTTTAGCGAGGATAAGAACAATCTAAGATGCAAGGGAAAAAAATCTCAGCAAATTATGCTAAATTGTCTAGTCTCCAATTGACTATTATTTATATTGCATTAAAGTTCAAAATCGAATAACTGATATAATATTTTGTTTATTTAGAGTACTTGCTTTTGTATTTTAGACCAATTTATTTATTCCGTCTTTCTTTTGAATAGAAATATATAATTATTTATTTCTTTGTAGGTCTGTCTATTACTTTTTGTTAGACAAGTTTTGTTTTTATTAAACCTGTACACAGTTCATTGTAAATTGAGTTAATAATATAACTTGTTCATATTAATTGTTGTTTTTATTGTACTATTAAAAAAGCACCGTAACTTTCGGGCTTTCTTTGACCAGTCTTCGGGCGAGTCCGTGCGGATGAAGAGTTTTACACAGTTTACAAAAGTGACATCCACTAGAGCTTAAAAGCGTCATTAAAACGTAATGGACGTTTGTGTAACGGACCAGTTGACCATAGTCCATTCAAAGTATTATTCACTATCTAATTTGAAATGTGTCATGACATTTTTCACTTCCGTGCGTCTCTGAAGACCTTTTTTTCTCGGTAACTCGTGGAGGTAGCAAGCTGAAATATATGTGAAATACTCAGGTCTACTGTCCCTTGGAGCTATGAATCAATATATACAGCCGTTTATGTCGCAAATTTTCGAAACTCGCAAAGCAATCAAAACCTACAGAGTACTTTCCGTCAGAATCTTGATATTTGGTACAAAGCAACGTCTTATAGCACAGATAAAGGCAATATTGCGAAAACCGTACATTTTTAGTTGCCTACATCATATAAATATATTTTTACTTATATACCTATAGGTTTGTACGGAAACTTCGGTGCGCGAGTCCGACTTGCACTTGGCTGGCTTATTATTTAAAGAAAGTATTTATTTATATAGTTTCAAAATATAATGGTCTCATCAATAGGCGGTTGGTACATAACTAGACTTACCTTACAATACCTTCAATAAAGGTACTATAAAAACATGTAATATATTGAAGTAAATATTTGAATAAAAAATCTAAAAACTCATTTAATTGTGTTGGGATCTTAAAATCCTCCAGCGCTTCCATCGCTACGAGGGTCAAATGCCCCTTCCATCATACCATTAGTATGCCTAACTAAGGCCCCAGCTTGTCCCATTTTTTCTGAAAATGTTCCTAATAATTCAACTTTATGGCCTCTTTCTTTTAAGTACTGAAGAGTATCATCATCAAACCTATCTTCCAATTTCAAAGTGTCCTGACCTTTTATGAGTGTGTCACCATACAACCACCGTGGTGCTGTAATAGCCTTCTGCAAATTTAATCTTTGAACCACATATCGGTGAAACACTGCTGCTTGAGTTTGAGGTTGTCCATCACCACCACGAGTACCATATATCATAATGCGACCGTCGTTCAAAACTGCAGCAGCAGGATTCAAGGTATGAAACGGTTTTTTTCCAGGTCTTAAAGACAATATATGATTATTATCTAGTGAAAATGCAACTCCTCGGTTATGCCACAGAATGCCAGTTTTCGGTAAAATAACACCGCTGCCGAAATCATGATAGATGCTTTGTATATACGAGACGGAAAACCCTTTGTTATCCATCACTCCCATCCAAACTGTGTCCCCGGGCCCTTTAAACTTTGTAGTCGTTGCAGCCCTATTTATATCAATATTTCTAGCCATATCAAGAATATTTTGTGAAGACAATAAAAAATTTGTGTTTACTTCCATATCGGCAGGATCTGTTACATATTTGTCCCTTAATTCAAATGCTTCTTTTGTAGCTTCGACTGTGGCGTGTATGAATCTACCTTCATGATCACCTTTAATACGTAATTGATCTAATATCCCAAGTATACTAAGTGAAACTATTCCTTGTGTTGGTGGAGGTACATTGAATAATTCCCCATATGCATGCTGCAGACGTAGAGGTTCTTTTCTCAATGGTGAATAAACATTCAGATCTTCCAACGTAACTGGCATTCCAAGAGTTTCCATATCTTCTGCTATTTGCTTAGCCAATTTTCCGCTATAAAAACTATTAAAACCATCTTCAGCTAAAAGTCTTAAAGTTTTTGCTAAATTAGGTTGGCACAGCTTGTCGCCGACTTTCATTGCTTTTCCTTTATTTGTAAATATATCTAAAAATTCATGTGATTGACTTTCAGTCTCATAAAATTCCTTCAAATGATTCGCAAGGGATGTGGAAATTGGAAAACCTTGCTCGGCATAATAAATAGCATCTGCTAATAACTTTGAATGAGAGAATTTAGTATAGCCAGACTCTGCGACGTAATTAAGGGCTTCATACCACCCTCCCACTGTCCCTGCAACAGTAATCGCTGATTTTGGACCCCTTTTAGGTATTCTAATATGATCTTTGTAGAATTCTTCAGTTGCTAGTCTTCCAGCAGCTCCACATGCTTCTATGACAAAAGGCTTGTGATTCGGTGGGATAATAAGCCAGAATCCATCTCCTCCTAAGCTGTTCATGTGAGGGTACACTACAGCTAGTGTCGCTGCTGCGGCGACTGTTGCCTCAATAGCTGTGCCTCCTTCTTTTAGCACTTCTAAAGCACTTTGAGTAGCAAGATGATGAGGTGTCACCACCATGCCACGAGGAGCAATATTACTTCTCTCCATGGCTTTTTAAATCCTGCAAATATTATATTATGTTATTAATATTGGAAGTAACTTATTGTTATAAATACTGATTTTATTATTATTTCAGAAGTAGTTCGATAAGTTAGATTGTTAAGTTTCTATATGACCGGTGACAAGGTGGGTGATTAACAAAATACTATATCGAAATTCGGCTTCAGAAGGTGCAGCTGCAGTCGTCAACACCCACGAATTCGCAGTGAGCCCCTGTGTGGGCCATGGCCCCTTCAAATTGATTCCAGTCATAGGAGAGGCCTGAGCCCCAGCAATTGAGAACCTGTCTTATCAACAATAAGTCAGACTATACAAAACTGAGAAATTTCTCCAGTTGATTCAAATCTTAATACATTGTAAATAGAGTAAAAAAATAATTCGAGTAATTTGACATATTGTAGTGTGTAAAATAGAGAGAAACAGATCATTGGATGAAAAAGTCTCCATAGGCGAGGGTGCCTGAGTTTCTATTTAGACTGAGAGCTCGTGACAGAGCTTTTGAAAGCTTAGTTATTGTAGCATGTTAAAGTTCTAATGGTAAATATGTATCACTAATATGTCTGATACGATAATATCTAATGATTTGATAAAAAAAATAACTTTCAACCTTTACGTAACTCTTTCTGCTAAGTCACCGCGTTTCACGATTGCGCAATCTAAACATTTCATCTCCACTTTATAACAAAGCTTCGTATTTAAAATTGTCCCATCGCCACCAGGTGTTTCAGCACCTGACCATCGCACTGAATACTGGCTGATGTATTTTAACACTTCAACGTAATAAAATATTAAGCTTCCGAAGGGTCTTGCACATTTTTATCACGAGCTTTAGACTAAATACAACCTATTTATTGTTGACGTCAAAAAAAAAACGCCTGAAAAACTCTGTAGTCTTATTAGTAAATAAGACTACAGAGTTTTTCAGGCGTTTTTTTTTTGACGTTCTGGGCCAAGGGGAGTACCCCTTGGCCCAGAACTAAGACCGGAGGTGTCGACGGCGTACGTTAACAATATAAGTTCATATCAGTGGTATGAGGAAGATCAAAGGCGGAGACATAATGATGAATGCTGACGGAAAGTAGTATAGCTTCGAGAAGACAATGCAATCGAAATAGACTGTCTATAATTAAAATTTGAAGATACGAAGACGAAATAATATTGTTGGAGATAAGTACCTAACAAAACCTGTAACAGAAGTAAATAGCTAATTTTAAAATTTTTATGAAAAAATATTTCGATGAGACAAAGTTTACCCATAAATAGCCCAAAAACAGCGTTTTACGTTTTACCTCAGAATGATACATAACAAGCTGGTAAATAGCTTAAGCTTGGAAAATAGCTTTTTTAAGATTTAAAATCGAGGGGAAAAATTTAACAGTTTTGTTACTTATAGTCTGACGTAGTCAGGCTGTAGGTATATAAAAAAAAGCGGATTTAGCAAAATTATTTCTACGTCTGCGTATTTAACAGAGAGTCAACCATAATACATAGTATTTCACAGATTTCACCCTTTCATTTATTCTAATATGAAACATCCTCAAACCTCATAAAAAGTAACTGTATATACATATCTTAATCGTGTACTACATTATTCAAAGTAAATTACACTCTATCTCAATACAGAAAAGTCCAACTTTATAAACAAACTGACGTCGATGCCCAAAGGGCGGCAGCGACATCATTTTTAAATGTAGACTGAATTGAATTATTGAAACGTAAGTCGATATCTTACTTTGACGTAAAAATATTTTTTATTATTTAAAACATGTTAATAAAGAAAATATAAAACAAAACACTACATATAAATATCTAACGACATAACAATGACCTTTAATTTAAAAACTAGAAATTAAAAGAAACAGGGATGTGCCTTATATTCTATCTGGAATGTGCTTTAATTTTTATGGATAAAGCAATGTTGCGAAAACAGTTGCGACACTTACATTAGGTATGTCACGGGGTAGTATCTAATTATCCAAGAAGTGTAACAATTGACATATTTTATGCAACACTAGTAATAATGGTGAAAAAAATCTGTTTGAATTGGGAAATTTAGGCATGTTAAAAGGTGGGAGAGGGTCGTTTCTTTTGTCATTGGCAAAATTACACTATTTGATCGATGTATACACAGATCATCATTACAGTGTATCTATCTATTAAATTGTCTTTTACTTTGTTGTGATTTTTTATGGGCGTCGTTCCATCTTTAGATTGATGAAATTTGCCTAGGGCGCCAAATTTCATCGATCTGGCGCTTGATCTACCAAAATTATAATACTTATTGTCTCTTAGATTAAATATTACAGTTTTAGTTTTTTACAAATACAAATGACAGTGTTATTGAAAAAATGCTGTTATATATGTTTGTGTTGTAATATGTCACAAATCAAGATCAATTACTTTTTTATATGGCACTGTTATGATACTGAGTAGATAAATTACTGAGTAGATGTATTCTAACATGGAAAAAATTGAAGGAAAAATTTATCCTTTTTTTAATGATTATGAAAATGACAAGATTATTATTGCAGTCGGCTGACGTCTTAGGTTACAAACTCACGACTGCAATGAAAATTTTGCCAATCCATAATTTTTATAATTGTAACTTGTTTCGTATTTAGTTTGATTTTGGCAATCTTATTTTTTAAGTTTTTTATTATTTATTTTTATTAAATTTCCTTTTAGTGACTTAATTATGTATACAAGTTTTTGGAATGTACTCACCAAAACCCAATTAATTGCAATTAATTTCATACCCATATTGCTAGAATTAAAAACAATGTTTTTCATATTTATTTTAAATGACATCATACATCCACCACTTTGAATATCCTATTAATATTATAAATGTGAAAGTTCCTTTGTGTGATGTTTGTCCGTCAATCACGCCCAAACTACTAAATGGATTTTGATGAAATTTGGTATATAGATAGGGTATTAGCTGACTTTTATAATAGGATACCTTTTATCCCACTAAACATTTCGCTAGGGACCACGCGGATGAAGCTGCTGGTGAAAGCCAGTTTTTTTATTAATGTAACCAGTGCCACTTGGGACAGTTACTAACGGTGCCCTACCTAAAATACATGCATATGTGTTAATTTTTCAAAAGTTATGGTGGAATAAATAAACTTACATACATAGATGCATACTTACATACAATAACCCTAAACACAATACACTCATTTTTTGGAGTAGTTTTGTAAAAATAAAATAAAAATAGGTGCTATATTACTGTAGATAGAGTAGTAAGAAAAAATAGGTAAAGGTATTTGTTAAATACTGAAAGTTTAATTTAATTGTGTTATATTTTATTCAGTGCATTGTTGATATTCTACCTGGTACCTGTACAAAAAAGGTACATCACTAATTACGTCAAAATCCGCAAGGAATGGAAATGCAATCCGACTAAATGCGAAAGTTGACATTTTCTCCTGAATCAGTAAGTAGACAAAAGGTCAATTAAAACAGTTTACGTTATAGCAATAGCCGGGCGGAGGAGATGATCACGAGCTTTGTACGTGGATAACTAAAATAGATTTTGGAATATTTTTACGTATTGTGATCTGTTATCAAGGCGAACAAACTTAAAGCAATCATTATAGACTTGGATATTACAAGTTTTAGGTAAAAAGTATTTTGTTGTGACGAAAAATACTGTAATGTTTAAATCGTTGATGAACTCTGTGTTAACTCAGGCCAGTTGTCAAGAGGTGGGTAAGTTTTTTACAGTATTTGTTAGATATTTATCCAATTTTTTAAATTGCTCCGGCTAACGCAATATTTTGCTGTATTGTTGCCCTTGGAGCGTCCGCCCTTGAACTATTCAAACGTCACTGCGCTTATTGCAGCCTTCTTATTTGCTTATATCACCTGTTATCTAATTTTTGACTCATCAATCAACTATACGGGTATAATCGAATACAACATTTTTTCACAAAAATGTCGTTAACATAGTTTACTACAACATTATAGGATATTAGATTATGTTAGCACAACAGTATATTAAATAATAATCTAGAAACTTACCAATATCTTACTCCAAATATGATGCAAGTTGCCAATCATTAAGTTCTCTATCCAAATTTTTGTGTCAATATGTTTTTAAAACTACAATATTAAATTGCAATTCTCAAGAGCACTAAGTTGTATATTCAAATATTATTTTGTGCCAGTCTTTTATAAAGGGCAGAAATATTATAAAAGCAATTGAGATAGTACACAATTGTACACAAGATAATAACTATACTCTTATCAGTTACGTCAATTGACCAGGCTATCATGTCAGTATGAATTGTGTATCCTAAGCAATATGATTACTTCACGTAGGGTAATTAAGTTTTATTATTTATTAATAATATAATAAATTGTCAGTGTATGTGCAATTAATAGTGTGATTGTGATGATACCTACATGGAATTGAAGTTTTAATGTACTCCAAAATGGGTTTGAAATTATTTAATATAAACAATTAAATAAACCTTAGGGAGCATAAAATAATTCTATGTTAATTATATTATATTTTTGTCCTGTCATTTTAATTTTAATTTGTATACAATATAATTTATATCAATTAGCAAAGTAATAAATGGTGCATTCACATCAGAGTTTATCATATTGTTGAAAGTTATCAAACATTAAACTGTTGTTACTATTTATAGAATAATTAATCTTTCTAAAAGTTACATTGCCCTATCAATAAAAAGTATGTACATATTAAGCCTATTCTTGCTGCATAAATTCTTACATAACCACTTACCATTTTAACTTAATTTTGTCATTTATCTAAATTAACAAGAAGGAGGAGTGCCGTGTCTGCAAAAATATATTTCGTGAACCAGTGCTTTACTTTAAATTATTACTACCTTGACTCTTCATTGATTATTAAAAGTCAAGGTAACATTCATGATACAAATATTGTTTGGTTATTAATTACAGCTCCCTATAGTTAAGTGTCATTTGTTTTTCAAGACAAACAGCTGTATTTCAAAATTGACATATCTTTTGAATATTTCTCAGGTTTAAACTATGTTATAGCAAGTAGTTTTCAACACTGGAAGTAGATAATGCAAATTTGTTCATAAACATAGACATTGACACTGGAAAGCAAACACATACAAAATGAAAATGAATATTTAGAGTAGAAAATCTTTATATTGAAAAAAAAAAAATCTGTACATATTGACTTAGGAACACCTTATTTGATAATGTGAACGCTAATAAGAATTATTATGTGAAAAAAGTTTTTCTGCTCTGAAGAATAATTAAGGTAACCCACCTAATTATTTTAAATAATTAGATGGGTTACTAAGTGTTTGCTTTCCAGCATAGACATTATATTGATGAATTATGTTTTAAGATAAATATTATTGTGAAAGCATAATTCTCTTTTAGATTGGTAATGGTTGAATAGTAAACTTCTTATAAATGTCACTAGTATGATGAAACTATGTAAAGCCCAGAAGGAATGAATAATTTGTACGTATATATTTTATAAGGAAGTAATTTATGTTTTTAATCAGCTGATTACAAATATTACATCATGTTATCAGTAGTGAAACAAGATATACATACAATCAGTCATAGCTTTAAATCACCTACACACTACTGGTATATAAGTTTGGCAATAATTATTTTTATTACATTTGTTGTTTTACTTTCAACTTTTATAACAACATTAATGTGATTATGTGAAGTCAGTTTATCTTTAGAGTAGTTTGGTTATTTACGTTTTGAATAAGAATTTTTATTTACTTTGGCAGGGGGCTGGTTATTTAAAAAGAGCAGACACAGAAAAATTACATGATATATTCCTGAAATATGCCACTGTTGAAAAGAACGGTGAGAAGCACATCACTAGTGAAGATTTTGTAAGGAAATTTTTAGGATTATTTGATGAAGGTGAGTATTTGTCTACTTAATTCGTTGATAATCTTAACTAGCTGTTTCCCTGGAATTCCTTTTATTTGGTTTTCTTTAAGGAGACACAATCCTGAAATATAAATCTGGAACTTCATTGAAACAAATAAATAGCTTTTGAATAATTAGAACAATTAACTAAAATAAAATCATCATACTAATTAAAATATTGAGAATATAAATTATAATCACTTCTCCCAAGTGGATATAATGTTTATTGTTAAAAAATACACAAATCATTTCCCCTGTGGCTTTGGCAAAGCTTCAGAGGTACAGCAATATTAGATGAATAGACTAATACTAGTATGAAACCTCTCATATAACTATAGCTTCAAGACATGTTACACTTCATATTGGTTAGGATTTTTTTGTCCAATACCAGTAGTGATGGTTGCCAACCCATGTTTTCAAAGTTGCCCTGTAGGTTCATATTACTACTTGAATAAGAACATTAGCAGCTGGTTTTATATAACTGCGACATAGAATTAAGGCTATTTAAAAAAATCTCAGCAATTATGTTAAGGAATCTTGACAAAATGACAATGTATATTTTCTTACGGAAAGGACAGTCTTGGGTTAAGATTTGTTTTGAGAACAAATATTACAGAATAAATCTTAATCTTCTTAACTATTTTCAGATGACTACAACAAGGAGTCAGTCAAACTCATCGCGGGCATTGTGGACTTGGACAAAGATGGGTTTATCTCGTTTTCCGAGTTCCAGGCATTTGAGGGTCTTCTGTGTGTACCAGACGCACTGTATAAAACGGCTTTCCAGCTGTTCGACACAAATGGCAATGGACTCGTGGCTTTTGGTTCGTTTGATGTAGACATAATACACAAATTTCATGTTACACAAAAAATGTATGCTATTGATTTTGAACTCTACTTAACGTGGAGATATTAACAGTTTTGAAAAACCTAACATACTATTTAATAGTGGATTCTCTTTTTAGTTGGATGATATTTAAATAAATAATAAATGCATATAATAAATTTCATACTAATATACAGAAGTCAAGTGATGTTGTACATAAAATAAATATAAAACAATGGCAAATAAAACACATTATTATGGAAATCGGAAACAAAGCAAATACCTAGTTCAATATCATATAGCCAAAAGTTAGCTTATTCGAAAACTTTTTAGTTTAACTACATTATTATAATGTAACATATTTTTGTGGATACTAATCTTGTAATTGAAAAATGTCAAAAAAAAACCATTATCTTATCATGTATACTTAATTTTCTTCTTCAAGATTCTCTTGTATATTTAATTCAAAAAATGTTTATAATAATTTAAGTACTATTGGTCTGTAAATTAAAGCACATTTAATCATATACAATTCGTTTGGTAAATGATTGTTTGATGCAAAAATAAATGAAAAAAAAAGAAAATTATCACCACTGTTTTTTTTTTTTCAGATGAATTCGCCGAAGTCATGCGCAAAACTGTTTTACACAAGAAGCTCCCGTTCAACATGGAGTCGACCTTCGTCCGATTGTACTTCGGCAAGGACAAGAAGCGTCTGGTGACGTACCAGGAGTTCAGCCAGTTCCTCCACGACTTCCACGAGGAGTACGGCGTGGAGGCCTTCAAGAAGTGCGACAAGGACGGCACCGGCTTCATCAGCGCCGGAGATTTCAGGGACATCATGATGTCTGTGAAGAGCCATCTGTTGACAAAGGAACTGAAGACTAAAGTTATTAGCGTGAGTGGATTACATTCGTTCGTTGACTCTGCAATTGCATTTCGATTTGCGGACAGAAAATATGGATGCTGAGTTAGATATATAGATAACAAATCGAGGTCATTGATTTGACTCTCGTTTGTCAGATGGTCATTGTCTTGAGATGTATTGTTGATAGCTAAGAGTATTGTTTATTTTCTGCTAGCTTTCCGCTTGCGGCTTTACCCACGTGGTCTTGTATTATACATAAAAACTTTCCTTTTGAATCACCCTATCTATGAAAAAAACCGCATCAAAATCCATTGCGTAGTTTTAAAGATTTAAGCATACATTGGGTTATAGGTATAGAGAAAGCGACATTGTTTTATACTATGTAGCAATGGGCGTTTGGTCTATACACTGACAAACGTTTTGTTAACAAGCATTTTCAGTCATTTCTGATCTATTTATGTCACACAAATGATTTAACATATTTTTTGTCAATAAACTATATATCCAGTTCTTATTATTCATATTTTTGTTCCTTAATAACTTAATCATAAGGTTCAATTTTGATAAAACTTACTTTTACTTTCTTTTAAGAAGATAAAAAACATTATAACCTTGTCATAGTAAAAGTACACGTAGAAGTATAAGATATAAGAGTGATTTTTGTGTAATTTGTTTTAGGCATCGGGCTTCCCTCAAGGCGAACGCAAAATAAGTTTCCCATACTACATGGCGTTCAATTCTCTTTTAAACAATATGGAACTTATCAAACGTGTGTATCTGAATGCTACTAACGGACATAGAACTCAGGAAGTCACTAAGGAAGAGTTCCTCCACTCCGCTCAGATGATGAGTCAGATCACACCATTGGAAGTCGAGATACTGTTCACTCTCTGCGATATGATCAACCAAACAAATGGGTGAGTTTTTATAATTTTAGTTTAAAAAACTCTAAGTGCACTGTAAGTTTGTTAATTTTCCCCTTCTTATGTCTGGTATTAAAAATTCTTCACTTATTGTTACAAAATTGGGAATTCCTTTATTTAAATTTATAACAGAATTGTGAAACTGCACAGCGCGCATCTAAGATTAAGTCATTAAGGAGAAAAAACTAAATGATTTGGGTTTTCATTTCATTCGTTTTTAAATAAGTAAATAAATAAAGTAAATAAATTATTGTATCGTAACATACATATTTAGGAAAATCATTGCCACAAATAATATATTATTTAGTATATATTTCACAAAGGTCGTCAACATATGGGTAATAGAATATTTAATTCTCGAGTTTTCAAAAGATATCTGAAGCTTTTATTTGAAGTTTAATAATATCAAATAATTTGATTAGGTATAGTTTAATTTTTTTAATTTAGTATAATTTCTACTGCTTCAGTTATAAGGTTCATATTTCAATGTTTTACTGCAAGACGAATAGTTTTTGTTGCCATTCAATATCACATGATTATTTACTACAAATGGCCCTACTTTACAAAAATCTTGCGAATAAATAAAGATAGCGTAAGAATGTTATAAAATATTATAGTCGTTGTTGAATGTCATATCATTAAAGAATGCTATTTGCGTGATGACCACGTGTGACCGATAGGAATTTGATTCGGAAATAAGATAATGGCATACGGTGTTCGTTGTCTTGATATAAATATTTGCTAAATTTATATATACATATATATCTCTTTTTTGGTAACCAATCCTATGAACGTCTCTTCCGAAAGTCACAATCGCAGACCGATTATGCGAAAATACATTAGACATTTTGAAATATAGCGTCGTAGGTTGAAACAAGCGAGAAACGACTTCGATCGACACATTGTGAAATTCTAAACAGATTTTTAGATTCAGGGGACAACCCCATAATATAGGTAATTCAATTCTGAATTTTGGGAGATCGATTAAGAATGGAATTTTCTTATTTAAACCAAAAAAGGTTAAAACGAATATGTTATTAAAAAATATACATTCATTTCCTTTGTTTTTTTAGTTCAGCATAAAAGTTTCCGCATGCATAACTTTTGAAAAATAATTCTTATCTTATAATATTTAGTGTATTATACCGTAATTATACTACTCAATAAACACATTTTTAAACTGAGAATAATCAGCAATAATTTTTGAATCCGTCTATGTTTCAAGTGTGTTCTCCCCTTTAATAACCATTATATTTCTTTTTTAGTCGCATCATTTACAACGATCTCAACACAATCACACCAGAGCAATACTTCAAACACGTCACACGCCGAGTCGCAGAGATCAAAGCGGTCTCGGTAAGTATATATATATCGTTCTCTCTCCAACTATCATACACCCCATAAATTTGTCTTTGTTTAACGCAAAATTCTCGACAATTCTTACAGGAGCCGACCGCGCGTTTACACGTATTTTGAAAATGTACGTTTAGATTAATTTAGCATCTATGTTGTAATGCGTAAGAGTTCTTTTTCGAAACATCACTAACTAAAAGCTGTATATTTTTTCTCTCTTTCAATGCACAAAAGGAGGAGGTAAATATGTTGAGAGAGCCTTTTCGATTAGTTTACTTAGTGGACCGCATCATGGTAAGTACAGGTCACACGAGTTTATGATGTTTCTATTTTTATTTTATTCAAAACAGCTTGAGTTTTTTGTATATTATACTAAGATGCCTTTATGTTATCGCTGCGTGATATATGAAGTCTTTTTTGGTATATCTAAAAACTCGGACAACTTTGATCTTTTATAGGTAAATAGAAAAACTGCTACAACTTAGATTTACTTCCTTACCACTAACCACCATGTCACGTATGTGCGCTACAGAAATTCCATTGTCTCATACAAGTTTTTACTGTTATACGCATTGGATTGGTTGGGTGGTATAAAGGATTGTGGGATATCAATAAAGGGCACAAAGTAAGGACAAAAGATAAAATATATTAATAATTAAACATGTGGTGATATATGTGCCGCAGGAAATAAAAGGCCAGATAATTAAGATTATTCTAACTATCAAGTTGAGATAATACGCAAAATGTTCTACTAAGCGACTTCTAGTAAAATTTTTCTTTAACATTAATATTACTATGACAATAGGATTTGTATTATTAATTTATCCGGACAGTCATTTTAAAATACTGAATTTTAAGATTTCGCTTAGCTATTTTCTGCACGTCTAACTAATCTAATCCTCTTATATTTGACGAGTTCAAAATTTATCAGCAGAATCGTACCGAAACAAGTAAAATTTGAAAAATGGTTGGTCTACGAGAACAGGAAGTTTGGGAACCTCTTTGATATATTGCTTGTGAAACTTTATATGACGCCAAATGCTCTCCTATGTACGCAATTGTACACGTACGCTCTATCCGTTCACATCTCTGCCAGGACGGTCCAGGCTCACCTGTACCACCACACCGCGCCTTTGTCGTGTAGCATAAATAAACATACCTCATATTTGACTCAAAAAACATTACCATTTTTAATCAAATATATTCTTTCACATATCCAGATAATTTTTTTTTTTTTGTCTCTACACTAAACATTTCAAGACACTTTGCTTAACCAATCGGAGTAGGTCAAATAGTATATTAGAAAAAAGAGGGTCATAGAAGCAGCAGTGCAGAACATTTTATTTTCAAGATAAATTTAAAAAATCTATATTAGTTTTGTTGAAACTTTGAACGTTAGGTAGTCTGAAAGAGCTAGGCAATTTTCCATTTTTTATGATATCTCGGGGTTGAGATGAGGCCAGCATTTTATAAATTCATCTTTTAGTCTCAAGCCAACATGAAACTAAAACTGAAACTATCTGTGTGTTTTGATAAATTCTAATTGTAAGTGTAATAAGTTAGGCTATTGATGAAGACATTGGAAAAACTCCTTGAAATGTCAAAGTTTGAGGGTAGGTATGGGGGCTTAGAGCATAATTTTTGTAGGCCACTCGGGCCTGTACCGGCATCGTCCATATTTACCAAAACTTAACAACAAAAATAAAACAATAACATCACGGAAAACGGCTAAATAACAAGAAAGGCAGTAGCATTCACAATGGATGACAATCCCAGATTACGATTTTAACAATTATGAATAAATAATAGTCTGACAAAATTAAAAAGCTGTACTACCGAAACGCTTAAAGGGGTAGGGCAACGTTTTAAATTTGGTAGAGTTATAGTGACATGAGAATCGTGCCGAAACTATCCAACCCTGCTTCTTTAGGTTCTTTACGATGGACACTTTTTATTGTAATCTTATTAAATCATTGAAGTTAGTCATAGCTCATAAATTTGTTTAATAGTTAGCTTAAATGACAATAGTTAAGTATAGCAGCTGATATTTAAGTGAATATGCAAATTAGCCGTCAGTCTTAAAAGTAATATGATTATTGATATTTTGTCACAAAGTATACCATAAAAAGAACCTTATTTCACTTCTGTCTAATGCTATAATGAATGGAGTATAAGTATCCTGCTATCATATATTTTCTTATTACTTAATCAATTGCTCGGCTAACTGTTTATGACTTATTCTGGCTTCCAACATGCGTATATAGTGCGTAGGCACGTACTCGTACCACGTGAACATTACAGGGAGAGTCTTCTAAAAACACACTTGCACAGTCACGGTCAGAAGTAAAGCTTATGTCTTCGTAACATAGCTAATATACTCTAATATAATTTCGCTATTTTTTTGTATAATTGCATTTATGGCGAGCAAAAGTGCTTTAATAAGTACGTTAGAAGGAGGGATAAGAAATTTAATAAATCGGTCTCGTGATATGGATACGTTCTCTTATTACACTGTCATGTCAAGGATATACGAATGGTTTGAATGAATTCGACGTTTTATGCCAGAGTTCAGGCAAGTATCTACGAAGAGCTAACGATGCGCCTTTCCAACACTTATCATGGTGCTGAAAAACTGACGTCTGATATCTGAATTAGGGAGCTCAACTAGTTTCCTCGAAGATGGATGCACTTGACCTAATCAATTTGTACACGGCAGCGTATCAGGTTACTGTAAACATCTATTTTAATTCTTTAATTCTACGAAATCAGGAAGTCTGGGAACCTCTTCGATATATTGTCTGTGAAACTTTATATGACGCCTAATGCTCCGTTACGGCACTCGGCAGCATATCAGGTTACTGTCATATATCTATTTTAATTCTTTAATTCCAGAGCATTGAGACTGATATTTTACAGTTTTGTACAACCTGATTTGTATTTTTACTACATAACATATAAGTACTCCCAATTATATACGCATTATTTGTTTTTAATAATTGCCAGGCACCTGCTAAGAGTCCGATTTATATTAAGTTTGCCATTGTTACAGAGTCCCGAGGAACGCAGTTTCCTTATTCAAATTCTCGAGAGTACATACAGGTTCACACTGGGTTCCATCGCTGGTGGTGAGTTATGATGTTAATAGCAGTTGTAAACGATCTGTCAAAAAGTTATGCGTCGAATTGGAAGCGTGTATGACACGTATCATAACTTTTCGATCGATAGTTTATAATCTCGTGAAACAAATCATGCTGTTTCTATAAACCAAAATTTACGTATAGATCCCCAATTCTTTGACTACGAAGCCCTACGAAGTATTTAAACGTTCAATGAATCATTAGAACTTTTTTACACTAAAGATATTCCGTGCTTTTTAGTACTAAATTGTCCACAAATGACGTCACGCACTCAGATCGATATTACTCAAGAAGCTTAGACAGAAGCTTCTCGATGTTACATTGACGTGAGGTACACGCTATGAATATCGAAAAAAAAAACTGATTTTATTTTTTCATCTATACTAATATTATAAAGAGGAAAGATTTGATTGTTTGTTTGCATCGAATAGGCTCCGAAACTATTGAACCTATTTAAAAAAAAAATTCACCTAAGAGAAGCTACATCATGTAGATATAGCCTATATTTTATCCCGTAAAATAGCATTGAAATAGAGGAATGAAAATGGGAATTATGAAATAGAGGTATGAAAATGAGAATGCAAGTTTGTATAAGGAATTAAGACGTTACCATAGTAACCAATGTTTTACTATTAAATTTGTGTGTCGTGATACGAAACCTAATCCAAATGAATCATTAAATTAAATTCTAAGCCTGCATCAACACATGGGTCACTCTTTATCCACTTAACGGTTCTCCGGGGACTCATAAAGGTTTTATAATTGTTTCGTCTGTTTGCTGTTCTCTCGAGTGTAATGTAACGATTGGAGTAATGTGATGTGTGTGGGGCGGGACAGCGGTGGGCGCGTCGGCCGTGTACCCGATAGACCTGGTGAAGACGCGCATGCAGAACCAGCGCGCGGGCTCGTTCATCGGCGAGGTGGCGTACCGCAACTCGTGGGACTGCTTCAAGAAGGTGGTGCGCCACGAGGGCCTGTTCGGCCTCTACCGCGGCCTCGTGCCGCAGCTCATCGGCGTCGCGCCCGAGAAGGCCATCAAGCTCACGGTGCGTGTCAGATTAATTCGTTTGACCGTTTGAGTTAAATGACTTGAAATTTCTAGATTAAAAAATTAATTATTAAGTATTTTTCATAGTTTTTTTATTTATTTACAAACATAAATACTGTTATTTGAAAAAAAAAACTAAATAAAAAATGATGTATACTTCACATGTTGACGATTCAGAGGCTGACCTAGGCGACAATATTTCTTCGATACAGGTTTACTAGATAGCTAACGTCATATTTTTTTCAAATATTTTTCACGTTTTTATTATTCCGCTTTAGTTTAGGTTCATCCCTAAAAAGTTGGGCATAGTACTGATTTTCAAATTTATTCCAGGTCAACGATCTTGTTCGTGACAAATTTATGGACAAAAATGGAAATATTAATCTTTACGCAGAAATTCTCGCCGGTGCTTGCGTGAGTATTCAAATGTTTTAACATAACTTAAAATCATAGTCTGCGTATATCTATATCGTCGTCGGTCATATCCATATTAAAATCATCATAAAAACCGAATAATGCTTATTTATTGGTGATTTCTAGAAAAAAATGTATCCTCTTGAAAAATAAATTATTTTAACAAGAATCAAGGTAATTACGTAATTCAAAAACTTCTATGTAGGTACTAGTTAATATTACGTTGTTTATGTTAAGTATGGTTAACAGTTCGTGAATGATTTTAACATATTTAGTGTCAAAAAATCTAATTTCATGGTATCTTCATTAAATGAATTGAAAAATAGCAATTTTATCGATTGATTTTGGAAAGAAATATTGTTTCCATAAACAACACTTTTTGTTCGTTACTATCTGTGGGTAGTCGTACCGAGAGGATAAAGATACGATATTAAAACGACGCGAGTTCGGTGGCGTAGTGGATAAGCGTCACGACCCGCGGTCGCTGCTGCTAAGCAATCTTTACAAGGGTCGGTCACGGGATAATCCGTGCTGCGGAAGGCGCAATAAACCGCCGGTCCCGGCCGCATTTGCAGGACAGGATCCTTCAATCCGCACGGTCACGGCCCGTCCTCTTTAACCAGCGACGTAGAAAAGTAACTAATTGAAAAATGTTCTCGTTCTGTTCGAGGTCGGTGAAATAAATAGCGAAAGTAAGCGTACATCAGCGAGAGCCTATTTTAAGAAAGACAGAATAATGACAGTTGTACAAAAAGAAAATTTTGCAAGAAATGTGATTCTCATCGATATAATCAATGTAATAATGAAAAGTTACGTCATCCAAAGGTAAAATTAAAAAAAGTTCAAAAACAGGGTATTTAACTAAAAATAATAATGTGTAACAAATTACCTTTAAGTATTACAAACGGAGACCACTGTAGCTTTTAAATTCCTTTAAGCATAATCCTTTCTTGAATTTTTGACGATGCGTATAAGCGGATCTACTTTTATGACATGATGAAATAAGATACTGTAAGATTTTTTTTGAGATTTGGATTTGAATGAACTATGAATTGTTAACTTAACAATATTGTTATAAATGGCCAATGAACAAATTCCGTTTCCGTTGCAGGCGGGCGGGTCGCAGGTGGTGTTCACGAACCCGCTGGAGATAGTGAAGATCCGGCTGCAGGTGGCGGGCGAGATCGCCAGCGGCGAGCGCGTGCGGGCGCTGGCCGTCGTGCGCGACCTCGGCCTCATGGGGCTCTACAAGGGGGCGCGGGCCTGTCTGCTGCGCGACGTGCCCTTCAGCGCCATCTACTTCCCCGCCTACGCGCACGTCAAGGTATAGCCCCCCTGCCTGCTGCGCGACGTGCCCTTCAGCGCCATCTACTTCCCCGCCTACGCGCACGTCAAGGTATAGCCCCCCTGCCTGCTGCGCGACGTGCCCTTCAGCGCCATCTACTTCCCCGCCTACGCGCACGTCAAGGTATAGCCCCCCTGCCTGCTGCGCGACGTGCCCTTCAGCGCCATCTACTTCCCCGCCTACGCGCACGTCAAGGTATAGCCCCCCTGCCTGCTGCGCGACGTGCCCTTCAGCGCCATCTACTTCCCCGCCTACGCGCACGTCAAGGTATAGCCCCCCTGCCTGCTGCGCGACGTGCCCTTCAGCGCCATCTACTTCCCCGCCTACGCGCACGTCAAGGTATAGCCCCCCTGCCTGCTGCGCGACGTGCCCTTCAGCGCCATCTACTTCCCCGCCTACGCGCACGTCAAGGTATAGCCCCCCTGCCTGCTGCGCGACGTGCCCTTCAGCGCCATCTACTTCCCCGCCTACGCGCACGTCAAGGTATAGCCCCCCTGCCTGCTGCGCGACGTGCCCTTCAGCGCCATCTACTTCCCCGCCTACGCGCACGTCAAGGTATAGCCCCCCTGCCTGCTGCGCGACGTGCCCTTCAGCGCCATCTACTTCCCCGCCTACGCGCACGTCAAGGTATAGCCCCCCTGCCTGCTGCGCGACGTGCCCTTCAGCGCCATCTACTTCCCCGCCTACGCGCACGTCAAGGTATAGCCCCCCTGCCTGCTGCGCGACGTGCCCTTCAGCGCCATCTACTTCCCCGCCTACGCGCACGTCAAGGTATAGCCCCCCTGCCTGCTGCGCGACGTGCCCTTCAGCGCCATCTACTTCCCCGCCTACGCGCACGTCAAGGTATAGCCCCCCTGCCTGCTGCGCGACGTGCCCTTCAGCGCCATCTACTTCCCCGCCTACGCGCACGTCAAGGTACAAGGCGATGACGTCCCGCTTTTCTTGACATTCTCTACATAACTGTGACGGGGGGACCCCCCTCCCCCCTCCTCGACTGTAATGCCTGTTATCCGAGCTGTTTCTTTTAAATTGAAGTAAAAAAAAAATCGTTTTCCGGTTTAAGTCTTTTGTTCAAAGAGAATCGACACCCATGTCAAATGTTTTTTTGCGTCAAATTCAAATTTGGTCGATAAACACGTTTTACTTGTATTTAAAGTTAGACTTAAACAAGAACACGATTTTCATGTGTACATATATTTTAAGCCAATAATTAATTGAAAATGGTTTTGAAATATTGCCAGGATTGAGCAATATTTACATGTGCAAATGGTTTCGCTACACTATTTAATAGTAAAAAAATAACTTAATATTTCTTCGCGCAGGCGAAATTCGCAGACGAGAACGGCTACAATCACCCGCTGACGCTACTGGCGGCCGGAGCCATCGCCGGCATCCCCGCCGCCTCGCTGGTCACGCCCGCTGACGTCATCAAGACCAGACTACAGGTGGGTATTCATTGTTCATCATCATCATCACCAGCCCTTTTATCTCCCCAGCAGGGGCTCAGGCCTTCCTTCTGGATGGTTACGGAGGATGAGCCATGACCCTCCACACTGGCCCAATGCGGATCGGAGGGTATTAGCGACTGCAAATGCAGCCGGGACCAACGGCTTAACGTGCCTTCCGAAGCATGGAGTAGCTCGAGATAATAATTTTTTGGTCACCCATCTCGTGACCGACCATTGCGAAAGTTGCTTAACGACTACGATCGCGGGCCGCGGCGGTTATCCACTACGCCACCGAGCTACTCTGGTATTCATTGTTATAGTTAATAATCTTGCTGCATTCACAATGCTATACTGAAAAATATATTTAATGGAAAATGTTTGAAAAATACTCTTTGTCCCTAGCATCGTCTCGAACCAAAATCCATTATCTATAATACCATTGAGTTCATTTTTAATAAAGATAATCGATTTGGATCTCAATTTATAAAACAATATTTAAGAAGAATATTTATTCATCAACAAGATGAATAGCTTATAAGTTTAATTGTTTCGACAACAATAATTAAAAAGAAAAGTCAAATGATTTACCTAATACATATTTCAACAAAAACGTTTTTATTGATTCAATCCCTAAAAAAAGTTTTAATTTCCGTCACAATCCATCCGTCAATATCCATTGTGTATACTTAAACTTTAGAAGCTTAGATTTCAGTAATTAGGTCAATTAAAAGTTTATTTGTGTTTAATATGAAAATTTAAATAAATATCTAATATATACACAGTTAAACTATTTTGTATTTTAAATGGTTTTTAATTATTTGGAAATACAAATTGCATGAAAGAGATTTTTTAACAAACGTCGTACTCATGCTATGTGATACGGACTATAGAGGCTGATATATTAAATCTTGTTTTACGCAAAACGCTTTTGTTTATCATCTTAAAATTAATATCTTATTAAATGTCAACAAACTCGCATATCATTCCAGAAGCGAATCGTCTTCTGTTGTAAGGGTTTGTGGTTTGGCAAAATTGTCTATTGCTTGAGTTTTCCTAATGTATGACTCGAGCTTCTTAGGCTCAAACTTTTAGCTCAAAAAAGAAGAAAATAAAAAACTCACATACGAAAATAAATTAATTATTTATATACGTGAATATAATATTCAAGTAAGAGTGATATTATTATGGAATATAGTATTACCTTTGTAACAGGTTGTAGCGAGATCAGGTCAAACTACCTACACTGGAGTATTGGACGCGACTAGAAAAATATACGCGGAAGAAGGTGCCAGAGCTTTTTGGAAAGGAGCTCTAGGTAAGAATCACTTGAATGAATTTGGACACTATTAATCTATTCTTGATAAGATTTGTTATTCACAATAAGTTTCACTTTAGCATATTATTTATTTATTTACTAAACTTCATTGACTAGTAAGGAAATGGCACAAAAGGCGGACTTAATGGCATTATGATTTACTGGGAAGTTTCCCGGAAGTTTCTGAGATCTTTAATTTCCCGAAAAACAGTACGAACTTTCACAATATTAATTAATGCTAATATATATTTTTAATCAAATACTATGAATTTATGCTTTTTATAAAATTCGATGGTGAAGCCTACAATAATATTCTAAATTTATAAGTTACGCCGTATACATATACATATGCACAGGAGTTTAATTTTTTTTAAGGTTCGACTTGAAACTTTAGCCGATCGTAACGTTCCATATTTGCGCATGAACCTTGTTACTCATATCCATACGTGCGCGCCGTGTTTTATACCTGACATATCCCGAAAGTTCTGAGTTTCCTCGATTTGAAACCGTAACGTGAATGCATTAAAGTCTATATTTCAGTAGCGTTCGTTCAACCATTCTTTTGAAATTCCCTTGCACAGATGCTATTTATAAAAATGGTAGTAATTTATTACTTTTGTATTGAAAGACATATTTTACTCTTCAATTGATATATTAAATTCACCATGACGATTCCAATAGTTTTACAAGAATGACAACCCGCAGTTTAATGGCGCGAAACTGAACAAACGTTAAACTCGATGACAGTGACAGCTAACTGACAGATATGGTTGTCCGTAGAGAAATCGACAATTAGTGCCAGTAGTATTCAATGTTTTTCCCTCTAACAGTACTATAATAATGTTTGTGTTGTTCGCAGCTCGAGTGTTCCGATCGTCTCCACAGTTCGGTGTAACGCTAGTCACATATGAAATCTTACAACGTCTGTTCTACGTTGATTTCGGAGGATCGTATGTACACTTTCAATATTATTTAATCACATAGTTTAATTTTTGGGTATTGTATATTTTTTTGACAAACGAATGTAAGGTGTACGAGACGTAATGAGAGAAAAAGAGAGGAAGTTGTGTTTGAAAATGTTCTGGAGTGCATTGTAAATAAGTAAAATTAAAGAAAATACAAGTTACCCACTGAGGACCATTATGTTGATGCTAAGTATATTAAATAAATTGCGTTCAGTGTGTAACGAATACAGTATTTTGTAAATATTTACTTTATGGTATTTTCTTATCCACCAAAAGACGTCCTGAGTGGTAGGAAAAAAATGTAGAAGATATTCCAAAGTACTTTAAATTAATCTATTTGAATTAGTTTATTATGATAGTAAATAATGTTGATTTGGTTAATGTCAGACGACCGACTGGATCTGAGCTACACGTTTCGACGCCGATAGAAGAAACCAAGAAGAAGGCGCACCACATCGGCGGGTACCAGGTGGCCATCCCCGTGCTCACCGGCCTCGAGACCAAGTTCGGCATCTCCTTGCCGAGATTCTCCTTCGCCAAACCTCAGTAAGCAAATTAAACTCTATTTCGTTTGCGATAGAGACCATTTTTTAATTTTTGTTGACAGCTCAAGTGAAATCGTCTATTCGGCGGGACGATTATGTACTCGTGAAATATCCTCTTAAATTTATACTAAAATTTGATTTTAAAATTATAATTCGACATTCGAAATGTTTTGTTCATTTTTAAAAAGAAATTAATATGTGTGAGCTCTATGTTTAAGTGAAGATGTGAAATAGTAATGTTGCAGTATTTTTCGTCACATTTCTGGTCTTATTCCAATGCCATAAAGTTCAGTATCTCGTTACGTATTTTATTACCACGACAGTGTTGTTTGTGTTTATATTAAAGTTCCTGATTTAAATAACCTCATACGTATATATTTCTTTTCTACATATATGATTATTATAAAAGTCATTTTAATAAGTGATGGTACTATTTGAAATTAACTCTGTGATTTATTTGTAATATTATATCGGCAAAATCTATATTTAATAATTGATTGTATAAATTAACAGCCTTAATTATGAAAAAAAAACTGTTGAGTCAAATTATTGTTATTCAAAATAACGCAGGAATAATTTATTTCATAGAAATCGGAAGTGAAACTGTCAGTTGTCTCGTTTATTATTATTTGCATTTGTTTGTTAATAAAATATGAAGGTTATATAAGTAAGGCTGTTAACTATTAATTCTATAAACTCATGGTACAATAAAAACGGCAAATATCTAATTTATAATATCCAGTAAGTAGTATCATTGTATGATATATTGTAAAAAAAATGTTTTGTCTTGATTTCATATCTGAAAGCTTTTAAAATACGCCGAGGTAGTTGTTTATTGTTTAATAGTTTTAAGTGATTATTGAAATCGGTCGAAATTTTTTATTGTTGATTTATTTTGTTATGACTTTTTTTATTATTATAACTATAAGAAACTTTATATTTCTGAATAACAACTAATTATTTTATAACAGGCACTGCCTTTTACTATTTTTGAAATGTGTTCAATCGTATAATTACCAGTATACATTTAATAACATATTAATCTTTTCTGAGAGAAATGTTGAAATATTGAAAATTTTAACCTCATTTTGTGGCAGTATCATACTAATTGACTTTTAAGCGAACGTACGGAAGGTAAATGGATTTAAAACCTTAAAAGTGTGTAGATTAGAGGTGAAACTCAAAAATTTTGAATTAATAAAATTTATATATATCACCTATTTTATAATATAGTTGCACAATTGTTATTAATGCGTAATACGAAAGTCTCGTTACTATTTTAAAAAGCAAAAGAATTGTGTAATATTGCAAATTAAAAAAATCGATATTGTAATATTTAAAAATACAAAATTTTAATTAAAACATTAAGGACAGATACTGATTGTACAAAAAATCGAATTGTTTTATTTTAAGCGTTTTGGTAAACAGATGAGATTAATATTGTATTTTTAGAGAACTGTAGCTAGAGAAATTAAGAAACTTCTAACATTATACGTATTATTAACTCGCTTGGGCGCGTCCATAGGCACTTAGAGGGTACTTGTATAAACACTGCGTATACGCTTTTGTAGATTATATATTTTGTATAGATTTATATTTTAAATAATGTTTAATAATATCGTGAAAGATCATGAAAAATATCTAATAGAAAATCAATTGAATAAAGAAACAAATTCAAAAATAAATATTTCTTACAGAGTCCTAACTCCACTCACATCTCGGGTTAATGGTAGCACTTGAATTGACAAGTTAAATTGTGAATTCTATCTAAATAAATATTTTAATACCCAACACAATTTCAGATCAGTGTTTATAAATAAACTTGGTGAAATAATTAATCTATATAGTCCTTTCTAAAAATTTAAATGAGTTTTTCTTGTCTACCCACGATATTCGTATCTATGAAGACTTACATTTGACTATTCTATTTTTATAACTTAAAATTAACCAAATCTTAATTTCTGTACTTTTGATATTTATTAACGAAACATAATAATATAAACATATAGATAAGCTTGTCTATACTTAAAGGTATTGGGATTGTTATTATAACGCTAACACTTTAATACAGGGTTATTTGTAAAACACCAGCAAGCTCGCTACCATAAACGTTTGTCTATGGGTCAGTCATAAGCATAACTCAATGCATTAAAAATAAATATTTCTTTTTTTTTAGCTTTAATTGTGTTGTTGTTTATATGGTTTTATATGGACGTTACGTACATATTAGATACTAGATATTAGCATTTGATTGGTAAATTAAAAATTGTTTTTAATTGAAAAAAATAAGTATGATATGAATTTTCAAGTCTCATTAGAACAAGCATTGTTGTTGTTTATGGTTTTAACTATACTACGAGGTTGCTGGTGTTTTGTTAATAACCTTGTATAACGTAATTGAGTGAATACTTTAGTGATTTAAATCATAAAAACAAAAGAACTCTAGTTTGATGCACATCACAAACTTTATCTGTTTAATATTAGAATCTTAAGGCACACTTGTCCTTCTATTTTGAGAGAATGACAACGTATGTTATTAGATGCCACTTTTAGGCTACATTCATAAAAAAAGAATTAAGTGTAAGAAAACTTTAAAAGTAAAATTTGTTGAATATTAAAAAAAACACCTACTCTCTATTTACTTTGTATTTTGCAGTTTATTCCTCTTACAATTTATGACATCTAATTCTGAAATTATTAAAAATATATGTATTTAGGCTATTATCTTATTTTCAATTTGCTCAACTTCGGTGAATATGTACAAAGTTGAAAGTTGTGTTGACCAAGCAATGTTATTATCGTTTACTGTACCCATGTCTTCAAATGTAGTAGCAATGATTTAGCTTCATTTTTATACTCTAACGACTCTGAACACTTTAATCGATCTTCTGCTGAAATTTCTCCAATGACACCGTAAATTGAATCTATTGCCGTTGGCATAAAGTTGTACGGGCTTTAGATTAACGTGTACAATGAAACTGTATTTATATTAACATGAAAGATCATAGATTTCTATTATTAACACTGCTGTTGATTAAAATGTCTCCCGAACTATGGATGGCCCAATACACAAGAGCACAATCGTAATACCGAATCGTTAATTATGTAATAATTACATATAAGTTTGTAATGTATAAGCAATCGTGTTGTATGACAACATTGTATAAAGTGAAACATAGGAATAAAGACGAGTGATAGTAAACCGATGTGACTACTATTTATTGATATTGTACATTTTTGTGTTACAAATAAATCGAATAAAAATCTCTCTGGTTTTTTGTACCCTTTCTCTCTCTACTCCCAAAGGGAAATTGTTTGATAAAATTATTGTTGCTAAATTTTACAGTGCCGTTAAAAAACTAATGGAGCTTTTGAAAGACTAACAGTGTCTAAACTAATAACGGTTTTAAAACTAATAACCTTTCCTTGTTTCTGTTGTTACGTATAATCTAAGAAATATAATTATACTCTATCTAGTAGGATTGAAAACAGAACTGCCCCGGTTTAATACACAAACTGTTGAATGTTAAATTGAAACTGTTGAATTTCTTTGCTGGTCGGATTTTTTTTTTTCCAAATAGCAACCAACTGACTTATTTTACAAAACACAGTAGCACGTTAGATTACCACAATATGTAGTTTTTTTTAACTTAACTTACTGTTAACTGACCGTTTTAGTACAGAATATAAACACGTTATATTCACGTATAGACGCACGATACTACGTGTGCATACGCTACACAAAATATCTTCTCAATATAATATTTTGTGTAGCGTATGGACAATCGGTGATGTAAAAAATGCCACGACTAATTTTTACAGCTGGTTAGACCTTATTTAGAAAAGATAAATCCATCTCGAAAAACAATATATTATCTCACTCGCCAAGCATATTTATTACTTATCAGATTAATAGGATTTCATTATTTAAATTAACAGCAAATGTTACACAAATAAAACAGAATTCACAACCTTATTCAAATACATAAACACAAAGCTTCATATCTAGATTAGGTTTCCACCAGTTGCTTCGTCCGCTTGGTTATCATGATGACTCAACTGTACTTTTATCCCTAGTGATATAAAAAGCCTATATGATAACTTTTGAAATAGCAACAAACATACATAAATTCTCACAAAACTTTCGCATTTATAATATTAGCAGGATATTAATGTATGTTAGTAAGGCATTATACATTTTTGTTGACTAAAACAAGACCATACAATGAAATTAGGTTTATTTATTGAACTCACGTGTGCGGTTAATGTAATAGTGATTAAAACTATTTTGGTGACATCAGAAATTTACTGAGCAAGTAAAAATATACAGAAGTTAATAATAAATAATACAACAAAAACAAGACCATAAAAAATTAACTACATTTTAATAACAGATTAAAAGTAACGCTAAGTGTTTTCAAAGAGTTAATTAATTGGTTTATATCGATCATCTAGTCATAGTAAACTTAAATAAAATAATTTTTGTGAATGATAACACTATTTTTTTCTGAGAAATTAAACTTTAATAATTTATACAACTCTATAATCATTAACATCTTCAAAAACACAATATTCTATTTATGCGTCGTCAAACAATATGACTTATTAGTTCATTATATTTGAAGGCATAATAATAGCTCTTTTGACAAAAATATACCTAAATAGATCTAATATAGTGTCAAGTTGTGTCCATTTGATAAAGTATACAGAATAAATGAAAAATTACAACGCAATTCATCATGTTTTTGGGCAGTGTTAAAAACAATGTTAAACTAACAGAATAGATAGATTTATTTCATAGTAAAATCCATCAATTCATGAATTTAGGGCGAGGTATTAAATAGAATTTTTCAACACAGATGGCTGACTTAATTCTCTACTAGTCAATCAAAAAAATATAGCAGCGCGCCAGAGACGTCGTGTGCTTTGCTTAATTGTCTAAGTTTAATGACGCTTTTTGTCCACATATCAGCTTCATACCCTCTGAAGTTACATGGCTGATACTGTAGCAATGCCACTATAGAGAGCTTAAAAGGGCGGCGCAATAAATATATTTTATGATACAAAGTATACATTCGTCAATTGCCAACTAAAACTTTACACAATTTATAAATTAATATTAAATTGGTGTGAAAAATACATATAATAAACTGTAGCATTGTCGCTATTTTCAAGTCAATTTTTAATCAAAATTGGACACAACTCGAATAAATCTCAACTAAAATTTACAATTTGTTTATACTAGACCTCCCCAAAAGACATATGCATTGTTTCCTTCGCATGTTTCTGGGCTTCTGCTTGACCTGTCAAAAACTTATCACACACCATACACTTGAGTGTAAATTTGTTCAAGTCTGTGAATTGTCGGGATGATTTAGCTTCATGGGCTAACTGTTCCGCCTCACGGTATATATCCATGTCTTCCGCCGGGAACACTGTCTGGATGCCACCCTGGAAATTATTTGCTGTGAAATTTACACGAATATAACCATGTACATAATAATAATACTAAACCAATCCATGAGCATTTCCTGTAAAAATTGCTACTACTTTTAATATAAGTTGCCAATCGATTGATTTAATGCAGCCTTTCCCAGAGTGGGCGCTAGCGCAGCCTTGTAGCCACTGCAGGGTTAAATGTGTGCCTAAAAAATTTATTGGGGGTGTAGACTTAACAAGAGTTAACAAAGGAATTGTTTATTACCTACTGCGCTCAGGTCTCAAGTTAACTATTGTGGGTTATAGTCTCCGCTAATTTAGCTCACAAGTCATAGTCAAAATAATCTTTATTTAAACAGACTTCTTTTTTTTTCCCCTACCACTCGTTCAGGACGTATTTTGGCTGATTAGAAGAACGAGCAAGAAACTCACCAGCTCTAATAGGAGTAATGACATTCACAAAAACCATGTCATTATCAGATAAATACAAAAAAAAAGAGTATGGTCTTAAAATGACAACATAATAATTTATTAATAATGGAAGCAAGATAATTTTTGATATATAATGAGATTTGAAGAAATCTATCCAGTTGCTGGACCATCTTAAGTCCAAGCATTCTTATCTGTTATATAATCGGATACATAAAATCGGATCGGATAGTAGATTTAAACTGCATGATATGTAATTGTTGTATTTTTCTTGGGACCTTATTGTAGAAGCGCACACAAAGACCCCTGAATGAGATATTAACTTTTTGCAGTCTACATCACTTTTCATAGAAAACAAGCTAATATTTTATGAATGTACTTAAGTTCTCATATATGTATTAAGAAGCAACAGTCATTATGTCTATTTCCTTAAATTTCTCCCTTAAAGAGTAATCCTCCCAAATCCTAAGATTATAAATTGATCTAATTGCTCTTTTCTGAAGCATAAAAATCGTTTATGTCGGCAGCATTTCCACACAATAAGATTCCATTCACAATAATGAATTTAATAAGAAGTTACATTGGTTTGTTGTTTCAAGTAGGTGAAAAAATGGGGCATTAAACATAATTTATTCCCAAAGTGTGATAGTAAACGTAATAAGTTTGGGAACCTCTGATTTAAAGCATGACTATTACATGGTCATCCAGTATCAATACCCAACATTGTAATTCTAGGGAATCCAATGTGTTGACTAGAAAACGTTTGCAAGATCTGGAGTCTGCATGACTGCAATTTCACTATATATTAGTAATAAACAGTTAAAAACTTTAAAACTGGAACTGGTCATAGCTACTTTGTCCTAAACTTAGTGCAATAAGTTTAACCTTAGATTCAGATGGACACTGGTATACTCTTAGCTGTACTTCATAAAATAAGCCATTGGACATTTTTTTTACAATTAACAATTGTTCATCAAAATCTTTAACTTATATACTCAACTTACATCAGACTGTTCTAAATATAGAGGGTCATAGTGAACTCCATCGAAAAGCAGAAATACCCTCTGTCCATAGTTTTTGTCTTCGCCAAATCTATTAATAATAGCATTCAATGTATCAACTACAGCCATTTCCAAACCATAAAAGCGGGATAGTATTGCCACCTGGAAAAAAACCCAACTTATCACTTCATTAATGAAGCTACTGCCATTATATTTTATTATTCATTTATATAATCACCATAAACAGCCTTAAGTGTTACGGACACAGTCAGCCTTACGTATGCTTAAAAAATCCACCAACCTTGTTTAGGGCGATTGCCTGAACATTGATGAAATTCAGTGGTGTAAGAAGTGCTTCAAAAATTCAACTGTCATGTTGGATATCAGGTAGCTCATCGGCAAGAGCAATAACCTTAATTGCAAAAGGTTGTTAGTCTTGGGATACAGGGTTGGTGGAATTTTTAAGCATTTTTCTATTATTATTTGGTCATCCATCCCATGACTCGCCCTTGTGAAAGTTGCTTGACTGTCACATAACTGACCAAACACTTACCAACATTCGACTGAGATTTATAGAATCCTAACATAATTTAGATTTAAATTGACTTCTGGGTTCGGTCGCAAAAAATTGTACCTATAGTTTTTTTTGTTGACCTGATTTTATTTCTGTCATAATATCAGTGATGTTTTAAACACGAATATACGTTTCAAATTGATCTAAAGAGAAACTCTCCGTTGTTTAGATAAAACCATGAAATCTTGGCTATCCCTGCAATTTTTTTTATTTTAGTTTTCTTTTCGATTAGCGCTACTTTTACTCTATACAAAGAAAGTTTGTCCAACTATTACATAATGATCGAAAACAGGTAATTTTAACAAAAAATTTGTCCGTTATTGCTTTTGTAAGTTGAGTTGAAGTTCTGCATACTTTATTTAACTCGTTTTGAAAGGCCACAATAAATTTATTTAACTTTGAAAATGCGTCCATTTTTTTGCGTGTGTAACGTCATGAGTATAACGGTATTATAACGCATATTTTTGCCACACTACAACACTGTTAATTAAGATGCCAACATTCAGAAAACAAAAACGTCCATGTTTGTTTGGAGTGAAAATCTAAATAGTGTGTCAACGTGAGAATTGTCGCCTGAAATTAATTTTAATGTGTTGAATTGCAAGGTAAGTATTGGGCATTCTTCCTAATTTATTTATAAAAGTTATTAAATCTTTGATATCACATAAAGCAATTAAACTACTTCTCTGTATGTATTTATTTGCAGTACAGTGATATTTTGATTTGAGGTTATGTCGTGTGCTTTTTTCTGTCATGATTGTAATAAATGTAACGAAATGTGTAACGTTACGGTCATGATCGATTGTAAGGCGTAGAATACACTTAAGAAATTCAATTTTGACTTAATTTAATTTTTTTCATTTTATATTTAAAATGGCGTCACTGACCAATGCCGAAAGGTAAAAGAAATATCGTGAAAAGTTGCGAACTCAAAATCCTGCAAAGTACGAGGAGATTAAAACAAAAAATGCAGAGCAAAATAAAAACGGAGGAAAATTAATGAGTGTTCTGAAAAACTTCAAGATTTGAAAAGAAAACAGTAGAGAGCTACTCAGCAACGCTGTAGAATGAAGAAAGAAAAAACTGATGATTCTGTTACGTCTCGACATCGTGACTATGCTACCCTTAAGACAGACTGCGGGAATATGTCCTTGGTTAGAAAATTACAAAGAAGGTTGGTTAGTCAAAGGAAACTAAACGATGTAAAGATAAAAAAGTTGAAGAAAGAAATGCAAAGTTTAAAAAGGAAGTGTAAGCGTTACATGCAGAAGAATAGAGATATGATTAGTTTTGTAGATGAATTAAAATCGAAAGCGACTGAACCACATGAATAACAGATTGCTGCTCAAGAAGAAGACATAACAAATATACAACATCTCATCATCATTCAAAATGAAAACGAAATGGCTCCTTTATCCAAGTCTAACAGTTTCGTAGAACAAAATCTACCTCACATTGCGGAAGAAGATAAAGAAAAAGTAAAAAAGCACCTTTTAACATATAATGTTTTAGTGCAAGACACATATGAGAACACCAAAAAAAATTGTGAACGAAATATTCTTAAAAGAATCCTTAAAAATAAATGTATGACCAAATATGTCAGGAAGAGTGTAATGTCGAGATCTGTGCTGGGATTAAAAAGAAGCGCTCGTCAAAGGAAAATGATTAAGAAAAACAATAGCATTGTGGACGAAACTCTTAAGTTTTATGATAGAGAAGATGTATCTCGAGCTACAGCTGGGAAAAAAGAATTTAAAACTCAAGGTAAAATAAAAAAACAAAGACGAGACAAAAAGTAAAGAGCATATTATGTGATACCACCGAAACTTTCTGACCGAGAAACGTGTTCATGCTCAAAGCACGAAAACGTCCTTATGAAAATTAAGAAGTTGACGTCCTTAGGAATGATTGAAACTACAAATTTAAATGACACCTTATCAATGGTGGTATGTAACTTAGATTCCAAGGCATGTGCCTATGGTGAATGTTTGACGTGCTGCAATAAATGTATAGAATTTAACGAGGACACTTGTGATATGAATGAAATTGTTACTTGGGACGAATTTGCTACTAAGAAGGTAGTGAAAAAAGAAGTTCATGATAAATTGAAAGCGCTGACTTCTGCCTTTAATGAAGATCTGAAAATTATGAAAAAACATGTGTTCAACATAAAACATCAATATGCGCAGTATCTGTCGTGTATTACGAACTTAAAGTCAAACGAAGTAGCTATACACATAGACTTTAGTGAAAATTACTTGTGCAAATTATCAACCGAAGTACAACCAATGCACTTCGGTGCGTCGAAACCGCAGGTGACATTGCATACTGGTGTTCTGTACGTAAAAGGAAAGAAACCACAGTCATTTGGTTCCGTATCTGCCTGCAATGACCACACTCCTGAGGCGATTTGGGGTCATTTAAAACCCATATTCAACTACGTGAACACACAATTCTTTTCTTTTCTTCTTCTTTTCCGACGGGCCAGTGACACAGTATAAACAAAAAAAAAGAACTTTTTTTTGTTTACAAACTACTTTAGGAACCGTAAGGTTGTTGTGTGATCCCTACTGTGATGGAGACAACTGGCCAGGGAGACTAAAGGATAATTGTCTCCCTTCGAGCTAGGTGTTGTTAGCCCGGGGACCGCGGTTCAACCGATGTAGGTTGGACGTTCTATTTATGTTAATTGGTAATGAAACTTATTCTGTGCGATGTAGGTTTCTTTGTTCTTAATGTCTTGTAGTTATTAATTTATGATGTTCGTATTGGTACAGCGCCATCTCGTTACTTGGTGTTGAAACTTCTTGCAGTTCGACTTGCTATCGATGGCTGTGACAATGTTAGTCTTCTCGTTATAGATTGTAGTGGCGATGTTAGTGCGATGAGTTAGATATCGCTACGTATCAGTCGTCACAGTAATTTCCCCCTAGACCGAAGGTCGATCCATGTTGATAGTAGGTGGTATGCAGTCAGTGCTTCAGAGCTTGCAAGTGCCAGGTTGTGACGTCGGGACCGAAGCTGCTGGTGTGCAGAGCTGCCACGCCGGTGAGTTGTGTGTGAACTGACATCCGGTCGAGGGCTGCGAGGACCAGGTCGGGATGATGCCGTCGGGTGGTGCCAAGTATCCAGGAAGCGTCGTCGATGCTGCTGTGATGGACCTTGGTGTTGGCTGGCTTGCTGCTGAAGTGGCTGTGCTGATGAGGGATGAGAGGCTGATGATGAAGGGTGAGAGGCTGTTGTTGAAGAGTGATGCTGAAGGTTGCTGATGTTCTGCTGGGGTCACCACTTTACCGATTATTGTATGGAGTCACTACTTTACCGAAATGTTTTGTGTTTTATTTAATAGTATATAGGTTGATATTTAACTTATTGATAAGTTTACTATCTGACTCTATTTATGCGAAGGATCGGTAAAATAAATAAACGTGTTCACAGTTATGAGTTTACTTTCAGTCTAGTTGATGTTGAAGTGCCACTTACAAAATATCATAGATTACGTTGCCACAGAGTGGTCGACAAAGATTATAAAACAGATGTACCACACTACGTTAAAGGTATGGGGTTCCCCTATTCAACCTGGAACTTTAGTGAAGCTGGCCATGGTAAGGGTGCTGCCGACGGAGTAGGAGGAGCACTTAAACGCAGACTGGATGACTTGGTCAAACATGGCACCGACATACCAGACGCTCACACGGCCTATACACTTATTAAAAATTCTGACACCGCGATAATGATTTTTTACATCAGAGAGGATGATATTGCTAAAACCTCGGTAGAGGAAGATCTGGTTCCCGTTCCACAGACCATGATGTTACATCAAATATGTAATACTGATGAAACTAACGTTATACGGTTCAGGTTTCTGAGCTGTTTTTGTGACGCTCCGCAAAGAGGCTATTGCGAATGCTTTGAAGTGAAGAATCATTGCCTTGTAAAGACATTTACCAAAGAAAATATAAGCCAAAGAAGTCAATCTTTCCTAAAAAGAAAGACAAAAGTGACAGTCCTATCGGATATTCGATACCGGGCAAAGAATATGAGTTATGACAATTTACAAAACTATAGACCATATAAACTGAAAAGAATGAAGAAAATAAGCAAAGACTTTGTCCTGACAAATTCCGGCATAGAAAACATAGATTACGATAATCCTGTGCCCTCAACTTCAGGCACAAGGATTAAGCATGTTAAACAGAGTACTGTGAAAGAAATACAAGGGAAAAATTAGTAAAACTATATTCCAATGACAGTAGTACTGATGAAGACGACCAGTTCTCCTTGCACGATTCTTCCGATGACAATTTTTATGACGAGCCATTATCTGATACTACAGGTAAATATAAAACTTATTACTAGTTAGTAAATATTATTACTAATATAAATTTTATTTTATAATAAAAAAATCATATAATACACAAGAAAGAAAAAAGTATTGCTTTACTATTTCCTCCGGTGCAGATGATGAGATGACATTTGGTATAGAATAGAAAACTAGTAGCGTGGATTAGGGATTGATTGATCTGAATATTGATTATGAAATTAATAATATTAAGAAGGCACCTATATTGTATATATTTTTTATTTACAGGGGAAGAAAATAATAACGTTAATAAAAAATACACTGGCACTGTGATAGGAGAAAAGCAAGATAATTGTGACTTTACCAGCAAATCTATGACAGGTAATAAGAATTAGTTTAATGATAGGTAAAAGTATATGATTAATAACGGAAAAAATTATAATAAAATCAAATTCACAGATGGGGTCAAAAATGCTAATGGGAATGTGACTGATAAAACTAAAAATAATGTTGTACCAGAAAAAATTTGATATGACTATGATTACTGACACCTCTACAGCAGGTAATTTGAATTAGTTAAATCTCAGGCAGATGGCATTGCAGCACTGATTAACAATTGATTGTCAAATTTTAAATCTATTGCAATCGCTTTCAGTTTGAAAGGTGTTGCACAACCATTGCTGCATAATACAAATACTTTTTTTCAACTGTCTTCAGAAACAAGCAATGGTTATACAACATATTACAAACCGAAACCAAAAGCGATAAATTTTAAAGTTAGACAATTAGTTCCCTGGTTTGTATAATGCTATAATTATGATAAAACCAATTTATGTTTACAGAACAAAAGGACGAAAATTCTGTTGTGACTAACACTGATAAAAATAAGGATTGTAACTTTACCCATTTTTCTACAGCAGGTAATAAGAATTATTGAAACATGGACGGATAGCACCAATTGCTGATAATTATCTGTTTAAATACTTGTTTATTTTTCACAGATGTAGAAGAAAATAATAAAGAGATTACAGAAACTGGCAAAAATATTGAAACCAAAGAAATGCCATATTATAATATTGATGATAGTGTAATAGTGAGCTATTATCTTAACCCTACAGTGCACAATTTTTTTTATTTGAACAGAAAAATAATATGATCTTTTAAATGTTACCTATGTTTATAGAAAAATAATTAAAAAAATCTATTTTCAATATTTTCGGATTTTTTTGAATATTTCAGTATGTACCAGATATGTCACAAAATACGTTTAGGGTGTATAAAGTTTTATATGTATATAACTTATTCTTAGCAAGAATAAAATAAAACAGCAATATTAATTATGTTATATTTTAGTTAAAAATTAAACTATAATTTTGTCAAATTATAGTAAGCATAGACACTACAATATATTAGAAAATAGGAAGAAATTGAGATCAGTAATCATTATGTGTAGTCTTTTCCTCTTGAATAAATTTTACTCTTTATTTATGAAATTTACATATGAAATGACATAAAACATTTTTTATCTTTATGGGCACAGCGCCACCTTACATTTTTCGCAGTTTACAAATGATTTCCCCTTACAACCAGGGAACTTACAGCGTTGCCTAGAAGTTAACCATAATGGGAAGTGGTCGGTGCCATCAGTCCTGGCGTCTTTGGGTGATACGACAGCTTTTGGCTTTGTTTTCATCCTTTCTTCCAGCATATCAAATCCGGAGATATGTAGTAATATAATAAAAAAACTTTGTGGTTTTGTTCTTTTGGAACTGTTCGATAGTGGAGCACTATTATATTACTATTCGCGCCCAAATCAGGTTCATTAGTCGGTCTCAGGTCAGGATCATTTTCAGTGCCAGAATATATTTCGAAAGCATAAGCGAAACCGTTGTCATCACACAAAACTAATAGCTTTTTTTAACCCTTATTTATGCGGTTTGTTGGAGAGGTATTGACGTAAAAAGTTACACGCTTTCTTAGCACACATTTTTCGTCTGCTAAGAGCGTTTCTCTTTTTGGGATGTTTTGTCATTTTTTTATAATGTTTCAAGTATTGGTCTTATACGGAAGAAGCGATCATGACCTGGTTCACCTCTGGCTGTAAAATTACGGTTGTCATTGAAGTGTATGAATCTACGAATTGTCTCAAAATGGGTGAGTATCATACAATAAGTAGCATGCCCAATTTATGATTTCACAACAAGCGTATTTTGGACTGAGGATTTAATCCAAGCAAAAGATAAATACCCAGGTACTTTTTCAGATTATTCTGAGTGACAACAAATGGTTTCGATGTATCTTTCTGAATACTATATTTTGTAGACTCCTCGATGATATGTTTTAGTAAATTCTCATAAAAAAATACGTAAAATATTGTAACGGCATATCAAAACTCGAAAAAGTTTCATCTAACATGCCCTCAACTATGAATGGTGGAGGTGGTGACTGGAAAGCTGTCTTTCGACAGATGTATCTACTTTATTTAGTAGTGTTCAAAGTAAGTTGACAAGAAGGTTGACCTGAAGATGTACTTGCTCTCAGACACTCCACTGGCGATCTAATTGAATCTGCTGCTGAAGTTGATGCATTGACATTACCAGAAACGCTAGTTACTGTAATGTTCAATGTGTTTCTCGCCTGTGACAAAGATTTATTGAGGGTTTGGTCAATGTAGTTATACTCAAGTAATTAGGGCGTTTTTTCCATTTCATTCATGACTCAATCTCATAATCTTATAAGATCATCATCACTATCTTCATCAGATATCTCTAGTTCATCTTCACTGCCCGATAACATACGTAAAATATGCTCAGTTTCGGTTGTTGTTACTCTTTTGCAGAGCTTCATCTGAAATCAATCAAGTATCATATAATAACCCTTATTGCAGAGTGACCCATATCAGTCACATACAAATAAAATCCAAAATATGCATAGATAGTAACTGATATCATAAAGTACTTATTTACCAATAAACTATAAACAATAACTTACCTCTTTTATATTTTTCCGAACGAAAACACTCTAACTTGGCTTTTTTTTTTTTTCAATGGTAAAATTTTACGTTTTCAACTTTTTTCAAAGTGACCGCTAATTTGACTGCAGAATAGTTTTCTAAGTGCAGCGCAGCCCTATGAACGAATGTGAACTATATTTTTATGTACTATAGTGTGTAGTTACGCTACTTTCTATTAGATGGCGTGAAAAAGCGTCGTGTTACGAAATACAAGGAATAAATCGGTATGTACCATATGTGTCACACTATGCGCTGTAGGGTTAAAACTATGTGGAAATATTATATAGGTTTCATTGAAAAAATTGATCTTGAGGAGGATACTAGTGTGATAATGTATAAAATAAAATTTCAGAAAACAGTAAGCAAGCCAATTCTGAAATTCATCACTAAAAAACTTGATTATGATGTTGTACCTGAAATCTGTTAAAGTAGCATAGTTACTTCGATTTATACAATCTTTCATCCCCTATTTTATCCACTTAGGGGTGAAATTTATCAAAATCCTTTCTTAGGGGATGCCCACATCATAGTAGCATTATGCATGCAAAATCTCAGCCCGATCGGTTTAAAACTGACAAACTTTCATCCCCTATTTAATCCCCTTGGGGGTTGAATTGATCAAAATCCTTTCTTAGCGGATAACATCTACCTGCATGCCAAGTTTCAGCCTGATTCATCCAGTCAGTCAGTCAGTCACCTTTGAGTTATATATATTTAGATGTTTGACAGAATTAATTGTTTCATTATAAAAACATAATAAGTATCACCATTATTAGCGGCATTATAACCATATGTAAAAAAACTAGTGTATTATGATTTATAATTATAAATCATTTTATTGTACGAATCTGAACTAAGCTTTATGCTGATCATGAATGTAACATTGAGTAACGTATGTAACATTTGTTACAATGTCATGAATGTAACTGTACAATTTTTTATGACCGAACCCTTATATTATCACCTGCCACTGAACAGGAGACAAAAGTTGTATGAATATGTACTGTACTACACATAAATAATTCTAATAAGATTTATCAGATAATTATATATATATTCATTTGTTATAACTTGAAGTTTTCTCTATACCTCAATGGCTCCACCCCATGAGCTTGGTTGCTGAATCCATGTACAGTATTCTGCATTGGGTTTACCAAGCATCGCTTCACTATATGTATCAAGGTCACTGGCCACCTCCATCGCTATGATTTGTCTCATTAGTGTGTGCACTGAGGTGTCCACATTGCCATTTAAAACAAAACCTGAAACATAAGTAATTGAGTTAGTTCATAGGGGATTTCAATTAAAATTGTAATATATATATATATATATTAGCATAAATATACACAAACAAATATAAAAACATAAACAAATTGAGTACCCATGAAAAGGTATTTGTTAAATATCCTACAGTGACAAAGTAAATATAGTATACTTATTTTACATTTAAGTACATGAGAGAATGTGTAACTTTTTTAAACAACATAAATCCCACCTATACTAGTGAACAAACAAGAGTTATCTGAAGGTACTACTTTCTTCATCAATATACCAGGTCGGCAAGGTCCTATTGTTTCGTGTGATGCAACACCATTTTCAACTGGTTTCTTTTTCGGTGGGCTACTAGTTTCTTGTGGGGTAGGGGTCGAAGTTGGCACACACTTTTCTTCTACTATCAATGTCTCACCAGTCTTAAGGCCAATGTCGCACAGCTTTTTTTCATTATCGCTAATATCTAACGGTTTCGGAGGATATCCACATAACACACAAATTCGTTCGAAGCCAATATCCGAAATACTGCACAAAAAGCTTTTTAATTCACCAACTGTACTATCAGAGGTCAAATCTTTTAATATTTGCTGCCCGTTTTTGCTTTTCACTTTAAATGCTACTGCTGTCATCTTTGTAATAAGAATGCAATTGTAAATTATAAACTAAAAAATCTGTATTTTATGACTGAATTATCTATTCTATTTAATAAAAATAAATAAGGTCAAAGAGACGCCACAAGCTAAATAAATTACGAGATTTGACTGACTCGTAAAAAATTAAGTGACAATGACAAATAAGGATGGACGATGTATTTGAGAACCGATATTGTTTATATTGATTAATCGATGCCCATAATATTGATATTATCGAAAAAAATATATTGCATGAATTCCAAAGAGTAAAATATATATTTTTGTCTGGTTGTAATAGTAGTTACATATGTGAATAGCTAAATAATATTCCCAGTCGCCTTCAGAAATTATTGTGTAGCCATGATTTTTACCCTGAATACTCGGTAGTATTCATTGTGTTTTTCAATACTCATGTCGTCGCTGTATTGTTGCTGGATGGCCAACGGTGACATTTCTACTTGCATTTGATAAAAAAAGCATATGCGTAAGTATGTGCTTTGTGCTTAGATCTTTGTATGTTTTTGTTTGTGATCATTGACTAATTCTTTTTATAATATTGCTGTTTAATTTCTTTTAGCCAACTTAACTTAGGGTATGTATATTATTTGTACTTGCAAGTGAATTTATTTTATTTTATTTTTACTTATTTTATTTATTTATTATTATTTTTCCTATATTATATTAGATATTCTACTATCTCAATATAAGTATTATGGATATATCTCTAAATAAGCTTTCAGAGCCTTGATCATCCTCTCAATAATTTTTGAATGATGTTTTACGATGTACCCAAGAACTTCAATGTTGTGCATTTCAATGTTCGAAGTATCCCAGCACACTTCCCGGATATGCTTGTAAATTTTGATAGCAAAAATATTCATGCTATCTTAGTCTCAGAAACTTTTCTTAATCCTTGTCTTAGTTCTACCTCCTACTGTCTTCCTGGCTTTCAACTTATCCGTAACGATCGTGTAAGTTCTTCCCATGGTGGAGTGGCAATTTACCTTCGTTCACACATTACGTTTTCTATTAGCAAATCTCCACAACCGCCGCCCCAAAACAACGCTGAGCATCTCTTTGTCGAGATATCACTGTCCCATACCAAAGTTCTATTAGGTGTTTTCTATAGCCCTTCTCTTCGAGTTGACTACTTTGAGTAATTCGAACAACTTCTGGAAAATTTTACACTTTCTTATTCTCAAACCATAATTATGGGTGATTTCAACACAAAGACGATATTAGATCTCAGAAACTACTTTCATTAGTTAACTCCTCGAATCTACATATTCTTCCGCTCAAGGAAACTCATCATTTTCCCAACTGAATTCCTTCTCTTCTTGATTTAATAATTGTTTCCTTACCCACCTTCGCTATAAAGCATAGCCAATATTCTGCAGATACATTCTCTTATCATGACTTGTTGTATCTGTCATATCGGATTCGTCCCCCTAAATTGAAACCTACAGTACAACTTCAGCTTAGTTTTGCAGCTATTGATATGAGATTCGCGAACTTATGTCGAGGTCAAATAGGGCTAAAACGAAGTAAAGACTCGATCCTTCGAAACAAAATGAAATGAAATATAACAGCATCAGAAATTGGTAATATTGTTCATGTTTTTCTTTGCCTCGGGTTGTCTCGACGAGATTGCTACATAGCAATAAGGTCGCCCTTTGTAATCTATCTCTTTTTTCTAGTTTCTCTGTAATATGTCCCGTCAAGCGTGCAATAAAGAAGATTATTATTATTTACTTTGAAATAATTAGTAATAATAGGTATTTTTTATTTTATATTTTTATTTTATTATTATTGCTGTTATTCCTAAATTCTTTTACTGCTGACAATTACTGGTAGTACTTTTTAAAAGAGTTAATACTATAACAGCAATAAACGAATTTTATAAATATACAGTTTTTACAAACTAGATTTATATAATTAACTTTTGAACAAAAGGAATTAGAATATTACATTGACTTTTTTTTAACATGACATATAATTTCAACATAATAAGAATTTAATAATTTTATTGTGATAATTGTGACTGTATTAGATTCCATTATACTGATTTGCATGCTATTTGAAAATGGCGAAACATGAGGATTTTGTACAATTTTAACACCTTTATACCATGTTTAAGGCAAATAAAAAATTATTATTATTATTATTATTACTTTCATACAGCATTTAAATAATTCAGATAAAATAAAAATTTATCAGCTTGGTAAATATGTATTTTGAAATCGATTGGAATCGATGTAAGAAGCGATTTTTTTATAAGCCTCGCATCCCTAGATAAAATTGACAAAACATCTGACACACAGAGGGATGTCAGATGTGATTTTGAAATTCCCCAGATTGCTTTACGTTTTTCTTTATAGATGAATAAAGAAAATAATCTATCTTTTTTGAATGAGGAAGTATTAAAAAAAGAAAGCACTAAAAAAGCACCTCCACTAACATATTAAATAACTGAAATTTGCAAAGTTTGAAACTTAGATATCAATACAAATACGAAAAAGTACAAATAGAATATGAGTTGTTTAATGAGTGTTGAAAAATGATTTACTTTTATACATCAAAATAAACCGGAAGGATTGTCATGAAGAAATCAAGAAAGTACCGTAGTGACATCTAGTTTGATTTCGGGAACTAATGTCTTTTTTTTTCTCTTTCTAGTACATGGACTTATAAAAAAACATTTCATCATAATAAAACATTCAATCCGAAAGAAAGTCCTACATGAAGATCATGACTCTCAGCAATGAGCATATCGACGTAAGGAGGGAAACATTTCAGTGCTATCGTATCTTTACTTATTTATATAATAGTTTATCGGGCAAATAATAGATCTTTAGCATATCTAGAAACATTTATCACTTTATTTATCAAGAGTTTAGGACCATATATATAGTAAAATATTTTTTAATCTTTCAAGCTGACGTTCATTATTTCAGATGTCTATAAAAGTAATATAATGGAAATGTATAGTTTTATAGATAATTTGATCTATTATATATCAAGGTCGTTTGGGCATCATTATGTGATCTGGCTATGAGGTTAACCATACATAAACTGCCATTAACGATTCACTTGCCATTATTAATTTCATACTGCTGGTAAGAATTCATAACAGAACTCGCTTAAGAATTATATTAATTATGCATACATACTGTGCGAACGAAGAGCCCACAAATGTCCACACTTATCTTCAACACTCATCCAATTTTTTTTTGCTGCAAACATTTGGTAAAACTATTTTAAATTTTTGTTCATAAAAAGCCCGCACACTTTTTGAAAAATTGTTCACTGATCCAATTTTTACTGTGTTATCTCAAGTCTGCAATAAGTAGCCGCACAAAATTAGGTGGCCATATTATGAGTATATTAATTAAGGAGGTGTCTAAGAACTAGAGAATTGATTTTTTAATAATACAAAATATTTGTTTCATTACATTTTAATAAAAATAACTTCCTACTGATACATCCAGCAGCACATCAAAACTTGATTTGCTGCCGCCTGTACCTAATGTTTTCATGCTTATATTACAAAATTCTAACATATGTTTCTTACTTTAGTAGGTGTACAAATACCTAATCAGTAACCGTATATATTTGGCATAAATTTGACTAAATGGCTGTAAACAAGTATCAGAAAACCATTATGTTTGGCAGAATAGATAAGATCTAATTACTTTGGAAATAGACCTGGAATTAATTTTAATATGAATAAAATATTATGTTTTCTTGTTATTACATTTATATAAGTACCACATTAGCATTTCTAAACAGGCAACAACATACATTTTTATTAAACCTATTATTAAGTCTATGGCAATAACCATAATTAAATAAATGGAGAGATAGCCATTATTGTACTTAAGTTGCTACCGGTATACAATATACACATTATTATTACAAATTATTTGATTTCTCCCTGATAATCTAGTATTTATATTCTCTTTGCTGAGAATAAGCAATTGATATGAATTGAAACCCTTAATAGTAATATTTTAATGACAAAGTAATTTATATACACCTTCCTTAATCTTACATATTGTCTCATAGTTTATTTCTATTTTGTGCTAAGTTACTAGAACAACGAAATGCAGTCAGCCAAATTTTATATGATTACATACATAATTAATTTATAAATTATACTTACTTCATTTTTAATTATGGCACATCTATCAGTACACATTCGATTTTTTTATGATATTCTTCATCATAAGTTGATAATAAATTATACTTATATTTTTTTGAAATTATATATATGAGAGAATTTGATCCTTTTTTGTACCTAATATCCATATGGTCATTATAAAGAGTAACTATTATTGTTGTGTTAATAAATAATAAGAATTAAAACCACTTATAAAAAACGAATTACAGGTAAGTAAATAGTCTTTGGTGTTTCAATTGCAATAGGTAATTATTATAAAAGTATCTGACTAATTCAGAACTCTAATTTGATAACAAACCTTCATGGATCTAAAATAAGTAAGTACCTACCTGAAAACTTTGTAACAGTTATCAAATATTATATAATAATATTCTATGCTGTAATTTTCAAGCAAAACATTTACTTAATGTTTATCAGATTGCTTTACACTTATTTGTCCTATGTCAATTGGTTAGCAAGGATTATTAAATTAGAAGCGGAAGAGTATATTCTGGTAACTAATTCGGTCCTCTTGAATAATCAATTGATAAACTCTTATCATAGTTAAGTAATAAACCTAAAAATTAAGAACTACCTAACAATAATTTATTTACAATTTTCAATCAGTCGTAAAAAATAAGTAATTGCGTTCTGGCATCAAAAGCCGACCATTGTTGTAAATAATCATTTGTATGTTCCCACAACTATTTTGTTAAAATGTATCAGATCTCCTGCAGATTTTCTTTAAGCTTCTAGATACGATATTTCCCCTAAAATTTGGGAAAAGCTTCTATCTTGACTGACATATATATTTAACTGACATATATGGCTTACAGAGGAACATTTTGCCATATTAATAAAACTTTATTCAAAATTCAAGTCAAATCAAAGCTTTAACATGTGTTATTGTAGGTATAAACTTCCACTAACATGGTATTACGTTCTTTCTAATAGCAAAATTAATTAGAATACCTACATCGTTTGCTCTTTATATAAAATCTAATTAATATCTTCATTTTGCTATTAGTACTGTTGTATTAGGTTTATCCTTCTAAGGCTCTCAAATCAGGTTTCACGGATTCTCACTCTCTGCGCTAACATGTATCAGATGAGTATTAGTAGATTACGTGAGCCAAGCCACGTGAAGGTACTCTACTAAGACGAGAGAGAAGATCACGGTACCCCATCTGTCCGATTATAACGTTCCATATCATGTTTTATCAATACCGTATAAAGATATCAAAAAAACTGGATGTTCTTTACCTATGCACGAGCGACGAAAGAAAAATCGGTGGGGGACCGGGTCTTCCCTCTCTTTTTGCATCTCCACCGACAGGCAGCCGGACGATTTCTATCGCCTCGGACGGAGGAGGATTTCGGAGGAGCGGCGAGGGCCGGCTCGAAATCTCGAGAGTCCGAGCGGATCCTTCACCTTCCCCCGGCGCTTCGGATATCTGCTTCCTTCACGTCGGCGAATTCGTAATATATATCGGTGTTCAAAATGAGTATATCGTTCCGTCGTTAAGTTAGATGAGGGATTCGTGGGGTAGAAACCGGTCGGCGGGCGGGCGGCGGTGCCTGGTGTAGGGGTTGTGGGGCGTGCGGGGGCGCGCGCGGGGTCACGCGGGGCGGCGCACGTGGCGCGGCGGCGGCAGGTGCCCGCGCAGCCCGCGCCGCCCCACCACCAGCGGCGGCATGCGCTCGTCCTCCTCCTCCCCCTCCTCCTCGCCGCCCTCCGCGCTCTCCTCGCCGCTCCACACCTCCGGCGCGACCGCCTGGTACGACGCGGAGAACCCTTTGAACACTATCGAATCGTCCGTCCGGAATCTGACGAGGAGCGCCTCCGTCGTGGAAACTATCTCCGGCGGCATCTGTAGATGATTATGTCGATGAAATTAATGAAGAAAAAGAGAAAAAATGATTCTAAGAGGTAGGAGGAAGTTTATCGTATATGGAAGTACGAAAATTTACTTTAAATCTGTACACTAGGACTCGGGTGTATTTTTTCTGTAGCATTTTTAAAAAAAGAATGATTAATTTGAATTATGCGAGCATTAACATTTTAAAATATACCTTAGTTCCGCAGAAAGTCCCGTAATCGCCGGCGCTGCCTTCCAATCCGCCGAACACCTGCACGTAGTCGTAGCCGCAGTTAGTTTCAGGCTCCAGCTCAAATGTCAGAAAGGTGAGTCTGACGAACTGGCCGAGTGGCGCCACTATACTCCAGTCGCAATCCGCCCTGGACTCGTACGAGTCGTCGCCGTATCTAGCGTGTGAGTACAGATGCTTCACCGTCTCTGACGCGGCCAGGTATCCTCCACATGCTGTTGAAAACAAAATTTTATATAAATCTCCACATCTATCTATGAGAAAAATTCAACAGTCTCGAATGCCCGAGACAAGATGTCGACTCTTCATATTTTGCAGTCCAGGCGACTGCTCAAAAGAAAGTACATTTACCAATCAAAAAATGGTTGTGTCCTACATACAAGATTTCGGTCTCACCCGTCGAATGTGTTGCCAGGAACCCTTTCCTCTGCACGGAGGCGTCGGACTTAAACACGACGTACATCTGGTTGTGTGACGCGACGACCGGGTGAGGCACTTTGCTGCCGCAGAACCGACCCAGCGTCTTCTCCTCAGCGGATGCGCCGTCGTAAATCGTCACGTGGTCGTACGCGCATTCCTGCACTCCACAAGCAAGTGAAACTTAAGAGAAAATGTTCTTATTAACCAATAAATATGAATATAAAAAACAGAATCATGTCAGTGGTGAAGTAGAGGTGAAAAAACAAACAGACAGACGGAAGTCCAATGTGAATCAGATTGAAACGACGCTCATTACATCGTTAACGTTTACAGGCATGCCTTTATTGCTTTATATAACACATGACGTGCCACAGTTAGAAAAACGATGATACATAGTAGATAATCTAATAATACCTGGTGAGGTTCCAGCTCAAAAACATTGAAAATCAGTTTGATTCGGTGTCCAGGAGTAGTGGAGAACTGCCACACACAATCTTTTCGAGATGGATAAGTGTCAGGATAGTTCGGACTGTCAAAAAAGAATAATAATTTAATATATTAGGGGACCCAACTGAAGCAGGTAGGATGTTGTATATACGTATGTTTAAATTAAGTGACCAAAGTAATGTCGTAAGCGTGATACAGACTCAATACATACACTCCACTTTAGTACAATTTAATAACTACATGAAGTTACTAATAAGCATTCGTCAAGCCATCGTTTATTGTTTTTATATTAGTACGATGAGACACATATCGCCGACACAAGTTCGTCACAATGTAATACGATTCCATTAATTTCTAACCATAAATATAGATTAACACTATACTTGGCAAGCCATTTTTTCGAAATTATTATTCTTTGCCCTTAGAATGTATTTATAGGCATCTATAGAAAAGGATTTGGTAACTAAAAAAAAATTATAATCTACACTTAAGTATTTACTAAACATATCATATGCCATATACATTTATTGAAATCAGCATTATCAAATGTATGTATGAGTTGATTTTTATTTTAAACAAATTATAAAAATATCATATTCCTACGAGAATATATTAACATATTAGTATCGTATCAAGTTTTATTATAACGTCATTAAAAGATCCAATCCTAAACTACTCAGATGTGCTGAATCAAGAATATTTATTTTCACATCAATATGAGAAGTAAGTACGTGATTTTGACATTTTCCTTTAGCAGATGAGACTATAGAATACTGATAAACTTCAGATGATAACCGATCCTAATTATAAACAATATGCAACAGTAAAATAATGATGTTTGGCAATTACCATAAATGTCTTTCATATACGATACCGATATACGCCTATCCTCAAATAAGAAAATAAGTATCACATCTACAAATAAATTTACATTCATAAGTGGAAACAATTTTCGCAACGACCGTCAACTATTACTCTACACGTGATTTTTCACACATGGAGCTTCTTCAGGAGAACTTTGATCGTACCTTGTCAACAAGGATCAAGAAGATTTTAGCTGAATATTTTTTAACTTTGAAATCGATTGAAGAAACTATATATTTCGCTTCTTTCACACAGCTCTTTTTAGTCACTAGGTCGTCAGTGTTTATGACTTTTGACATCACGTAAATAATATGATACTGTAAGGCGTATTTTGGCCTTTTGCGTCTTCTATATCCTTCCACTCTCGCGTTGTATATCAGTTTCTTCATACTCGATTTGCACTTTCTGGCTCAAGGTTTTTCTACCAATGAGTTTCCCAATGCTCTATTTACGGTGTTTTCTCATTCATGCTATTATTTATTCTTTTTATGTCAGTGGTGGTGTGTTTGCATCCCTACTAAAGACACTTCCAACATATAAGTTGTTGGACAATTGCACGCAGACTGTTGCCATAAAAAAGGAGGATCGCTGGAGCCTGAGTTTCAGGTTTATTCGGGCACAATTTTAAAATTAAATGTAATTGGTTTTAAATCAATGTAATTATTATTATAAGATTATATTAATTTGGTTTAACATTACATAATCAGCTGTTATCCTGACATATTTAATACTACTGTGCTTATGAGAAAAGTTTCAAATGTCATCGAGAGCAACAAACGAGGTTGTTTAAGTCATCGAGAGCAACAAATGAGACAATGTGTCGTTTTAGAGACGTTATAAAGAATATTTATAATATAGGCACTTTATCATATTGTATGCATTCGAAAATAACGACTGATTTCATAACTTTGCTGTGCATTTGATAGGACTCACTCAAAGCAACTATAATCATGTTTTAGATACTAACCGTTTTTGTTATTCATTTGATTCAATATGTTATATTATTGAATCTAATAAAGACCTTACGTTGTGTATTCGTAGGTGAACGGTTCGCGAAAATGCGAACTACTAATGATTCAGTAGTTCCATAACCGGAAAAATATCTTTTTTATCTATTTTGAAGAATATTTTCTACCATATGTAATTATAAATAATCGTGGAAAGTACTTTTTCAGGTCATAAAAAATTTTGGAAGTGAACGTATCAAATAACACCCAATACCAACAATAGGGTTAACAGACTAAATACTGTGGCGAAGTAGATATAGAAAGCATTAATAATATTTGATGTACCTGATGATGGTGCCATGTGGCTGTGTGACGTCATGCTTGCAGCCGCCCTCCTTGCAGTCGTGCTTGTTGGGGTGGAGCGTGAACCCGCTGTGGCAGGCGCACTCGTACCCGCCCAGCGTGTTGTGACACTCATGTTGACAGCCGCCATTGTTCTCCGCGCACTCGTCCTCGTCGATGTAGTACACCGCGGCGAAGCCCGACCGGTGGACTGAAGAGTCCGAAGTGAACTATTAGAAGAAATTAACATATTTCATTAATACACGGTCACATTGTCTATGACATTGTCGGTTTCTGTTACACTGCACGGTGTGTGCCGTTACCATTTTCGGTGTCAATATCGATGTCGGTAGTACTGTCGTTGTAACACCGACGTGTCTCACAGTAGTGCTCTCTATGTCAGGGATACAGTCGACGTCAGTGTCATTGTCACTTCAATGTTAGCGTAAGCGTCAGATTCGGTTGAAGTGCTGTGTTGTGACAGTGTCACAGATGCTGTGACTGCCACAGAAATCGTCGCTGATAGTGTCACAAACACTAAAACTGTCATAGGTGTCGATGTCATCAGTGACGCAGACACTAAGAATGTCATAGACGTCATTTGCGACAGTATCACTAACACTAAATTTACCACAGATGTCGCTGTAGACAGTGCCACAGACACTGAGACTGAGACTGACACAGATGTCATCACTGATAGTGTCAGTGACACGGTGACTCCCAGTCATTTTTATAAAAACATTGTTGTGTAATGTATATCTATTGTATATCTGACCTGCACTCTGAGCACTGATCCGTCGGAGGTGACTGGTGGGGGAAGCGCGTTACCGCAAAAGGCGCCGTGACGCCTCAGAACATCAGCGCCCAGTTTAGAGTTCACCGTCACGCTGTCGTATTCACATTCCTGTTGGACAATAAAGTGAATTTGAGATAGAGTTTCTCTAAGTTGATCCTGAGCAGTGCGTGATAATTAGTATTTTATATCATCACGTAAGAAAATCATATATTATAAATCAAATTTGGATAAAATAATTTTACTTTGGTGGTGGTGCCAATTTCGGTTCATTTTGCTTGCTTGAAAAGCCTATAAAATTTATAAGTACATCTTTTCGAAATCATAAAGAAAAAAAAGAAAAAACGGTGAAAAAACACAGTGAGCTCGATGGCGCAGTAATTAGCGCGCTCGATCTGCGATACGGTTATTAAGCAACTTTCGCAAGATGGGTGACCAAAATTTATTATCTCGAGGTGCTTTTTCATAGAAACTGTCAGTTTGTATAATATAATTACCTGTTGGTACATGCTGTTACCCTCCAAGTCAAAATGCGTGAAGTTAAGCGTGATTCTGTGCTGTGGGGGCGCCACTATCTCCCACAAGCAGTTCTTCGATGGCGGGTACAAGTCGGGGAACGATGGAGACGTTATAGTGCCATTAGGGGCGTACAAGACACCCCCACAAGCATCTGGAAGTAATAATCGCAACATTCAATTTATTAGTAGAATTTTAAATTAATCCAAATGCTATAATTATAGAATAATCGCTTCTGATGATGCTTCTGAAATTTAGTGAATCTGTCAAAAGCTGCCTAAACACACAACAATAAATAATACTTATATTCAAAGTAAGTCAATTTCTTATTACAGGCAGTGCACGTATTCTTTAAATATTTAGAAAAGTTATTACGTTATTTTCCTATAAATATATAATTTATAGGGGAATATTTCGCTTGAATATTTTTTTTATATGTAACTGATGAATCTCTATAAATAAAGGAGTGTTAAGTAGCTGACTCACTTTCGCACTTCTTCCCGTCGGAGTGCAGCTCGTAGCCGATGTCGCAGGCGCACTCGTACCCGCCGAGTGTGTTCACGCACGAGTGACTGCAGCCGTGCTTTATGGTCGCACACTCGTCGAACTCCTTCATGAACGTAGCTGAGAAACCGGCTTTCTGGACAGTGCTGTCAGACTCGAAGATTACTTGCAGCTTGTTGGAAGTTGACCTTTAACAATTGTATTCTTGCTTATTCAACGATGTATTAATCATTTCATAGAAAAAATACTGGAAAAATCTACTGTCTTAGGTATCATGCCACCGATTGTGTTTATTTTGCGGCAAACGATAATTGTCGTTAAGCAACTTTTGTAAGGGTCTGTCACGGGCTGGGTGACCAAAAAATATTATTTCTAGCTACTGCGTGCTTCGAAAGGCACGTTAAGCCATTGGTCCCGGCTGCATTTGCAGTCGTGAATGCACATTGGGCTAGCGTGAAGGGTTATGGACCATGGTCTAGAAGCATGCTCCTTAACCATCCATAAGGAAGGCCTGAGCCCCTGCAGTGGAGTAGCCCCTGCGAAATAAAAGGCAGACGATGATATAATAATTTTATACAATATTGCTAAAAATGATCAACTGATCATACAGTAACTTAATTGTGTAAGAGGGCTTACTAAATACCTGATGTCAGGAGGTATTTTGTGGCCACAAAACATGCCCAACAGTGGACTGTCCATAGATGCTCCGTCCCTAACCTGAACCTTGTCGTAAGAACAGGTGTCGTGGTTCTCCACTTCGAACGAGTGGAATCTGAGTGCGACTTGGTACTCCTGAAAGATTAAAATGATATTTAAAAAAAAATATATATATTTAAGATTCTTATAAAAAAAATATTACATAGAATTTTAGAATTCCATGATACGTTTTGATGATGAAGCCTAAAGCAGTATTCCGCTAAGTATGTGTGAATCGGAAAATGAGGTTATCTTTATAAACTTATAAACAAAACAAAACAAAAATCGAAACGCCTCAGGATGATCGACAAAGGGATGAGAGCAGCCCTATCAACGATAACTCCAGATTAATAAGACCGTATATGCTCAACGAAACAGGTTTATGTTTTGCATTAAATATACACATTTCCTGCAATTAATTTTTTTTAATAATAAATATTATTTCGTTGGTTAATTTATTTATGATTTGTGGTGTGCCTCCAAACGTTTTCGTTTTCCTAGATATAGATTGAACACAAAAAGTTTGCGGAACACTGGCCTAAAGCACTGACAAATCTGATTATAAATACTGATATTTTAAGACCTTTATTATTATCTTACTTTCTTACTACTGGGTGTTTATTTGTCATAAACATATTCAATTAGTTCATTCCTCCTTTACTTAAATTAAAAATACAATCTTACGTTTAAGTACCGTATTAAAATGTACTGCGCACCCTTGTAACCCGTTTCAAATTAATTGGTTTCAATTAACAAAGAAACTCACAGGCGGCACTGATAGATTCCACACACACAACTTGTTTGGTTGGTAATCATCCGGATAGTTTGGAGACTCCAGGTGACCATTGCTGTCCACCTCTATATCTCCACCGCACACGGCTGGATAACAACAAAAAAACAACAAGTAATGTAATAATCTCACAGTTAAATCAATCGATAACTTTTAAGTAACAATAAAATTAAACCCTGACAGCTAAGTTCTTAAAACTGCCTCCTGAATGGTGTCAAATTTACCCGACACGTATGCCTTAACTCTATTATTGCTGTTCTATTGCAATTTCTTCAAAAGATAATAACCTTCATAGTGAGCCTTGAAGCCCTTATGCGGCTTTGCCCTCGGGCCGGGCTGGTAGACCACGGTGAGCCGTGAGCCGGTGGAGCGCATGATTGGACCCTTTCCTGAGCCGCAGATGCGCGCCAGCACTGGCGAGTCGGGCATGTACCCGTCACGCACCTCCACCCACTCGGACCTGCACTCCTCTGACTTATGGATGTCGATCTCTGTGAATGTTCATGAACAAACAGATATTTTAACTTACACAACGAGTGTTATAATTTGCTGAAGCCCTTGTGACCATAAATAAACTAAAGTTCATAAAAAAACCGACTTCCAAATCAAAAAGGAGGCCATGTATATCCTCATATACGGCGATGTGTTTTTTTATGTATGTTCACCGATATTTCCGCTAATTGTCGACCGATTTTAAAAATTCTTTTTTTATTCGACAGCTTTATGGGCTTATTAAAAAGTGGTCCCATTTAATATCGTCGAATAAGTAGTTTTCTTTTCTTAAAGAAAATCAAAATTCTTCTTTCACCTAGATATCACCTAAATATTTAGATGATATGTTATGACGTGACCGATTTTAGGTAAAATTGCATATTTTAAATTCATTCAAAATCCGAAAGAAGGATTTTCAGTTTTCAAAGAGTATGTACATTATTTATAAAACTAGGTATGTTCATCGATTGCTTCTTGAATTGTATTCTTGAATCTACTAAACTAGCTGTTTGCCTGCGTATATTATAGCCTATGTCCCCCGCGCATTATGTAGCTTCTTGAAGACGAAACCTTTTGTAAATCGGTCCACTAACTTCGAAGCCCATTCAAGGTAAACAAAGAAGTAATCAAATCTTTCTTCTTTATAATATTATTGGAAAAAAAATATGTCGAGCAAATAAATAAATCTCCTTTTCTAATACTTTCACTGTGTTGAATATTTTTATTTATTCAGATTAATATTTTTGGTGTTACCTATTATATAAAAAATATAAAATAAAATCTTAATAAATATAAAAGTGATAAATAATACTTATCTCAAAAGCGACTTACTCAAGAAAATACTATTGTTAATGCTTATCTTGGGTCCCGTGTAACGTAGAAAATGTTTCTATATTGTGTCGGGTCTATGTGTTTTGGTACTTTTCTAGTTACAGATTTTCAAAATACAAGTGTTAAAACTACATAATTTGGTGTCCGATCAATCTATGGGAAACATATTATTCTATATTAATTCTATAAAGAGGTAAAGTTCCTAACTTTGTTTGTTTGTAGAGGTCTTCGGTAATACTGATCGGCCCTGCGATTTTGTAAATATCCTAATTCGAATTCACTCAGGTGTCCAAATTCATTTCAAAAAGCGGCATCCGCTTAACCTCTAATCGGTTATAACGTTGCGTGGCATAAGTGTAGTGAGTTACTAAATGACATAGCAATTGAATATAGGAGACACGTATATACAAAAAAAATGGAATTAATAGAATCTCTACACTAAATGATATGAAACACGTGAGTGAATTCGATTTCGGGTCTTAATTTTTACAGAATCGCAGGGCACACCATGAAAGATCTTTTATCTGCGGGGAGCTACATCACACGCGGCTGATATAGGCTGATTTACGCGGGCGAAGTAAAACAGCTAGTTTGATAAAGTCTGAGTCACTTTATAGCCGGTATAAAGAAGTCTCCGTATATTGTATCTGTTCTTTTTTAAAATTTAGGCTAACAAGCACTACCGATTCCTATCAATGGTAATTAATCAAATTAGTATGATAAATTTGATTATTATTAACTCTCTTTATCTTATTGATCAGATTAATAATTTCGTTTAGTCTTCCTCTCACATTTATGTTTACAACGGGCAAAGTTCAGTCGTCTGCGGCATATCTCCGGTTGCCATATTGATGGCTCCCTTCAGTTTTCATTAACAAAACTACAACATCTTGTAACGTGCCGTTTCAACACAGATTAATAGTAGCTAGTAGTTTCCGAGACCGCAATACCACACTAAATGTACTGGCCGACTAAATTTATGATGTCTTCGAATAACACCACCATATATAGACCTATATATGGTGGTGTTATACGACCACTGGTAGCTATTCGACTATAGCTACCGCTACCGGTAGTTTTAAAGTTTAAATAAAAAAGAGATACTGCATAAGTTGAAAGCTCAAGTTATATTGGAACGGCCCCACGCTGTTCTCGGCAGAAGAGTAAGCAATCAATGACAAAGTTATTGCTTCCTATTGGTTTCAAACGGAAGGAAAAAGTCTCCGGCAGAAATATAAACTGAGAGCGGTTAGAAAATTGCTGCTATTTTCTATCAAGAAATTTTGTAAGGTGGTTATTAAAAGTAAATGATGCTACTGGTATCACCCAAACATCCTCACTGCAAGGGCTCAGGCGTTCCTTATAGGTGGTTGAAGATCATCGAGTACTAGGTACTAAATGTATCAAAACTAATTAGAACTTTTTACTTAGAAAAGAAATAAAAAAATATCACCCCTTGAATGGTGCAGATTTGAAATTTAATTAATATCATATTCGCGGTATGTTATCATTTATCAAATTATATTAAAGGTACCTAATACAATTTCATTTTAAAAACGAATTAAAATACTATCGATATTTCTAAACAAAGTTATCTTAATATTCATAGAGACATATTAAATTTCTTTTAATCACATGAATAAATAATTTATCCTATTTATTTCACGTGTTGTATACCTCAAAATTAATCTTCCCAATTTTTTTTTCATTCCAGTAACAATTTACCTACTACATAATTAATTAATAATAAAGCTAAAGTGAGCTTTATTGCTATTGAATACAATAAGTTATTGTTTATAATACAAAGGGCAGGCTTTAAGAAATGGACGGGGGAGTTTCCAATAGTCTCGGTACTCATGTTATTTTTAAATTTAATAATACCTATACAATTCGACAAGAAATAAGCCACTTCTATTTTAATATAGATTCTTTTCTTATTTTAATTGTTTGTGTATCGCTCAATATAATGAGTAGGTTATATTGAAATGCGCAATTTATTAAACATATTTTGGAACATTGTCCACCAGTATTGTTTATTTTGGATTGTTATAAATACAATTGTATGTAATTGCAAAATAAACAATTCGTTTACGCTGAACGAGCGATCTTTGGGACATGCACAATAAATAAATAAAATTGTGAGTATTGTAAAGTTACTTAACTAATAAAAAGTATCCATCAGGATGTCGTATATCTTAGTTAGGTGCCTTTCAGCTCTTGACTCAAGGCGTCAGGAACATGGCACTTACATTCATTAGTGAGATGCGAAAAACAATTGACCTTTCCGAAAATTAATTTAAACAGAAATGTTTTGATAACATTTCTCAAAAATTGGTAATTTTTTCTTTAAAGTATTTTTTCAATATTAAGTATTTAAGTATTATTGATAGGCAAAATGTTTGCCCTTGTCACTGTTCTAATAATAACACTTAATGAATACCGCCCAGTTTTTCAGGCTTTTAAATTGTGAGTTAAGTTTTACTCCAAAAATTGGCATCAATATACCATATATGTGTTTCAGGACAACACAAAATGAAATTCATGACAATAAAAATTACTATATCCACCGGGAATTGATCTACGCTTATTTAGTTGACGTAGGAGTTGCTCGGGATACCAGAAGTCATAGTATTGAGCCAATACGCCAATAGAATAATGTAAATCCTAAATACATAAAAATAATTAAAGTATACCGTTGTATAAAAACGCTAGAGAAAATCCACACTAATTAATAAAAAAGTAAGTTTTCTTTTTGTAGTAATTTTAAAAGCGGTGTTAAGTTTAATATTTGTCCACATTAAACTTAAAACCGCTTTTAAAAATTATTTCACCAATATGAAATACTTACCGTAATCAGAGATTACAATAACTATATTTTATTTTTCAAAAAGGACTCTCGCTAGTTCAGGTCGGACATATTTTTTTAATCTTGTTTAAATACTTGACGTGGAAGGTCTATATAAAAATAAAAGCCCATCTTACCATTAGGTAGTGGTGACAGATCAACAGACCTGTTGGAGAATCTTTTTCCGACCCTTTCTGAATGTCAGGGCGCACTTAACTTAACCCTCTCGAATATGCAATCTATATATATAAAATTCTTGCATTACCCAGTGACTGACTGACAGACAACGTACAGCAGAATCTATTGAGCGTAGAAAGTTGAAATTTGGAATGAAGATTCCTCAGGGAGTGTAGAGAAGCACTAAATGATAATTTTTGAAAATTCCATCCCGTGGAGGCTAAGTAGGATCAAAGTTCATTACTACAAGTGCTAGCGGTTTCAAATTTTGCATGTGGGTTCTTTTTAGGATGTAGATGCTCACTAAGACGGGATTTTAAGAAATTTGACCCCTTTAGGGGATAAAAGTTTTTATGGAATTTTCTCATTTCTGGACTCTAAGCTAGACCAAGCGGGCGAAGTTGCGGGCAAAAGCTAGTAGTTTACATTGGAACTAAGTTCGATTTATGATTAATGTTTTTCTTTACTAGTTTTCCATTGCACTTTCGTTTGCATGTTTGTCAGGGAAGTTGCTTAATTATTATTGTCTTCGTTCGATTCCCTTATTTTAACTTTTAAAATATTTTTTGTGTAAAGAAGAAGAAGACACCGGTATCTTAGCTTTATTAGCGGCAGCGAATATAAAAGTTTATATAAGCTATTTCTTTTAATCGACCACTTGCTGTCCATTTCTTTAAAGGAGCCTATGAACGCAGACGGATTTAGTTTGAATTAATGAATTTATCGATCTTCCACGTGACCACCAGAGCACTTCAAATAAAAGCTTTACCCATAAATCTTCGTTCAGCCTATAAAAGCATTTGTTTAGGCAAAATAGTGCCGAATATATCAATAAGTATTAGCAGGTAAAATTTGTAGGCAGGATGATAATATTCGCCTCCATACTTCTCCAGCGAGGTTTCGATCAATCTCTAAGTTGGTATATCTATCAGCCACACAGCTTGAAAAATTTTGCATTTATGTGTAAAAGGTTCTAATAAGTGATAAACCATCGTTTAAAAAATATCAGAAATGAAAATCACATCTAAATCAGATGCGGACTGACAGAAGTGGAGAGCGACTTTTATTTAAAACATAAAGATTTACAGAACGTGTAGAAGGACTAAAGAAATTTATGATCACCCATATTTTAAAAGGTTGGTAAATATGTCGTCAATATTAAATTACCTGTGTCAATATTGGTAATGTCCTCCATCAAACTCAACCGTTTCATTTTGTATTGACAGAGTTACATATAGTACGATGTAGCTCATAAACATTTTTATTGGTACAGTGAATCACGCAAGTGTCGTTGTCGTTTCGAATGCGCGTCCTGCATATCAGCAAGATGATTTTATTTCTTGTTCATTGACTCTGATGTATATGAGCGTATCCATTTCATCATGCTCTTTATTTTTCTTGCGATACGCTTTATATCCTTATGATAAGACTTAGGATCAACAATCTGTTAATAAAATAATTGTTTACATGTTCTGCCTTCTGTAGTAAACTGTATAGTATCTTCTTGTTGACATGGTATGACAAAAATAGCTTAAAAAAATAGCTTTTGAATCAATTCTCAAAATTTATGAATCTTCTGCAGAAAGGTAATAGGATGTAAATATAAGATGTCTGTATGTGTAGCATGATCAATCCGAAAGACGAGACAAACGCTACAATATTTCGAGCAATATCTCTTCTTAGAGTTTTTCATACATTTAAAAGCTTATTTGTGAATCGATACCACCAGAGTTTGGGTCTTCATGAAAGTTTTGAAAAATCATTAGAGTGTTTTGGTAGATTTTATACACATGTTTAAGTTACATTAGTTAAATAGGCTTGATAAGGTATCTGGTAACGCAATTGGTACAACAGTTATCAGGTTAGCGAAAAATCATAGACTTGAATCCTGTCACGAGCACTTAAGGCAGTTAAGCATTAATCACTTAACTCTCTTGGCAATATAACAATATCTTCGACGTTACTGCTTATTACAATCAGCTGTCTTATAGTTTCAATAGGCTACGGATCCTGTTTACGAGGACAACAATAGGATTAGATTACATACGGTTGTCAAAACAACCATTTATCTGTGCACGCGGTACGGACAATAGCTTAACTACTCGGCCACCTGTCAAATAAATTTGTGGACGGTGACATCTGTCATGGATTACGACTGTCTCTTAAGGTGGATAAAACAGTAATCTTCAAGTCTTGAAGATTATAAAGGTACATCCAACTCGACTTTGTTTGTGCACTCTGAAATAGAGGAAGAGAAGAGAAAGTGCAGGGAAAATAGAGCTACGGTAGAGGATTAAATTTTTTTTACATCATGAAAAGTTTAAAGATAGTGAACTCATTATGATGTCATAATTTTAAAAAATTCATTTAAACATTTAAGTTATTATTTGATAAGAATAAAAACTTGAGTTGGTACGTCACTATTATGGAAACATACAAAGCCATATACATGGGTAAATTTATCCAAATTCAACAAATTAATTAAGATACACAAAATATAATACTCCTAATATTATACAGGAGAAAATTTGTAGGTTTGGATGTTTGGATGTCTATGTGTTTGTTACTTCTTTACGCAAAAAATCTTAGTCTGGATTAACATATATGCTAGTTTTTATCTCACTAAAAGGGCGCCTATTCTTGTGCATGTGGCCTAAATAGTAAAAGATATAAGAATGCTTTCTAAACAAATGTTTGATAGCTTCAAATTATCTAATAAAAGTTCACGATGGTATATATCAATGTGCCAACATTTTTCCATAAAAATTTTAAAAAAAGTCGTTAAAGTGTATATACGAGTTCATAATGTCCATCCTTTAGGATTTTATTTGAGTAGGTTAATATTGAATCCATATCGAAATAAATATGCAAATCGTCAAAAGTAATTTAATGCAAGAAAAAAACTCTTTTACACCAAATCAATGGCATGAGTAATCTAAATTATATATTACGATGTTTTTTAGAAAAGAAAAAAACACACCCACCGGTTTTCTAAATACTATTTCATGTGTACGTATCTGTTATGATTTAACAGCTTTTTTTCACATGTACTTAAATATTTATAAGAACTGTAGTAATTATATTATTGGTTTTCTAATAAAAATAACGAAAGCAGCGATGGTTTAGAGATCGTTTAGTAACAAGGAATACCTATTCAAGGTGATATTGACAGTCTACATACCCAAGAAAATTACCGAGAGTAGAGTAAAGCTTTTGTTGTATCGGAGAAGGATGAAAAAGATTATTAGAGATTATTTATTATTAGAGACTTTTGTTGTATCGGAGAAGGATGAAAGAGATTTCCTTTGTGAAAACTAACATATCAACAAATTTAGTGACCCCAATTTCTCTTTCATATTAAAATAAAATACTGATATAGTTTCGTCAATGTTTTATTGGGATAATTTCGAGAATATACTCTTTCAAACACAATAAGTGCAATATGGATACAAAAAAAATCATCAAATAGAAAACTAGTACTCCTTTTTTGAAGTCGGTTAAAAATAAACGACTATAAGTACTAATACTAAGTACTAGTACTAATAATACACATTCACAATAACGCTTTTAGAAACAAGCTTACCCATAACTAGTAAAGTCCTATAACCAAACCTTATATCTCAAATAAGCTGTGTAAACGATTTATAACGGTGTCGGTGGTGACTGATGGTTGTATAAAAGCTAGTTTAAACAACAATCGTATATGTTTCAAACATTTCCATTCAATTAGGCACTAAGAAAACAGCTATATATTGATTTGATAGATTTTGCATTCATAGTGTTATTTTTTTTTTTTATTAAAAGAAAAATACTTTTGAGATTAAAATTACTTAAAAATTTGTCAGTCTCAGATATCCATGATGGGATTCGAACCCGTAACATCGACAGCTTTGAATAGTTTTATTGTGCATGTCCGGTAGTTATATCAGAATAAATCCTTAAGATATACCTCTCAGATGTATCTGCAGAAATTTTACGCTCCAACAATTTGGGGTGTCTCGAGTGGCCACTTGTAGTAAAATTGGGATCTAAGGGTGTTCGCAAACAGTTTGAGAGAATCTGACGATGCTCTTTTATGGAAACGATAGATTTTATCTCTGAATAGGAATATTATTAGATCTTCTTGTATTGAATATATTGAGTAAATATGTTCACTTCAGGCCAAATGTTGCGTAATTAGTTCTTAATGCGCACCGCTAAAGACTGGAATATGCTACTTGCAGGTACATCGCATGAGTAATTGAACTATTGAAATCACCATTGAAGTCAAATTTTATGCTAGCGTTGGAATTAGCTTGTGAATTCATTTATTGAATAAACACTTTTTTAGTAAGATATGTAGTACATTTAATAGTATTATCTTAGGCCACATCTTACTTATAATTAAGGCGGATGAAATGCCTATAAAATATTATTGTAATAACACAAAAAAATCGAAGTCGAGACAAAAATCATTGATCTAATTTCTATGATTCAATAAGTTTATCGGTAAACGCGGTGTTATCTCAGTCTGTTATGAACAACAATTTAATACCTACAGATGACTTACGTAAGAACAACAACTAAGATCTATACTCTAGGTACATATTACAGAAATAACTGGTATCATAAAAACATTCTCATTGTCCATTCTGCTCATTTCTGGAATCGTTACTATTTCATATTATAAAGAGCAAAGAATGGATTATTCTTTGTTTCTTTGCATTGAATAGGTTTCAAAATTACGACTGGTTTTAAGAATTCTTTCAGCTACTGGTAGTTACGTGATACGCGGGTGACATGGGATATAATTAATACGTACGAAGTCGCGGGAAAACGGCTAGTAGCAGATATAACTAGTAAGCAATTTTCTTTCTCGACGATATTTGACATCAGTGAAATAGTCCAGATTTTCATTTGCCAAATAACTTTAACTTTTATTGTGTGGAACTAGATGTGTCTACTTGTTCTGTGCCCGTCAGGTTCTCGCAAATTGTTTCGCAACTACTTGAATATTTAAGTTACCGGCATCATGTGGCATTTGAGAAACAAAATAAAAAGAACTATCGCCGAAGAAATTCTTTTTGAGCTGGTAAGATAAAGTTTCTCCATTCTATAGTAATGAGACAAGTTTGTTGTTGGGTCTGGAAAATTTTAATATTGGCTTAAGTGATAATGACACTTTCACAAAAATGTAGTAACTGAAATGTTTACGACTAACTTTATTTTTATTGCTTGATTATTTAACTAATTCAAAGCAGATTCAACCGTAGATGACAAATACAGTGATGTTTGTTGTAGTACTGAATAAGTACCGCTACTACTATTGTATTGGATCATACATTACCTGTAAGTAATTTATGTGTATTCACTAATGCCCAATTTCACCAACGTCCCCTAAATTTAAAGGTACTTCAAAGCTTAGGGGTCGCCTACGGTTCTAAAAGGACTTTTAGGTTAAGGGGGCAAAATATTCAGGCCATAAAAATATGTGACTGTTTAAAAGAGCGTTATACTAAGAGATAGTGGTCACGTAGAGTAAAAATATTTGTTGTAATGTATAAAGTTGGATGCAGAATTACATGATTTTGTTTAAAGTTACGAAATTTCCGATTTTTATAATAAAAAAAAACATTATTCAAACCTTTATTTTATTTGATCAATTTCGAATTCACAGTGCTATACTGAAAAATGTTCTTAATAAAAAATGACTTAAAAAATAAACAAGTGCTTGAAAGTTTCGTCAGTCCTGTTAGGTCCTTGATAGCTCAGTGTTTAGAGCAGTCGCCTGGATAACGAACGGTCATGGGTGCGAATACCATCTCAGGGTGCCAGGGACCAAGTGGATTTTTCATTAAGAATATTTAAACCTTTTTCTAATCTTCTCTAGCTTATATATAAACTTTCGGAAATTAATTATCCTATGAGATATATATTATGCTTATTTGTAAGTACAATGCTAAAATGAATAAAGATAATACATATACGATATTGATGGAGTTATTAGCTCTTATAAGAACAACTGAATTCTAATCGTGTTTAAAAACTTTTATGTTCAAAAAGTACCTCCAAATGTAAGTTGCCATTCTTACATTCCTAACACTTTTTTTGTAGCTAAAAGCTTATTATATTTGTAATTATTACTTTTATTTTTACACGTAAAGATGCATGTTTTAAATGAAATAAAAGCAAAATAGCTAGAACGTTTTAACCATAATAGAACCCAATGAATAATATTTTAAGGTAAAACCACACTGTTGTAATTTATCGTCAGATAAAAATTATTGGAAGATCTTTCAATAATTTTTAAATATGTAGACAGGTAGAATGCTTATATAACACACAATTGCAGCGACACTAATGGAAAAATTATAAAAATGACTAGTACACAACGACAGATGTTCGTTTACCTGTGTGCGCAAGCAATGAGAAGGGTCTAGGCTAAGGACGTCCTGAACTCTTTATTAAAAAAAATGATACACCAACGATAGATTCATATCTAATGGCAAATCATGTGAAGTTGTTGATACGCCCCACGCGCATCGATTCTTCGGCTCTTAATAAATAATTCTTCACTTCCATGAGATGCTTTACAGATCTTCTACTCAATCGTCCGATGGTTAAAATCGTCCTACAGTGTAAGTTACCTGTGATATTAAGCACGACTCTCTCGCCGTGGGTGGCGACGATACGCCACTCGCAGCGTTCCTGCGTGGCGGGCGACGTATCGGCCCCCCATCCCGGCGAACTGAACCAACCAGAGTTGCCGAGTAAAGTCCTACCGCATTCTAAAGAAAAAAAAAACAGAAGTTTATAAGCCCTGTGATTCTGTAAATTCCAAACCCGAATTCGAATTCTATCAGGTGTCCGAATTGACTTCAAAAAGAGGCATACGCTCAACCTTGAATTGGTAATAACGTTTCGTAGCATAAGTGAAGTGAGTTTCGAAATGATATAGGAATAGAATATCTGAGACACATTCAATCAATTTTATTTTGTATTTTTATACAAAAAAAAATGGAATCAATAGTATTTTAACACCAAATGACGTGAATTCGGACACATGAGTGAATTCGAATTCGGGTCTGGATTTTTACAGAATCGCAGGGCAGTGCTATTTTCAAAATACATCAAACAAAATAGGAAATTTTGTTAACTCACGTAAGCTATTTATGAAACGTAATAGATTAAGAATCGGTTTATGTGAGATTGAACAAGGATGACAGTTGTTTTGGTAATTATCTATTCTCAACTGTCGTGAATTCAAACTCAAGTTGGGAACGCGCCATGATTAATTTTCTCGACTATTATTATCAAAGAAATACTTATAGAATTTAAAAAGTGGAATATATCTACTTATTAAAACAATCTCTTAACAAACTCACCTGACAAATGTTATCCAACTTAAATAAATCGATTTTAAAGAAAAAAGTTTTACTCATTTTCCAAATTTTTCATAAAACGTATAATCTTTCATCTCTATTTCTCATCCTCCCTTCATTCTATACCTATTGAACTTTAAATACTCACTGGCACATTTGTATAAGAGATTCGTTTGAGCAATATCGCTGACACTGAGCCTGACCCTCTGGCCAATCTCTGGTCTTTTCTTCCCGTGGACCTCCAGTGGTAATATTGTGTCTAAATAAGTCCCCTTGCTGAATGTGTTCCTCGCGTAGTGCATTATAGAGTCGTAGTCGTATGTTTGGCCTAAGGAGTTTACTTCTTCATCCGTCAACTTGTTGAAATTGTATTCTTGACCTAAAAGAAGAATAAAATATACTTGGAGTACATTATTGATATCTCGTAAAGAAATACTATTTAACTATTTTACATTAAACTAGCTTTGCGTCCGTGACTTCGTGGCCTATTTCCACACTCTCCTTTCCCAAGTTTTACTGTATCTCTGTATTGAACATCAAAAAATAGACAGACATGCAGAGTTTCTTTTTGATATAAAATTATTAATTTTAACCAAGTTTACGACAAATACTTTGAATATGTGTGGAGGATTGATTTAAAGTTAAACCTATAATAACAAAGTGCTTGTTAGTTTTCCTCGTTCAAAGGACAGCGTATTTTTTTGTTTTGTTTCCACATGTAATCGATTAATTAAAAGGAGGTTGGTTCTTCAGAGAAAAAAAAGCTGTAAGTAAAAAGGCAAACAGAAGGGCGAAGAATTTTGAATATCTGATATCTGACCGTGTCAGATGATATCGCTAAGGTCACTGTGATGGGAATCTTGATCGATAATGTTATTATGTTCCACTTTTAAAATAATGTATCCAACTGATTCTTACTAACATTTTTATTATCGTGACTTTATATCCTATTAATACGTCTATTAATATCACAAAGCACAGGCTTAGTAAAAATATCGATGATGCCACAATTGGCTGACTTTTGGACATAAGCTTGATAAGTTAGAGACTCAAATCCAGGCTGCATCGAGGTTGACTTTCGCTTTCATTGAAGGATCTCTTGTCAAAGCCATGCAGGAAGGTCATGTTCTATCAATATAGATGCAAATAAACTCTACACTCGAGTCGTGTCTATGATTGAGAGAAGTAATAACTTGAGAATATATCATCATTATATCATCATAATATATTATACCCCCCGATTCTTTCGTTTGTTTTTCTTGTCAGCTAAAAGACGTCCTGAACAAGTGGTAGGGGAAAAAAAATTTTTGGCCGATCCAAAAGTGCTTGTAACAAGCTTACTTGAAAAAAGATATTATCATTTCATTACGCTAATAGTAAAACCTACCTTCTTTACTAAAAAAAAAATCGTTTTTATAGTGTGAACTTATATAGTAAATCCAATAGGGAATATGCACATTTTTGGAAAATGGTTTTGTATGATAATTAATAATTAATAACTGTAAAAAAATACCCGGCACCGAAAAACTAAAAATTCGTAATATTAATCATTGATGAAAATAAGTAATAGCTACGAGCAGTTTAAACACCGGAATTTTTGGCGCGCTCGTCGTGACGTCAAAGTACACGACTAGAGATATGACACTTTAAATCGATATGGATTTTGAGCGATTGATTATTATTCAATTACCCAAATCGATTAACAATTAATCGATTTTTTAAAGTATTATATAGTTATTTAATAAATCATATAATTTACCAAATTGGTGAAATAAAAATAAAAGCCTAAACATCATTTAAAACTGTTGTTTATTTTGCGACTTAATACTTTGATGTTATTGCATCGATGTTAACTTTTTGTAACAACGACATCCTTATGCGTGTACATTTTCGTCACATCCGCTCTGACAAGTAGCATGGCGTTTAAATATTTTGAAGTTACCGCATTTATTTTGCATTTTTTAATAATTATTTTCAAGACGAAAACGAACAAATTTTGAAAAATATTTAGATAAACTTTATTTTAAAGCAATAACGATTATAATAAAATATATTTAACCCTTTTTTGAATCGTTACATTTTTTATGGTGTAATAATTGTTTATGTGAATTTTTGTAATTCTTTTGAGAATAAAGATTTCTATAACCATCACCATACTTAACGTCATTGTGCATAAGTTCGTGTACAAATCAAGCGAAATAAACAACATATTACCCTTTAGTCATAATGCCGTCGACTGTAATAGTACTCGTTTATAATTATCATGTTAATTGGAGCGTACAATAAAGTATTATATCATTCATTAATTTAGAGAAATATTACCGGGTTAATCTATTTTGAACATGAAGATATATCATTATTACATCATTAGGAAGGTAACAGGGTCTGTAAGCTGGCTATTTGAACAATTCTCCTCAGAGCAGTTTAGAAACAATGACCTTATTATGCTGCCGGATAATGCTCGCAGTTTCTGGTGTTACTGCGATTTCCACTAGTTCTGCAGAGGATATATCTCTAGTAACGAAGCTAAAATGAAGCGATTATGTCGTAAGTATTAACTTAGAATAGAACAAAGTATCTACAGAGACGTTACTGCGTTTGGGAAATCTGGTACGGTGAATAATTTATACGTTTACTTAGAAAGAAAATGTTTAATTAGAACAATCCTTTAAATATATTACATAAAAAAGTCACTGGTTTTATAAGTGTAACTTTACTTTTAATAATTCAGAGCAGCAACATTATGTTCTGTTTCTCTCTCGCTTTTCTATTCTACTCAATGGTGTGTGAAAATTTTGGTACAAGATATAACGTTGATTTACTAGAATTCTCAGTTTTATTGAATAAAAAGTCCATAACCCTAAAAGAATCTCTAGGTGAATTCAAAATGAATTATGTCCAAGATCCAATTATTATTATAATTATCTATACATATATAATCCGTTAGGAAGACCTGAGCCCCTGCAGTGGGGACGTAAAATGGCTGGTGAATGATATAATGAGATGTCCTGACATACTGACTGACAGACAACGCATTGTTTTAACGACTGGTCGTAGAGACTTAAAATTTGGAGGGTACATTCTTTTTATTAAGTAGAGGTTTACCAAGAACGGATTTTTGGGAAAAACACCCGAGGGGTTTAAAAAGGATAAAAACGTTTGTATGAAACTTCTTTATTTTTAAATCTAAATAGACATTTGATAAATGAAAATAGGTATTTGAGTAGTTTAAGAGATATTTTATCCTCAAAACCATCGTTTAAAGGGATAAAAATGGGAGTGGTTTTTATGGGGAGACCAAATGATACCATAGCAACCATTGTTATTATTTGATTTGTTATTGAAATAAATAAATCTGTCTTATATTATTTATAAAGATTTCCTTAAATAGTGATGAAAATTTAAATATGAAGGTGTCCCGATTGCACTTATTTTCACTAAATTTACTTTCTATCTAATAAAATAATATATAAAGAATTAAAATAACACTTAATTATGAGACTGAATCTGTTAGTTTGATTTGAATACTAATTATTATAATTTTCTTATACAATGTAAATTAATTAGAGCGCCTCGATTATGTTGGTACTCCATCCAACCGTTATTGGGTCAATGCAACAGACAGATGTTTATACACATATATTGTATAATAAGCAGGAAGAGGCGGGTGTTTACTTCCGGATGTTTGAGCTGATTATGCGTTAGATGTCACGGTGACGTGACGGGTTCAATGTGGTTCCGGAGAGTGTGCGGCCATAATCACACCGTGCCATAACATATTAAAAAATATGAAAAATAAAGCAAATAAGGTATTTCTTTTGCTAAAACTTATCTACGTAGGTATAGATGCAGCGGACATATGTTTTGTCTCGCACTTTCTCTCTCATTATTGTGCAGTGCCAAAGAGGGAGGAAGACAGGAAAGGTACTTCTAAAGTCAACCAGCGAAAAATACAAAATGGAGATAGTTATTTTAAAAGTGATGTTGGCGTTACAAATTCGTACTTTTGATAACAAACTTATAACTGTAACTGATAAAACACTACGCTTACACGAAGCATAGTTATTAGTAACGTTTAAAAACGTAAAGTGTAAGGAATTATTCTATTTTAAGACAGTATCAGCCTATGAGTCTATGGAAGGTGTGGTTCGGTCGTGATACGAATTAAAATATACACTACTAAAATAAATAAATAGTTTCCGACATCGACTATTTTTAACCGACAAAAAAGAGAAAAGGATTTTAGTCAAATTTGCGAATAGAATAACACGCAAGAAATCCAAACACTTTTCTATGACTGTACGTAAAGAAACTTCAAAAGATAGATTTCTTTTAAATTTTATCACGAAGATATTTTAACAGACTTCATTAGGTACTCGTCGAAAAGCATGTATTAAAAAGTTTTATCGTGTGAAGGAAAAGCAGAATAATTAATGAATGTAAGACTATTCCTATTATTATTTGTAGATGGAATGGAATGAATGGAATTTCGCGTGGTTTCCCTTCTTTATTGGATTATGTGACAGCGGCAGAGTATAGGTTTGTACGTTCGGTTACATTTCATCTATAAACTTTCCTCATAGTTAACATTTGAACACTTACAGTTTTTTCATGAGTTTTAATGAGATTTTGTAAAGGTTGTTAATATATTTTGTAAAAAAAATTCAAGCAATGTTATATTTATATAAAAATGTTTTAAAAATATAATACTTTTGCAAATGGCATCTACTAGGCTTTAATTTTTTTTTTCAAGTTTAGCATCAAACCAGGTTCTTTATCGAATAGGATAAAATATAATACAAGTAGTACAAATGTCTGCTTTTTACAGTACAATTGTGGTAGCTTAATGGTGGTGTTCCTCTTATGTGATACAAGTTTTTTTTTTTTTTTTTTACTCAAAGTATTTGTTTTATTTATTAACACTAGTAATATAAATATTATCATGATTCGCAAATGACGAACTTCGATTGTTACGAATGTGCGCTTTAATCGTCATAACTACTAATTACACGTCATTGTAAATGAGGTTGTCATCCAAAGATTTGCTCTACGTTTTTGTAATGGATTCAGGTCAAGCATGGCATATATCGGTGGGGAGACGACGCTACGATACGCACTCCGCATATGTACACACCGGCTAAAGTGGCGTATTGTAAGAATATTTCCACATAAATGTATTGTGTGGAATAGTATAGAGGTTTCAAGGGATAGTACACATAAAAATGTAAATAGAGCATCATTCAATAATTATTTTAGTTAATTTCGCGTACCATATAATTTTAATATTTATGTTTGGAAAATAATTAAAAGACAATATCGCAGGTGTCATTGTAACAAAGATTTCTCAAGTACTTTTTAAGGAAGTATCTGATCGTCCAGTTGGCCTGGTCATGTTTTCTTCAGATCGCCATTCGATATGTCGTGGTTAAGCGTCTGTTCTGCTCCAGTTTAAACATTTTGATGTCATGAAATAAGAAAGAGCACGATAAAATGATGATATATCGAAAATTCGTTTTAAGAGTACACATTTGCTCTTAAAACGAATATGAGACAGTTATTTTTTGTTCATTTTCACAGGTTCATAAAATTAGTAATCAACGGTTGTTTAGTTGCCGGTACCGATCAATAAAGGTTTACTGCAATTGTTTAACGTTTGCAAAATGTTGACATGTAACGGTGACACACGTCTGCACTGTGCCTTAGAAGATTCTATATCAATCTTAATATGTATATGGTATCATTACTCTATTATGTGATCAGAATTAGATTATTGTTTTCTTTGCGTATTATAATTATAGTAAGATAAGGTCACAGAAAATTAATATAAAATATAATTATGACAATGTTTTGGCACATTTCTCATCTCAAATCAGTTTCACAGTATCTTTAAATTAGTTATAGGGAAGAGATTATTGTTCAAATGACCGGTAATCTATAGCAGGGGATGCCACTATAAGCAGATAGGATTTAAACATACCGGACATAATGTTGTCTCTGATGATTTGCACGTGATTGTCCCTGTCTGGGCGCGTGTGCTCGTGCCAGAAGCCGACCACGTGCCCCAGCTCGTGTACCACTATGCCGAATTTATCGCAGTTCTTCCCAATAGATATTGCCTGCGCGCCACCTCCACGCTTGCCAACGAACGAACAACATCTATAAGCAAATCATACATCATCATCTCCACGCTGGCCCAATGCGAATTGAAGGGTAATAATGACTGCAAATGCAGCCGGAATCAACGGCTGAACGTGCTTTCTAAAGCACGGAGGGGCTCGAGATAATAATTTTTTGGTCACCCATCCCGTGACCGACCCTCGCTAAAGTTGCTTAACAACAACGATCGCGGGCCGCGGCACTTATCCTCTACGCCAACGATTTACTTACACTTCTTCATTATCTCATAAGTTTATAGGAATGTAATAGATATGTTCGTTTTTATTAAACCAACATTACGTACTATAGTTTTGTACATACTGGTTTACTGGTGGAGAATGCATGTATGGCATTAAGTCCTAAAACTAAAGCATTAATGCCCGTTTTCACTTACTTTAAGATTCGCCCAAATCTGATGCATCAATTTTTAGGAATCGCCTAAGGTGAAAATGCATTTCACCAATGACTAGAAACCGCCTAAGGACTTTAAGCAATGACTAAAGTTATGACATGCTGTATAATATGACAGATCAAAAATATATCAAGGTATAAAAAATATGTTTGTATGGAATTAAACTAACCTGCTAAGGCGATTCGTAAGTTTAGGCGTTTCCTAGTTAAGCCATACCTTAATCAAGGTTAATGAAAACGGGCGTCAGTGTCTTTAGTTATAGGCAATAAAAATACATAGTGCACATTTATTTACCTTAAAATATTGACATTCACAATATAATAATAAAAATATGTAAATAAGATTATATTTTTTCTTCCAAACTTTTATTTCAGTCCATTTGGAAACTTTTACAAAAGTGTTTTGGAATCTCCCAGTGGCTTCATAATCTATCAACTCTAGGCCCAATTATTCTTATCACAAATAAATAACATTTTGATTAATGCTTGTTTACCATTAAGATATTATTAAGACACGGAATAACATTTATTTGGTTACAGCTAAAGTTCACTTTTGTAAAGGTCATGTCATCCAATTACCAAAAAACCCGTAATCGTATAACACATTCAAATAATATCTGAACTAATCGAATGTTTGTGCGTCTCACTTTATTGTAAGGATAGATCGTAAATCAGAACCAATATTTTATATGATATATTAAGAGGGAATTATGGGATCATAATTTAAATCTGTTACAAAATCCTCTAAGCTACTGCGCCATGTTTAAGCAACAAGTATCAAAACTAATCTCTGTCATACACGATCGGATGTGATCGATGACGGGAGGTTATATTAGCAATATATGTAATATCTTTATGTTTTCCTTAACCTAAATATTAATTCTGAGAATGTTTTAACATATTATTATTTATGTGCAGAACATTTAAAGGAAGGATTCGCTGTTACATAATAAATTAGAGTAGTAAAATGTTCCAGTGAAAATTAGATTTATATATTTACTAATACATCCTTTCTTATATTTTCACGTGCACTATCCATAAACGAAACAACTTTTGAACGGTTTCAACGCGTTTGTATTTACCTGTAATTATTCGAAACGTCTAAAACTAAATACAAACGCGATGAAACCTTTTAAAAGTTGTTTCATTTAAACAAGCTTTCTGTTATAATTTGCTAAAATATACATAAAAGTATATTAATTTCACAATTGGGTAGCCATTCAACAATCCGCTTACCCACAAGGTCTCTCGGTGAATACTATGTAATCCCTATGCAGATCAGCATCTTTCTCGACGAATTTGACACATGTGAAGTTCTCCCAGTGCCTCATGGCCTGCTTGAAGAGGGACTTGTGTGCACCGCTGAAGTTGCCGTCAATCTCGTAAGGGATTACCCCATTTTCCCAAATACGCTCCTTGCGATTGGTCGCCGCACGAATCGAGCGATGCCTATTCGCCTGGGCCATAAAATATAAGAGGCAATGGTAAAATCTAATTAGAACATTTTTCTTACTTTAGGTCCAAAAAAATACTCCCTTAAAAGTGAGCTTTTGTATACATAGATAATATTTAGTAAGTGAGAAAAAACAACATTCAGCTTTTAGATTATGCATAGTGTAGGTTGCAATTAGTGCACAATTGTTCTTCTACAAATGTTTAATATAACATGTTATTTACAAACGCCTTTTTTTATTTAATAACATTTTCATAAATATGTTAAAAGGAGAAAAAAAAAGTAAATAAACTGTCGCTTAATTGACAAAAGCAAGTTTTTTGTCTTCCATATTTTTATGACGTACTTACTAACGTTAATTCACTAGGGTTAAGCTTAGAGAGAGAAAAAAAGTGAATATGATTTAAGATAAAGAACATGATGTTAAAATTTGTCGAATAATACAAACTGTTCCATATGACGACATATTGTCTGACAACTCTCTAAATGTAAAGGAATACCTAAGCTTTATTCGGTATTCACAGAATTTTCAAGGTCTATTGTATTGAGGTAACTAGTTCTAGTTCGTGTTTCAACTAATGTTCTGATCGAAATAGCTACAGACCGCCCTTCAACAAACATATATATGTCAGAATTAATAACTATATATCTTAGTTAACTTACTTGTGTATTATTATAATTTTGACCCTCCATGATGTTATAACTTTGACTCTCCATTGCTTCTAAGTCATCCGATGAGTCTCGAAAAAACCAATCCTTAAATTGTTCTGGACGTTCAGTTCCATTTGGATTATCTTTAGGTGGAGGTTTCACATCGAACCTTTCTTCAAACTCATGAACTGGTATCTCGTATTGTCTGGATCCATCTTTATTTTCTTTACTACTGTACTTTTTTCGATGACGAAAAAACTTTTTTCTTTCAGAGTGTGTTTCGCTTATATCGTCCGATTGTTTTAGTGCGTTCAGTCCTGTTCTTTCACTTGAATGTATATTTCTTAGTCTGAAAATGTTAATTGATTCATTCTTTTTATATTCATGGGCATGTCTACAGGTAGCTATTACAATTTTAATAAATGCGAATGTTATAAAACACTGGATGAGACAGACCATAAATCACAATCTCATGATTTAATTCCGTGAGAATTCTGTGAGAAAATCTAGTCTACACTACGGTTTAAATAATAAGGGTTTAAAATAACTTTCACTTATACACATATTGATCCTTAGTTCATCGAAATAAGGTCGTAATTATACAACATTTCGATTCTGTAGTAAAGAAAACATGTTACAAGAATGTGAATGAAAATTCGTCTAATACAAGAGCTCAAATATAATTTGTCGATCATTATAATCTGATAAACAATTGCTAAGATTAACGAATTTATAAGACAATTCTAAGTGTCTTTGTTGATTTTACTTGAATTATAATGATTAAACGATTCATGTTATCATGGATCATTGTTATGATAACAAATCGGTTGCCATTTTCATTAAATAACTCTAAGCAGCCCCACTCTAAGTTCTTCAATTGCAATAATAGGCCTTATTGCACATCATAAAGAATACGTCACAAAGAATGAAAACTGAATAAGTAGGTATATATGCATAAGATTATTGCTACACAGCAAGATCCTTCAATGCTCAAATGAATCTAAATTTCCAAAAATAGGTTATGAACTACTGTATTAGTAAATAAGGGCCCAATTAAATATATATTAGAATTATATGAAAAATGGTTGATTTAAAAATGTTTTAACCTTATTTATGTACTTTAAACAATTCTTAAAAATAAATTAATATTTATCCTAAAATATAAGTAAACATCTCTGCTTAATACGTGGTAATATTACTGTGAGTGTTCTATATGAAAAGACGAGCCTAAGACTGGCTTTGAGCCTGCAATTATAAAAACGGGTAATGAGGCTCTCAGATTTGCGGTCTGTGCACAGCTAAGACGAACTACCGGTCAGGTGGCAAAGAAATGCTCAAAGGACATAAATATACATTAACTATGATTTCTTAAAAATAAAAAAATGAATTTCTTATTCTTATTATAAGGCCTAATAATAAAGCCTAAAATCTATACAATATATCAATATGTATGTACCTATATCTATAACAAAAGGTAAAACCTGTCGGATTAGTCTTTTAAAAATTATGAGTGTATATTATATTGCAAGACCGAATAGCCAAAGGTATATAAATATATAATTTCTCAAAGACATTAATGACCTGTTACGAAAATGATAATAAAGTGTGAGTACTCGAACGTATTCAACATCATCATGAGAATAAAGAGAAAGAATACATAAACTATAATGTAATATAGAATACAAACCTTCTTCCGTTGCCATGTCTACGTCTTCTTCTTTTTCTTTTATTATTACCATTACTTCCTACTAAACTTTGTAAACTTTCTGTCGGCTTTAACAAATCGTTGGCTTCTAAATTTACACTGACTTCCTGCACTGTTTTATTAATAATATACTTATTCATATTTACGCTATCGTCTTCTTGCTCATTAGTTGGTAGAACACCATTAGTTGGCGCAGGAGCTACAGTTATATTATCAGGAATATCTTTGATTTTAATATTTTTGGAATCTCCTGTAATTTCTCTACTGTTGCTCTGGATTTTATTAGTTATATCTTCCATTTTATTGGTCACATTTGGTATTTGTATATTGAGATACAACTCATCAAGATTCAAAATATTGTCTGTTGACATATTTACTACAAGAACACCATCTTGTTCTAAGCTATCATATTCTGTTAGATTATCTATAGCAGTCTGATTTGGGTGATCTACTTTGCTTTCATTAGATATACTTGTTATATTTTCTAATACTTCACCAGGGGCTAATTTTCCATTTTTAAGTGATATTGATTTATCTAATCCAGCTGGTAAAACCTGTAATGTGCGGTTATATAAATAATGTGGCAAATTAAATATAAAATACAAAATATATATTTAGATCAAGGTCAAAAGATAGTCACTAAGACTGTCTTTTGACCTATAGATGTCTATAGATTTTTAGACATTTTTTTGCTTTAGAAAGTTGCTTTTTATTATAGAAACACGACTTAATTTTCATAGTAAAAGGGTTAATATATTCGCGTTCATAGAGTAACATTTGAATAATTAATAAACCTACTATTTCTTATACGTTGACTTAAAGTTATTGATATTAGCTCAAAGTACCTTCGTATACAATGTTGCATCATTATATTTTTTTGGTTTTTCTAAAGGAACTGCCTGTTTAGTTCGTTTCCTTAAAATATCAGTAAGACCTTCCTCTTCTACTTGTAAGCCTTCTAGAAGGACTTCCTTTTTCAGTCTTTCCACTTCTTCTTGTAGGGATTTGTTTATTTTGTTGGTTTGTGGGGGTTTTGTGGCAGATCTATAGAAGTCTGAGTCTGGAATAGCGATGTCCCCTTGGAAATTACCTGAAACAAAAAAAAGATAAAAAATCAAATATCAGTTGAGAGGATACAAATAAATGATTCCATCAGTTCCGTACAGGTTGTATTTTCTTAGATATAAAAATGTTCTTTTTCTTCGAGCTATTTTAATTGATCTTATATTGGACCAAATGTAATACTTTTCTTCTTATTAAATCATATCTTGCAGTAATTATAATCTACTAATTTCTTACGAATCATGAAAAAAAACATCTCCAATTACATTATCGCTTTCCATTTATTTACTTTAGTCGTTACGTTAACAATTACTGCGTATTATTTATAACTGAGTCAGTCGTTATCGACTGAAGGTGACATCTTTGCCCCGCAAACACGAATGGCTGATTCGCTTTAAGTGTTGATTCAAGTTGATTCATTACCATACCTAACTGACCGACATCAGCACGTTTTATCCAAAACCGTCATATTATTTCTCATATTTCAAACTTTATAATTGAAAAAAATTGATAATAGATTATGTAAATTTGAGGTTTGCTATTGTGTGGTTGTGTATATTTTAATAATTTGTTTAGATTATGTAATAATACCGTAATTGTTTTTTTTTTATAATATTAGTTATCATTAGTACTGTAACAGTTTCATCCCGAAAGAGTTTATCTTAACTTAAGATACAACATGACATACATAAAAAAGTGGTAGGGTTTTAGTGGGCATATTATAATTCTAATTATATTACGTAGTTCAATATGGATCTGTAGTTACTTTGACCTAAAAATCTATTTTAATTAACTACCAGAATTGAGAGAATTTTGTGACCACTCGAATTCTCTGGATGGGCTGACAGAGGAGAATCTTTCTGCTACAGAAATTATATTTGATCAATTTACAATGCTATTCTGGAAAATATTCTTTATGATAATCTTTCGCAATCCGGGCGACTGCGGAAAATCGTGGGTTCGAATCTCATCTCAGAGTACCAGGGACAAAGTGGATTTTTAAGCATTTTTCATTAAGAGTATTCCAATTTTTTTATTTGGCAATTCACTACGAATACTGAACAACCCACGAACACACACGCATCGATAATCTGTCATTTTATTTTTTATTTACAAATATCGTAAAATAATTCTTAAAATATAAGTGATACAGTTTTTTAGAATTAAGGCAGTTAAAATCCTAGTTAAGTGATCCTAGTTAAGATCCAAACACTCGCCAAAGTTAGCTATAGCCAAAGTTAAACTTAAACTCTAATTCTATGCATTTCACGTGCCTCATATCTACTTAAATCTAAGTAATAACGTCTTGGTCATTGTTTTTATTTATATATCTGCAAATTTAAATATAAAAGTAAACAAAACTATTTTATACTAAAATAATAAAAAAACACTCGATTTGTATGCGACGGGCCATTAGCCCTGATTTATATTGCTTTATTTACCTCTGCCAATACGGGCAGTTCCACTACTTTGTTCGTAATTTATAGCACTTGTTACTAATAAAAGTTTTCAATAATACCTAATACAACTTTCTGAATGGTAAGCGTTTTACCTGAATGATTACCAAATATTTGAATGTTAAATTTTTGGCGATATAGAAAATTACCAGCCGTTTTCGTCAAACTTCGCTCGCCTAATATCCTATGTCACCCACGAATGATGTAGCTTCCCGTAAATGAAAGAATATTTAAAATCGGTCCAGTAGTTTCGATGCAAACTTTCATCATCATCATCATCAGCCCTTTTACGTCCCCACTGCAGGAGCTCAGGCCTTCCTTGTGGATTATTAAGGATATAACCATCCACGCTGGCTCAATTGGAGGGTATAAACGACTGCAAATGCAGCCGGGACCAACGAGGCTGAACGTGCCTTCCGAAGCACGAAGTAGCTCGAAATAATAATTTTTCGGTCACCCATCCCGTGACCGACCCTTGCGAAAGTTGCTTAACGACAATGATCGCGGACCGCGGCACTTATCCACTACGCCACCGAGCTACTCACTACCATGCAAAAATTGTTTGTTACAATTAAATCTTACCTCTTTATAATATTACTGTAATTTCTAATTTTAACAATAACATAAATTGTTGCAGTGAAGTAACAAACCGATAAGAAATCACTATTCGGAAAATCGAACACGCTCTTCTCTGATTAAAACTGGAAAGTGAAAAATCCGTCAATATTCTTTACATACATTGTCCTCTGATTGCATTCTACATATTCAAACTTTCTATGTCTATGACATGAAATATCTTTTCTACTTTCTTTTTAATTTTTAATTTCAAATTAAATATTTGAGTATCAATTTGTTGCGTGATTCAATAAGGAATAAATATGTGAAATACTGATTTTAAAGATCCTAGCAATTGTAAAATTTATATTTAATTAGTGATCGAAAAGTAATAAACAACATCTTGGAGCAGTAGCCAATTTTGTATTTTATATTACTATTTTATTTTATTTGCTCCAGTCTTTTCGTTCTCTTTGTTTTGCAGTTTGAATTTAATACAATTCACCTACCGTGTATATATTTTAATGTTTTTCAAAGACATAGCTTAAGTTCTCACGTGGTGGTCCTTTCCAACGGATGCGAGTGAAATTATATTATTAAGTATTCGATAACTATAAAGTAACTCAACTCTAGTGTCAACTCACTGATATCATTTTATGACCTCAATTCTATTTTTATTTATGATAAATTATAGGTATATTTTGTTTTTAATCTCACGAATGAGTTTTTGGTAAAACTGGCAACCCTTTATAACTGATTAAATCGGTCTTTGAAACCTAATAATCGATTATGGAAATGGGCCGTACGAATCAATTGCATTCGAGATTGCATGCAATGCGGTGTTCTCTGATTAAATTATACAATACATAACCAGCTATTAGCTACTGTGGTTAAAATTAGGACGGGCGAGTTACTAAATGTATTTATTATTTTTATATGCCAATATATTCTATGGTCAGTGAGTATATAGCTCGTCATGTTTTTATTTGAGACATCAGTGATATGATTCTTGAAAGTGAATTTTGCCTCGAATGTCTAATATTTTAATCAATACGTTTTTGTCAATACGTTTTTGTCAATACGTTTTTGGGATTCACAAAAAAATTTATACAATAAAATAAGTTATAACGTAAGTTAGAAGTTTACAAGTAATCTCGCGTTGTGGATGTCTATAACAACAGTTGTCACTTGATCATGATTAGGTCATACAATCTTCGTCTGGTTTTAATATTCAATTAACTAATATCGGGTTTAGTTTGCGAAAAAAGGTTTTATTTTCAAATAAGCTGAAACTCGTGAAGAGTGGAAAATAACTCCTTCGCCGGATTTATTGGATAAAGAAAAAAATAAAATAAAAACTCGAATTGAGAACCTCTGCCTGTTTTAGCATTTATTCTCCTGATATAATGCAATATACATTTTAAATCGGTTTCCCACATAACTCGCAAATATTGTTAGAACCAAGTAAGCTAAGAAAAACAATATAATTACTTTCGTAAACGCTATACTCTCGTAACACGAGGCAGAAACCAGACGCTAATAATGCGATTCCTAATTCAATTCCCGTCGTGCCGGATTCTGGTACATACATTGTTAAACTTGCCACTAGATTTATTATCCTATTAATATTATAAAGGCGAAAGTTTGTAAGTATGGATGTATGGATGTTTGTTACTCTTTCACGAAAAAACTACTGGACGGATTTGGATAAAACTTTACAGCAATATAGGTTATACATCAGAATAACACATAGGGTACTTTTTACTGGGAAAACTTCTCACTCCCACGGGATACCGACTTCCACGCGGACGAAGTCGCGGGCGTCCACTAGTTAGATAATATATGAACTAATTTTGAAAACTATTCCGACTCCACAAAAAAAAGGTTCTCATTTTGATCTATATAAATTCTCAGTTTGATAGATATGTATAAACGAGCTTTGCTTCGTCCGCGTGGTAAAGTAACTTTGAGCCGCATTTCTAACGAATATTTATTCATTATATCGTGTGAAATACCTGAAATAAAGTTTCATTTATCAAAATCTTTTCTTAGGGGATGCCTACGTCATGGTAGCTTTATGCATGCAAAGTCTGAGCTCGATCGGTTTAAAATTGACAAAGTTTCATACAAACTTTCATCCCTTATTTTATTCCCTTGGGGAAAGAATTAATATAAATCCTTTCTAAGGGGGTGCCTACGCCATAGTAGCTTTATGCATGCAAAGTTTCAGCCCGATCGGTTTAAAATTGACAAAGTTTCATACAAACATTCTTCGTTTGAAAAGGATCAAAATCCTTTCTTAACGGATGCCTACGTCATAACATCTACCTGCATGCCAAATTTCAGCCCGATCCGTCCAGTGGTTTGGGCTGGGCGTTGATAGATCACTATATCAGTCAGTCACCTTTGTGTTATATAGGTATATTTAGATGTATGCACAATGATCTCGCGTTTGGCTGAAAAAATACAATAGACTTCAATCTCAAAATAGGTAAAAATAATACTTATCTCAAAAGGAACTTACTTCAATAGCATTTTCTTAAATTTGAGATAAGATTTGTCAAACCCCTATGAGATGTAATTTTATATATAACTTTATGAAAATTAAACGTGTTATACGATCAACCTAATTTTGAGATTGAGATAATGGCTTTTCCGATACGAATTCGTTTAAACAGGTATACATAATACACACGGTATAGACAATGTATTTTTAATGAATAAACCGTATTTCTTTTACGTATATTTTATAACCATGCATAAAACGGGCGTAAAATTGTAATTTTATATCGCCGAATACGAATGGAGAGGGGCGCTCATCGAATTCAAATCAAAAACAATTTTATTATGCACACCAAAGCTTTATTGAACAGTAAACTTATTATATAGTTAGTTATTCGGTACATCTACACTAAATAAGTTGAGATAGACCTGTCTGATTCATTGTCCGTCATGAATCAGACAAGTAGATCGCATTTTGTCACTTTTGACCACTCTTGGTCTCAATGACTTCGAATCAACTCGAATAAGGAGAAGGGCTACGCTACGACCCACCGCGCGAATGTGGATGGTTAAGGAGCACCTTTCTTGTGGATGGTTAAGGAGGATGGGCTGTGACCCTCCATACTGGCCCAATACGGATTCGATGGTATTAACGACTGCAAATTCAGCCGAACCAATGGCTTAACGAGCCTACCGAAGCACGGAGTAGTTCGAGATAATCATTTTTTGGTTACCCATCCTATGACCGACCTCAAGGCCATAATTGTATCACATAACCATAGATAAGCTATTGATTTCAATAAAATAGAACAGTCAATAATTTTTTCTTTATATGGAATATCTGGTTTGACTTTGATTTTCTGATATTTTGTAACGATGATAAACACACATGGTTCGTACGCCGCTTACAAA